TCACGTTTATAACATTTCCATCCATAGAAAGTAATTCAGGTGAGTTTCAATTTCAATTAATTAAACTGAATCGGAGGTAAACTTATCAATTCATAAACCTGATCATTAGCATCAGCTTAGTTCGTTGCTTCATCAACAATTTAGATACTTTGATGATCGTTAATGATCAGCATGAAAAAAAAACCACAAGCAATTAAATTGAGTAAAAAAAAGTAAAAAAAAAACTCAATCAACACAAATAATCAAGTTAATTCAAGAATTGAAACTCAAAGAGTAATAGGAAAACTCATTTCAAAAGATAACGGTTATTTCATGTTACTTCATGATAACATCTTACACAAGATTAACTATTAATATGATATGTTTATCTTCATCTTTCTTATCATCATCCTTGAGAGAGATATAAACATTGTTTATCATTGGTTCTCAGAAAATCAATGGTCAACAATAACGATGAAAACAAAAAGTTTCTAGTGGTCAGTTGAAAGAGAAGTGAAAAAAATCCCTTCCGGAAAAAGTCAATAAAAAGTAACAATAATCGGTGTGATATATGATTGATTGTAACTGATTGTTGATGATAACAATGTTTACAATTAATTCTGGTTAAACAATCAAAGGTTAAACAAGGTAAACAAGGATAACAGTAAATTGCTCAAGAGTTGGGTGTTTATAACAAGAGACAATGAGTAACTATAGAGATGGAAAAACATGAATATCTCAATTACGATTATTGTTTCACTTAATTACTATTAGAAATTAACAAGTAAATTAGTGATGTTCATTGATATTCATTCAAACTATTGTATTATCTTGAGATGATACAAGATATTTTCGTCTTGTTGGTTATGATATTTTGTTGTTGATGAGCAAAAAATATTATGATGGAGATGAAGTTTATCATCTTAGAAATGAGAATTGGGGAAAACAAGTACAGTTAATTAAATTAACTTTGATTAATATGACAGAGGAAAATATTATAGATCAGATTTGATGGTTTCTTATGAGAAAAATGTTAATCTATTGTAGTGAGAGATGAGGAACAATAATGATAATCAATGAATCGATGAATCTCTCGAGTGATCATCATTCTGAACAAACTAATCATGATAACACTCTCATCAATGAAACAATTAACAGAGAAATCAAATCAAAAGTAAATTATCTTAATTATCATCATTGATCTAGAAAAAAAAACTTCTCATGTTTTTCATTAGATTAACATTAATATTGATCAATCAAACTAAGAATAAGTTAATTTATAAACTAATCAAATCAATAGTTAGTTGTGAATATTTTATTAGATCAAGAATTGTAATAATAATCAATGAGATGAAATAAAAATTGTAACAATTTAATTAAGTTTTAAAACTCATTGACAATGAATCAATAATTGAATAATAAATTGACAGAAACGTAGTCATGATACTTAATTACTACAATAATTACAATCTTACAGTTTTAACAGTGAATTAGTTTTAATAAGCCTTATTAAATTAGTTAATTGTAAAAATGATAATTAAGTAAATTGTCATCAGGGAAATCTAAATTAATCTACAATGAAGCTTGATAATCTATGGGGCATAAAAATTAACAGTGAAAAAAAACTAATCACAATCAAGTGAAAAAGTAATTGTATGAAACAAGTAACGATTTGAAATACTTTAAGTAACGGTGATAAATTACAATTAGTTAACAATTAACATATTGTATATTTGAATAGATGATAAATGTAACATGATGATTGTAATAAAAGTGAAATTAAACTAATTGTAATACTTATTTGAACTTAAAGGCTAGATGGGAATGAGAAGAAAAGTTTCTCTGAATTTAAAGAGAATCATTTTCATGATGATTCTGGTGTATTGTCTTGAATGAGAACAAGATAAATGAGCCATGATGAAATAGCAAGATGATAAGCCAAAAGAGTCTGAGGAATCGTCATCCTCATCTTATCATCATCATCAAGATGCTAATGTTATGTTTTCAAAATAAAAACAAGACTTTTTTTTGACAGAGATGAAGATGTGAAAAAAGATGAGGATGCTAAAAGATATGTTTATAAGGGAAAGAGCAATTTGGTAGACATTTAATTGCAATCAAAAGACAGTAAATTGTTTGAGGAAAAGGATCATCATGATGAGCATCATGATAAGAAACTAGGTTGACCCAATAACTTAATGAATAACCTTGACCTTTAATCATTAATGAAAAAACAACTTGGCAGCATTGAAATATTTCATTCATTTGTTTGGAAATCATGTTGATTATCATCATCAACATTTTCTCAACAATTACAATCAATAAAAATTTGGAAGGTTAATTTTTGTTAAATGATTAGTGTGATTTAAGCACAATTACTAATGTACTAAAATGATTATGTCTTCATTTGTGAGATTAGTTTCGATTAGCGAGAAAGAGTTAATTATATTGATTATCTTTAATCAAACTAATCAATAATTAAACAAGACAAGATATTGTAACCATTGGTTTAACAAAAGGTTAACCAGATCTACAAGATTGGGATTTGTTATATTGCAATTTACTTCATCTTGTTTTTATATTGATGTTGAATCAAGATGATGATGATGATGATGATGATGATGATGGTGTAGTGTGGGTGGAGTAGGATGATGAGAAAACATTGAAGGAAAGATGATCAAGAGGAAGAAATAATATTTACCGTTATATCAAATTTCGAATACGATTCCTATTGAGTTTCTGTAAGAACTAACAATTTATTGGGTTTGTTTTCATGAGATTTGTTTCCCTTCATCTTTTCAAATGTGGAAACTTAAAAATAATAAATATTAATTAACAGAGGAAATATTTTCTCTCTGTAATTTATATTTATATGATTAAATATAAGTAATACTAGTTAGTGAGAATCTAAAGTTTTCGGTTCAATTCAATTGCATTGATATTAATTGGGTGGCTTCATTGTAACAACAATCAATCATGATGATCATCATCATCATTAATTTTGTGATACTTGAAAAAAAAAGTTCTAATAGCAAATATTTCAAGGTGATTGTATTTGGTGAAATGAGAGGTGGGAGTCAATGGTGGGTTGTTGGTGGTGGTGTTCATAAGATGGTTGATTGTTGTTAGTAAACAAATCAATCAAATCATTTGACTGTGATCATGGTGATTGTCATCATTGAAAGATGAACATTGTTTTTAATTGTTGTAGTTATATTTATCTTAACAATGAGTTCAAATTAATGAGACAAAGATCTTTGGTATCATGAAGACTGATCAACCATGGGAAGAGTTGAATATAAAAACCATAGGAAATTGAGAAAGGGATAACAGTTGAATGACAAATGACAATAGTAAACATGAAATGGGATCAGATTGATGATTTATTGATGAGAATCAAGAAAAAAAAACTGATTTATCTCGAGATTTATTCAAAATGAAAGCTTTTTATTGTTCATGATTCAGTGGAGGATAAATGAGACATTTCAAGATAATCTAATTGATAAGATTGTTCATCAGTTAGCTTATGATTAATTGATTGTTTACTACAACTTCAGGTAATCAGAGTGATGATTAAAACTTAATTCTAAGTGTAGAAATACATTGTTACTTCAATTACAATACGAATTTGAAAATGAACGATAATCTTACCAACACAATTTGAGTTTCATGAGTGTCACTTTTTCTCATTCCTTTTTCTTTTCTGCCTGATGATTTCTCTTGGAACTGAATCAAGAACTTTTTTTCTCAACAATATTGTCATGAATGCCAAATAATAATACATATCCAGTCTAATGCTGCTGCTAGTCAGCAACAATATGATGATAAACTTAAATCATAACGGTAAATAGTAATTCATGATGATTGTTTTCTACAAATCAATAATCATCATGATAATAAATCCTTTAAAATCGGTTGTGTTAAAAAGTGAATCATGATGAGTATCATTATCGTCTTGAAAAATTGTATCATTTATATTTCTCTTTGTTCATAAATTTCATTTATTCTGATTCGCAAGGAGAAAAAGTATTCAAAGGATCAGAGTTTCAATTGTCATGGAAAACGAGAGAGAAACACTTAAATCAAGTGCCTTTTACTTTCATCAACATCATCTTCTTGGTGAAGAAAACTTTTTTCGTGATTGGAATGTCTCAATGTAAGAGGATAAGAAGAGAAAAAAATAATTCAATTCAGTTCAATATCAAGGTGAAAATGAAGATTCTGAGTAATAATCATGACGATAAATGTGAATGAAACTTGAAGAAAAGGATAAAGAAACACTAATGGATAAGCTCTAAATTTTAGTTAACTATTTCAATCTAAATTGTGTCTTAATCATCAGTAAGTTTTAAACACAGTTAACATTTTATGCTGATCATGATAATATGATAAATCATTTTCGCCTTCCATAGGTATGGTTTATAACCTGAGATGATGATGATGATAATGATGATAAAAGAAATGAGTTGTAAAAGGTTGATATATGAAAAAGAGGTTAGCTTTTTACTAGGAAATAATAATAATTCAACGGAAGAAAAAAATATGACAGAGGATGACATTTACTCACAGGGAGAGAAAGGGAGAGAGAGAGTGAGATATATCTTTGTGAATTAATATAAACGAAATATTAATAAAATTATATTAGAATAATAAAAATATTAATAATGTTGATGGGCTTAGAATAGACTTTGAAAAACCAGGTTAACAATGAAAACGCAAACAAGTCTCATCATCATTTTAATCATCACGATTAGCATCATATTATTATCGATATTAATATCACAATGATGGTCATCAACATCATGGTAATCATGGTGATCATCATTAATATTATTACTTGATTCAGTTTTTGTTTTCACTTGTTTGGTCAATGGGAATATAAGTGAAAATTATTGTACAGATGATCAATTTTGATTATTATTATTGGAAAGTTTTTGTGTTGGATAAAGTTTGATTGATTAACTAATTTTGTTGTAATTAAAAAGGTTAATTGGAAATTGATTTTTTTTTCTTATTCTTACCTGTCCAGGTTAACCAATTTCTTTCAAGTTTTTCACTATCTTCACCGGGGAAAGTTTGAAATGCTGAGACGATGTAGCCTAAGGGTTGAACTCTGTCTTCGGCATCGTAATTGGAACCAGGTCGAATTAGGGAAGATGCGATATCATAGAGACCATCGAAGATTCTGAGTTCGGGTGAGAGAGTAGCAAATGCTGCGGTTGGCAGAATTGGACCTGCAGAAGGATCAAAACCGGGTCCCGGGTAACCATAGATTATGAATGGATAACGACTTTTACGCTCAACGTTTATGAGTATCTGATTATGAACTGATTTAAATTGTGATTTAAGTTGATTGACGGTATGGTGAACCCATTCTGCGTGCATAAAACCGTGAGGACCTCGACGAGGTAGAACGGGCAAAGAGTCGGGTGAAGAGGGAAGATCAATGGGTATGTACAGGTTGGTCTCGATGAAACTTATCCGATGGGGTGTAGGTCCACTTGATGGATGGATTGATTGGGCTGTCGCAGTGGATGAAGATGATGCTGATGGTCCCATTGATGATGGAAGCATTGAGACCATCGGTGGATCAGATGGAGGTGATAAAAGTGGAGCAGCGTCCATGAAACACAAGCCTGGTGAACTTGGGCTGGAGGGTAAACGAGTTGAGCGACTTGGATGACGACCCAATTGAGGAGAAGGTGTACCACCTCGAAGGCCACTATTACCACTTTCACCTCTGTAAATATCTCTTGATCGTTCAGGTGAATCGGTTGCCGAGATGGGTTGGTACTTGGGTGGACCACTTCGTCTCCAAAATCTTTTGAAACTGTGATCACCGAATGCACCGGTTGCACCAGCGGCATTGGAACCTGAAACACCAGCTCGATCGTTAAAATGATCCAAGGCATTGGGTGAATGAGGTGGTGTTGCCAAGATACGACCATAGTTTGAGAAGTACTCATAATAATCAAAAGATGATGAGGCAGGATTGGAGTGGTGAAGATCAAGAAATCCACCGGTGGCTCCTGGTTTACCAGAGGTTGATGGTTTCTTACCCATCCCTCGACCGGGAGCATTTGGTGATGAAAATGATGAGGAAGATGCTGGTGGGCCATTGAAAAAGTTCCCATACGGTTCGTTAAGATGGAAAAGTAAATGAGTGTTTGTTGCATGAGTGGCTGGTGCATAAGAAGAAGCTGTGCTTTTCTTTGGTGCGGGATTGCTTGAGGTCGATTGTTGCTGAGAATTGAGTGAACGTTGAAGTAGATTCATATCGTCACAATTCAACAATTAGATAAAAAAAAAGACCAACTAGAACTTCAACACCAATTTCCAAATCGAAATAGAGATAAATTGATCAACAATTAGTCACAAGATTAGAAAATGAGGTAAACGCTTCTGAGCGCTGATAGAACACAAATTAAAAAAGAGAAACATTAATTTTCCCTCACTTTTGGCGATGGAAAACAAAATCTTCATCAGGTCACGTCATTGGTTCCGATTACATTAGCACATTAACGGAAAAACAAACGATCTGGAGACAAAAGATGATCTCTCTTTAACGGATTAATCAAATTGGATTAATCTTAATCACCTTACAAGTCATATCTTTGTTATTAATTGAATTCACTTTGAAAAGGCATCGCTGGTGTAGAAACGACTAAGATACCTGATTGGCTTTTCTGATTCACTTTGTTTCTTTCACGATTGTTGGTTGCCAAAAACACAGACGATCATTTAATTACAGGAGAACACAATTAGTATCAGAAGATAAACTAACTAATCTTCACTAATTTAGTTGGTTCAAATTGCAGATCAGAAAAAAACACCAATCGGATGAGAGATATTGAAACAAATGAAGATATTCAAAGAGAGATGTGATATTTTCACAGAGAAGATGATGAATAATTGATTTGCACGAGATAATCAATTTAGAGGATTAACTGATATCACAATTAAAGGGAAAAAAATGTTAGATTGAATAGTTAATTTGATCCAATTAGATAAAAATGACACAATAACAACAATAAACAACAATGGCGACACTTTGATAAATCATAATGGTGAAGAATAAAATTCAATCTTTTAGTCTTCATATTGAATGAAAGCGACTTTTAATTAACTCAAATCAATTTAGAATTAGAGAAATCAGTCAATTGTAATTGCAATTAATCACTAAAAGAAAAACACTGATCATTTAATTGTCGAGATTCAAGTCCTTGGTATAGAAGAGGTTGAAGGTTGAGATGAAAACAATGACACTTTAAACGAGATCATAATTTGTCCTTGTCGATCTTAATCACTACAATTAAAACGAAATCCGATTAACTGGGTGGTGGTAACAATTAATTGTCGATAGAAAACAATCACTAATCAGCTAATCTTCATTGTCAATAGAAAAAGAATAGAATTTGAATAAAAAATAAAAGCGAAAGAGAAAAGAAAACAATTCAACTTGTTAATAGATTCGCTTGTTTATCTTTACTTTCTCATCTTTTCTCATTCTTTTTCTCTTCTCTTCCAATTCGTACTTGCAACTAAGTCGAACTTTTTTTTTCTTCTTCTATCACCAACAACTCAGATTCTGTTCTAATTCGGTGAGAGAAGGAAGACAAATGAAGAAAGAGAAGAGAATCAAAGAGACAGTGAACATTTCGAATCCTTACATTTTCTTCATTGGGCAAACTCTTTGCTAGAATTTTAGTTCTGTCGTTTTTTCCTTTTCTTTCACTTGATTGACATTTTAAAGTCTTTTTCTTTTCTTTCATCATATTTATCTAGAAATTAGAACATTAATCATCTTTAGGACAGTTTAAACCATTTGGAATAAGTGGTTTCGGTCAGTAGATTGAGACCAATTACAGTTCGGTAGTCGAATGTTTATTTTTTTGTTTATGGAGAAAAATTGTCTAGAAATGTTTTTCTTTTAAGGATCAGTTTTGTTGGATAAGAAAACATTTAGATTGAAATATTTAGTTTGATATTCGTATGAAAAGGGATTTAGTGAGTTCATCGGACTGACCAGAAATCGTTTTCATTAGTAAGAAAGGGTTTGAATAAATGATGATATGGGTCTGGATAAATGGGTAATTCAAGAGTAAAGTTAAAAAGTATTGGAGGAAAAAAACGGGAATGAATTTTTCGAGAAAAAATGACATTGGCTCTTAATCAGCTTCTTCCATCTCTTGTTCTCGAGAAGCTGTATCATGATCATCTTCAATTCGTTGGATAACCGTTGATTGTATAGAAGAATTTTCTGGTTCATTGGTGATATTACGATCATCAGAGTCTCCGAAATCGGTTTCATGTCGACTTTGCTCATTAGCATCCATAGATGAGTCACCTTTTTCCACTTCGAAATTGTGACTCCAATTTGGACCGGGAGTTTGACTTTCAGCTTCCTTAGTGACACTCATTTCATCGCCTCCTCCGTTCATAACAGAAAATTCATTTGTATTGTTAACTATTTCTGGTTCTTCTGGTTCGGGTGGAACATCAACCGGAGATAATGGTCCTTCGGGAGATTTCATCTCTTCTTCTTCTTCTTCCTCTTCATCTCCTTCGCTTACGTCATTTTCAAGATCAACTGTTCGAACTCGGAATACTTTGTTATGGTAAACGGGTGACCATCCACCTTGAGAATCAAGTTCAGTAGCAGTACAAGTAGTGAATGTTTTGGCAATGATGGAAGAGAAAAGACCATCAACAATTAGTTGATCTTCTTTAATTTTTTGAGAGCAAATCGGACATGCCCATTCTAATTTACGTCGATTTGAGCGGAGGAAAGAATCCTTATCGAAACATTCGACATGGTTACAATTTTGACCACGAACTGGTATATTGATACGCTGCTTAGAAATGGGATCCATGAGAGTGAAAACTTTACGGAAAATCTTATTCATATCGGACATGAATCTTTCATTGACTCGGTGAGCTGTTAATTGTCAAGGAAGAAACAAAAATAAATACAATTTACTAAACTTACTGAACCAAAGAAGATAAAAGTATGGAAACTAATATTTAAAGGGATGATGGAAAGTTAGAATTATCTGTTACTAAAAAACAATATTCAAAACTGAACAAAAGGATAATTAAATTAGAACTTTTTTTCCTTTATAAAACTTACCAAGTTTGAATGTTTGGTTTGGCTCCATGTATCGTAAAAGGACAAATGGTAACTCTTCTTGCTTCTTTTTACAATAAACTACTGAGAAAATGTGAGGCTTTGCTTGTCCTTCGAAGGAAATTCTGACCTTTTCAATACTAACTCCTTCTGCAATGAGATATCGTGTAATGTCAGCAGGTCCATCTAAAGGAGCATTAGGATCATCTGCAGTCTAAACAGTTAAGGATAAGGAGAAAAAGTTATGGAAAGATAATATTTAGAGAATCGGATAATATGAGAATTGGTTTAAAATATACTAACCGGAGCCGTTAAGGGTAATGCAACATCATTAATTCGGATATTCATCCCGTAATCGAAGATATCTTCATAATCACCGTCTTGCTTATTAAAGTAAGCTAAGCGTAGGAGTACACAGTAATTATCCACATTAATTTTCTTTGATTGGACTTTGGTCAACGGGAAAAGACAGCAATCAGAGACGGCGTCTATTGAGATACGAAAAAGGAAGAAACAATAATTTAGATATGTGACCAATGACAATAATTCAAGTGTAACAAAAACAAACCTGAATAAGTTGGCGGGATTATGACAGAAATTGTGGTGTACCGGTTAGGATTAACGGGTATAAAAGATAAATTGTCCTTGTCAGGGTCATAGTTGATACCGAATTTTACTTTTTTCATACTCAAGGGTCCACCTTTAGCCTTGTTAGTATGAGAAACAGGCTCTTCAACTTCTCCACTTCCTCGCTTCCTAGACATTCTTGACATTCTATTATTGTTAGATGCTGGCGATTTGGTTATAAAACTAGATTCACTTCCACTTTCAGAATCAATGGGCTCAATGATAGTTCGTTTAGACCGGGTTGTTCTATAAACGCATAAAAGAGAAAAAGAGAAAAAGAAATAAATCAAGTGAATCAAATAAACCAAAGAGATTTTCTATATAACATAAAAGAGGGAGAAGCACATGCAGCCGAACCAAAATGCCGGGCTATTAAAGGAAGAAGTATTCAACTTAATTTGGAAACAAAGGTTACCCCATTTAACCAATTTAAATGAATCGAATCTTCCAATGGTGTCAAAAGTTGAATATTAAATGTAAATTAAACAAGAATAAATAAAATTAGATAAAAAGAAGAGCGAAGATACAAACCTTGGTGCTTGTTCACTACTTTGTACTCGAGATAAATACACATAACATTCCTGAAATTTGAGAGAAAATAATTAAATTAGATTGTTATTAACAAATAGAAAACAAAGGTGACACTTAAATTAACAGTTAATAATGACAATAGAATTTAATTAACAATTACCTGACTCAAAAATTCATCATCATTCGACATCTTATAACCATAATGACAAACAATTCAAAATAACTCATGATCAAAATGGAGACAATGAAAAAATTTTTATCGCTACAGAGAAAATGGTTCATATTTTCACCGGTAGAGGGCAACAGGAAAAACGTTTTTCTTTCAATTCAAATTGATTCAAAATTAAACAGAAAAAAAAATCTAATTGATTATCAAATGCTAATCAAATTTACTTGTTATCTAATCACAATCACAATCACAGCCACAGTAGATTAACAGTCAAACCACCAGCGTTCAAGTGCGAACAAGAAGAATAAAAAATACATTGAGATTATTAATAGAATTTAAGAAAATTTTCTTAATTTCCAATGTTTTTCTTTGGGAAAATCGGAAAACTATAGCAAATGGACAATGTTGTTTTTCTTGGAATTGAATTTATTTCATTAGAGAGAACGAAAATTCACTTGGTTAAGATCAAAAAATTTAATTTTTCTCCAAACATTAATGGTAATTGAGGAAAAAGAAAAAGCCAAAAGCAAATAGTTGATATTCTCATAACCAGATGGCTGTACTTACGTTTTTCTCTCCATCGACTTACCGGTTTCCGCCACAACATTTTCTGTGGAAAGGTTTTATTATTATTGTTTCAATTTAATTAATTTTCTCACTTTGATTTATTCCAATAACAATTAACACTGTCACCCGTTCTACTCACCAATACAACCTTAAATTGTGCCAACATACTGGAGATACACAATGGATTTAATAACCATTTTGGGTAAAACTATATCACCTGGTGAGTTTCACTTTTTAATTGAATCTTTTTTTCTCAATTCACTTTTCTCCTTTTTCTGTTTCCATTTATGTGTCTGGTGTTTTCTATTGTAGTCAATGTGTGTATGTGTGTGTGTTTAAGTCCATCCAATGATTAACCATTACAATTAATTATGTTCATTTATCTAATATCCTTTTTTTCGCTATGGTAAATGATAATATTCGCACTTTGTTTTTGTCCATTTATATTCATTGATTTGGTTACATTTTCAGCAGATAGGTCATAGTTACTCTTTTCTTTTTTCTCTTTCTATTTTTCTTTCTTTTCTCTTTCCTCTCTTTCTTTATGAGAGACTCTTTTTCACGTTTTTCTGTCTCTCTCTCTCTCTTCTATTACATGCTTATTCAACATAATGTTCATCTCAATGTGGATGGAAAATTATATCATTGATATTTCTTTTTTATCTTTTTCTCTTTCAATGCTCACAATTTTTCTCTCTCTCTCTTTCTCTATCCTAACCTTTCAATGACTTATTATGATTTACTTTGATTAATGAAATTATCTATTTTCTATTTTAATTTTCAGATCCAAATGAGCTCCAAGCAGCTGAAAGATTCCTCGAACAAGCGGCTCTTACTAATTTTGTATGTATCAATTTATATTCCATGGGAAGATATCATCCATTCTGAAGAGAAAAGTCCAGAAATATAATTGATTCCTCTATATCCTCTTCTCATTTATTTTCTACTCTTCTCTAATTTCAAAATTACTCACTTATCTTATACACCCCCTTTCTCTCATCTATGACTTTTCATTTGGGCTACTTCTGATGACATTCACCCCGAATGTGTTGGATTTTACTATCCTATCAGACGAGATATCTTCCTAATCTATTATGATCATATTAAGATGATTGTTTTTACTAATTTTCTCTTTCCATTTTTTTTTCTCTTTGATTGTCTCTTCCATTCCATTTATTACTTTGGTTCCATGCGGCTTCTCAACTCTTTCTCTTTCTCTCTCTCTCTCTCTCTCTCTCTCTCTCTCTCTCTCTCTCTCTCTCTCTCTCTCTCTCTTCCTCTCTCTCTCTGTCTTTCCTTTCTCTCGCTCTCCCTTACTCATATACAAATTGTTTTCCTTTTCCTTTTCCTTATCCCTTTCAACTCTTTCTATCCTGATTGGATATAAAAAAGGCTGAGTTTCTAAAAGCCTTATCAGATGTAATCGTCAATGTTAATAATGACCGAAACGCTCGGACAGCCGCTGGTTTGCAACTCAAAAATGCCCTCACTTCAAAAGATCCAGACTTAAGAACGCAATACCAAATTAGATGGTTGAATCTTCCCGAAGATGTCCGAATCTATGTCAAAAGAAATGTTGTTAATACACTTGGTACTGAGTCAAGTCGACCCTCATCCGCGGCACAATGTGTTGCCTACATAGCTATAGCTGAATTACCACATAAAATGTGGCCTGATTTGATCGGTATATTAACTCAAAATGTCACCAATCCATCTAGTACGGAAATGATGAAAGGATCAACTCTGGAAGCAATCGGCTATATCTGTCAAGATATTGATCCCGAAGTGCTTGTGTCTCAGTCCAATGAAATTTTAACAGCCATAGTCCACGGAATGAGGAAAGAAGAAACCAATACACATGTTAAATTAGCTGCAACAAACGCACTTCTCAACTCATTAGAGTTTACCAAAGCCAATTTTGATAAAGATTCAGAAAGACATTTTATAATGCAAGTTGTTTGTGAAGCAACACAGTCAGAAAATATGCAGGTAAGTTACCGTTTGCTCAGCTTATAATGGCTCTTTCAGATGGTTTCTTGTCAATGTTATCCAAACTGTGATGATTTTAAATACTTTTTGCTTGATGCTCTCTCCCTCTCTCTCTCTTTCTCTCTTTTGCCAATAGTTTTCTCTGAATCATTGCTATTTAACTCTTGAAATTTAGCCATTTTCTCATATTAATCAGCCTCAATTGGCAACAAACAATACTTGTTACAATCTACATGTTGCTTCAAAGAGCTTGTTTTTTTAAACAATTTACCTTCTCTCAATAACTTTCTAATTCTCTTTTTGTTTTATTTCTCCTTCAGGTCAAAGTAGCTGCACTTCAGTGCTTAGTGAAAATAATGTCATTGTATTATCAATATATGGAGCACTATATGGGTCCAGCACTATTTGCCATTACAATGGACGCGATGAAAAGTGATATAGATGAGGTAGCACTTCAAGGTATTGAATTTTGGTCAAATGTTTGTGACGAAGAGGTTGACTTATCAATAGAAGCCTCCGAAGCAAGCGAAAGAGGCCGTCCACCAACTCGAACTTCGCGATTTTACGCAAAAGGTGCACTCCAATACCTAGTTCCAATTTTGATGCAAACTTTAACAAAACAAGAAGACGGAGATGATGACGATGAATGGGTACCATGTAAAGCAGCAGGAGTTTGTTTAATGCTCATGGCAAGTTGCTGTGAAGATGATATAATTCCTCATGTACTGCCTTTTGTTAAAGATAATATCAAAAATCATGATTGGAGACTCCGAGATGCTGCGGTTATGGCGTTCGGATCCATTTTAGAAGGTCCTGATCCAACCAATTTAAAACCAATTGTTGAACAAGCATTACCAACTTTAATAGAGCTCATGGAAGATGGTTGTGTTGTTGTTAGAGACACAGTCGCCTGGACTATCGGAAGAATTTGTGAATTAATTCCTGAAGCTGTTCTGGGTAACTCGCTTGATGCACTTATTAGTACTCTTCTTAAAGGTTTGCATGCTGAGCCAAGGGTGACAGCAAATGTATGCTGGGCATTCAATTCTCTCGCTGAAGCGGCATACGATGAAGGTAGTGAGGGTCAAGAACCACAAACCTATGTTTTATCCAAATATTTCGATTATATTGTCACCGAACTACTAAAAACAACAGAAAGACCTGATGCCGGTCAAGCTAACCTAAGATCAGCGGCTTATGAAGCTTTAATGGAATTGATTAAGAATAGTACAACCGACTGTTATCCTTATGTTCAGAGAGTATCAACCATCGTTCTGGGTCGACTTCAACAAATCCTCCGCTATGAGTACCAATCTGGTGCTATCAGTAATAGCAACGATAGAGCTATTTACAGTGAGCTTCAGTCATTACTATGTGCAACTCTTCAAGCAGCCCTGAGAAAATTAAAACCAGAAGATGCTCCTCAGATCTCGGATGCCATCATGACAGCCCTTCTCCAAATGTTTAGCTCATCTGTTAAAACAGGCGGTGTTCAAGAAGATGCCCTCATGGCTGTTGGTACCTTGGTCGAAGTGCTAGGTGAAGGTTTTCTCAAATATATGGATGCGTTTACACCTTTCCTGGCCTTGGGTCTTAAAAACTTTCAAGAATATCAAGTGTGCAACGCTGCAGTTGGACTTGTTGGTGATATCTGTCGAGCAGTCGGAGGTAAAATCTTGCCTTATTGTGATCAAATTATGCTTCAATTATTAGAAAATCTCTCAAATGAAGGTTTACACCGAAGTGTAAAACCTCAAATTTTAAGCGTATTTGGAGATATCGCACTGGCTGTTGGACCTGAATTTAAAAAATATTTACCAGTAGTTTTATCAACTCTAGCAAGAGCATCTCAAGTTCAAGTGGATCGAAATGATTATGATTTAGTAGATTACATGAATGAGTTAAGAGAAAATTGTCTCGAAGCTTATACTGGAATCGTCCAAGGATTAAAAGGAGATAAAGAACAACCGAATCCCGATGTTAATTTGCTCAGTGAACATGTTTCTCATATGGTTCAATTCATAATGGTTGTCGCATCAGATACTGAGATAACTGATAATCTAGTGGCTGCGTGTGCTGGTTTGATAGGTGATTTATGTTCTGCTTTCGGTAATGCGGTTGTCCAAGTCCTGGACAATGAAGTAATTCATCAGTTACTTGCTAAAGGAAAACATTCAAAAACATCAAAGACAAGATTACTTTCTACTTGGGCTATAAAAGAAATTCGTAAACCCAAAATGCCCATGTAATAATATCTCTCTTCCTGATAAACAAAAAATGAAAAACTTTATTTCTGATGCGATCGAAATTAAAATAAACTCAACCTTCACTCAATCACACACATACATAAACACATACACACACCATCACCAAATCCACAAAACCAACCACTCCACCACCATACATGCCACAACCACAGTCACCAAAACAATTACCACCACAACCACAACCACAACCACAACACCAACAACCAACCACCACCAACACCACCACAACCGCTATAAACAACAACAACAACAACAACAAGAAACAATTGTAACAACATTATAATGAAAAGAATGCTAAATAATGTTGGTGATGATGATAAATCAATTTGTTTTTGATTAAATCAAATGAGCGGTACTTTTGGTGATTCTGTTGATATAAATAAATATGTTTGTTAATTGTGAGAAAGTTAACTAATCAACAATCAAACCAAATGATACGAAATAACTTTTCACTTTGTAAACAATTAGTTTCCTGATTGTTAATACATTTAAATGAAGCATGAAATTGGAGCCAAGAAAATCCAAGATCAAGTATAATAATAACTACGAGCCATATTCACGAACCGAGATTAAGTATAATTAATTAATATCAAATTGAATTGATTCAATTCCTAATTTTTTTATTTCACAAAATGTAAATCAAATCAAATTTCGCAGCTTTTTTTTTGTTAGATATATAAATGTAAACAATTAATTTAATCTCGGTTGGTTAACATGGGCCTTAGTTAATTATCAATGATTTTTAAAAACATGAAAAAAAAACAGATCAAACTGATTTATGACTAATTTTTAATTCAGTTAAAGGTTCGGCCAATGATCTTTATCATTGAGAATCAGTTGATTAATCCTTAACAATAATAATAAATATATTTAACTTAATCACTCTCAACCATTCAGTTAAGTTAATTAACAAGATCATCTAAATCAAGTTAATTTTGTAAAATTAATTTTCTTCCTGCTATTGGTCATCACAATTTGATTAATGATGTTGCTTTTTTTATCCTTTCCACTTTTGCTTTTCGCAAAAAAGAAACTGAATTAGTTTCTCTGTCAGTTAAATTGTTCGATAATCGTAACGATCTAAAAATAGACTGTCGCAAAGTAACAATCAAATTAAAGATCGACTATCGTCTTAGTTAATCGAACTGTTCAACTTCGAGACTCGAAAACTTTTGAAAAGTTTCGATTATGCGCATTTGAGTGACATTTAATTTCTGTCTTCATGTTAGACGAAAACTTTTGTCTTGTTAATCATTTGTCTTTGTTTGTTAATTGTTGTAACTTCTCGCGAAAGTGAAATTAAATGGGAACAATTAAAAGTAAGTAATTTAATATTCTCTATTTATAAAATCTCAATGAGAATAATTCAACTAGAAATTGGAAAGTTTTCGTTAATTGTTTACCTTTGATCATTTTCCAAAGGTTAATTGATAAATTTACCTTTTCAATTTAACATTAATTTCAAGCGAATTTAATTTCTATCATTTTAAATTGATTTGTAATCGATTAGGTGTTGGCCTGATACTAGGAACGGATAGAACCATGAAAACAAATGGAACCATGAAGACAGGTAATCTGATTAACTACAATTGGGTTTTGTTTTGTTGGTTCGATTGGGATTAGATTTTCTAATTGTTCCTCTGTGAATGTGATAAACTAAATTTAGTTTCATCTTTGATGATTAAGTTTCAACTTCTAAACCCCCTCTTCATCTTATTCTCATCATCATCCCTTACGTTATTTACTGTCTTCAAAGAACAGTATAAGTGATAATTGTGTTGAATTTTTCCCTGACAAACTTGAAACTAAATTTAGTTTCCAATTGGATTGTGTACGAAATGAATACAAGCTTATCTCTTTCTCTCTCTCCTTTTCATCATCATCTCATCATTTTCTTCATTATCTTCTGTGTCTTTATCATCGGTAGCAAAGGCGGTAATGTGCTCAATGTATTTCGAGTCGTTCGTAGAAAGAGAGAGAGAGAGAGAGAGAGAGAGAAGCAAAGATTGAGAAAGAATATGAAGAAGATGATGAAGATGATGAAGAAAAAATGAAGAGTTCGTAAAGTTCTCGAAGAGAATTATTTTTAAGAGGAAATTCGGGCCAACAAAGATATAATTCACTTTGATTAACATAACCAAATTTAACCTAACCCACCAGGATTTCAGTTCTCTGTCATTTTCTTTCTTTTCTTCTCTGTCTCTAAATTTAGGTTTTCTATTTGGATTTTAGAAAGAGAAAGAGAGAGATATTTTTTCGTTGGATTGGAAGAAAAGAGAAAAGAAAAACCAAAATCTTCTAAAACTCTTTATAGTTAGAAGAATCTTTTTTTCCATAGTTGTTTCCCTTTCCATGTTATAGATGAATTAGTGAAAAGGATGAGGTGAAACAATGAAGAATGAAGAAAGAATCGATCAATTATTCCCAACAGGTAACACAACAGCAACAGCAACAACAGCAGCAACTACAACAACAACAACGACAACAACAGTACCAACAACAGAACAGTTATAAACTTGACCCTCAAGTTCAGCGACAAATTCAACCCAATAGTGAATTTGAATTGGACAATAACAATGTCGCTGGTGGTGGTGGTGGATCGACGATTCCATCGGTAACTGGAGGTGGAAGATTTGATTTTGATGATGGAGGTGTTTATGTCGGCGGATGGCAAGACGGTAAAGCTCATGGTCACGGAATTTGTACAGGTAATTAAATGGTAATCTTAATTATCTCTAGTGTTGAATTTTAACCTTTTTCTTTTCTTCATTAACAATCATTGGAAATCATTTGCTAGCTGATCATTTTCATCTCTATTTACATTTTGTGACCTTTTCTTTTTCCAGGACCTAAAGGACAAGGTGAATATAGTGGATCGTTTAATTTTGGCTTTGAAGTTTGTGGCATTTATAAATGGCCCAGTGGGGCCATTTACGAAGGACAATGGTTAAATGGTAAACGACATGGATTAGGTGTTGAATTTCGTGGTAAATGGGTTTACAAAGGTGAATGGTCAGCGGGTTATAAAGGTCGTTATGGTGTTCGAGCGTCTCTCTTATCGGCTGCTAAATATGAGGGCACTTGGGCCAATGGATTACAAGATGGCTATGGATCGGAAACCTATGCTGATACTGGAACTTATCAAGGTCAATGGCTTCGTGGTATGCGACATGGTTATGGTGTCCGTGAATCAGCGCCTTATGGCCATTCAAATGTTACCAAAGCGGTGATGATGAAAAATTCAGCAAATGTCTCCATGCAATCACTTGATACCGAAGGTGAATCAAGTTTAATTGATGCTCAAGGTAAAAGGGATTCAGCTATGCGAGGTGGATTTGTTTTGGTGATTAAATCGAGTGTAGGAGCACCAAGGTCAGGGTCAGCACCTCCAGGAACACGGAAACGAGGAAACTCTTTGGAGAAAAAGACGGGATTTTTCAAGGGAATTTTGAAAAAGCAAAAATCTACCGGTGATATTGATGTTAAATCGAATCGTTCAACATCATCGGTCGGTAGTACATCGGTTGAATCATCACCTTCGACACCGGGAATGAATCGTAAAAATGATAACGATGCCGATGCTGCTTCGAATGCTTCATTTCTGTCTCAAGACGGTGACATTTCAGACCCTACGACCACCGAAAAGTATATCGGTGAATGGAAAAACGATAAAAGATCGGGATTCGGAATTTGTGAAAGATCAGATGGACTTCGATATGAAGGCGAATGGTACAATAACAAAAAGTACGGTTATGGGGTGACCTTTTTCGTGATGGAACTCGAGAGGAGGGTAAATACAAGAACAATTGTCTAGTCACAAACGCAAAAAAGAAACACCTCTTTGTGCTTCGATCGGGTAAATTGAAAGAAAGAATCGAATCTGCCGTTGCCGCTGCTCGTCAAGCTCAACAAATCGCCCTTCAAAAAGCCGACATTGCCATAAGTCGAACTGCAACGGCTCGTGGTAAAGCTGAACAATCAGATGCTGTTGCGTCACAATCGAGAATCGATTCATCGATTGCTGATAAAATATCTAAACAATATGGCGGATCTGATGGAGCGAATTTACAACAGCCCGATGTTCCACTTCGTCGGCGATTTTCTGAATTTTCACATTCTCGTCGTGGGACAAATGCTCATATTGCTCAAGGTATTGGAGGAGGTGGTGGTGTCGGTGGATCTCGTCAATATCTTGATCCAAATGAGCCATTTGGTGGTCGTCGAGGTTCATTCCGCACTGGTCCTGGTTCGACATCAACTGGACCTGGTCCTCAAACTAATTATAACAATCATCCATTTAATCAACATCAACACCAACATTCAAGCTCAATTCAATTCACCACTGGTTCAAACAATCAAGGTGCCAATGAATTAAGTAATCGTATGATACCTGGTGGGTCCCATTTAATGTCATCTTCATCACATCATCGTCCATCTTTATCACAACAACAACAACAACAACAAAATTATCAACAACATTCTGTCCAACACCAACAACAACACCATCCTCATTTTCATCCTCATCATCCTCATCATCAAAACACCGTTCCCATGAACCCGATCCATTAAATGATCACCTTGATCATTACCAGAAATTAGTTAAACGATATTCAAATAGGAAAAGTAAACCCGATCTACCGGAAATACCAGTTGATCGGGTTCGTTCATCACAATTAACTTCACAATCAAATCGACTCGAATCACAAGTAGCTGCTTCGTTAGATAAAGCTTATGGCGGCGGCGGGGAAAACTCAACAAGTGACAATCAGAAACTTCCACAAGTGATTGACATGTCAGCCGATTCAGATGTAAATCGAACCCCGAAACGAACGTCGTCTTTATATCGACCTCCAACATCTTCAGGTGGCGGAGGAGTAAAAAGAGGAGGAGGTAGCGGAGGAGGAATTAGCGCCGGTGGTTTAAAAAGAAAACCCTCTCTTCAACCTGTAAACAATAAAACGCCCAAAGAAACTGTTATGAGTCGAGAAGAGGTCTCAGTCCTTTCGCATGCGACTCGATTACAACGACGACAAGAAGCAGAAATGGCTGAAAGACTTGCTCATAATCCATTACTTTATCTGGTTAATCCTCGTTTCAAGAATTGGCTAAGTCGTCAACAGATAATCATCTCAGTTTTATTCATCAATACAATTTTAGCAATTATATTTTTTAAACTACTTTATTTCTGATGCGATCGAAATTAAAATAAACTCAACCTTCACTCAATCACACACATACATAAACACATACACATACCATCACCAAATCCACAAAACCAACCACTCCACCACCATACATGCCACAACCACAGTCACCAAAACAATTACCACCACAACCACAACCACAACCACAACCACAACACCAACAACCAACCACCACCAACACCACCACAACCGCTATAAACAACAACAACAAGAAACAATTGTAACAACATTATAATGAAAAGAATGCTAAATAATGTTGGTGATGAAGATAAATCAATTTGTTTTTGATTAAATCAAATGAGCGGTACTTTTGGTGATTCTGTTGATATAAATAAATATGTTTGTTAATTGTGAGAAAGTTAACTAATCAACAATCAAACCAAATGATACGAAATAACTTTTCACTTTGTAAACAATTAGTTTCCTGATTGTTAATACATTTAAATGAAGCATGAAATTGGAGCCAAGAAAATCCAAGATCAAGTATAATAATAACTACGAGCCATATTCACGAACCGAGATTAAGTATAATTAATTAATATCAAATTGAATTGATTCAATTCCTAATTTTTTTATTTCACAAAATGTAAATCAAATCAAATTTCGCAGCTTTTTTTTTGTTAGATATATAAATGTAAACAATTAATTTAATCTCGGTTGGTTAACATGGGCCTTAGTTAATTATCAATGATTTTTAAAAACATGAAAAAAAACAGATCAAACTGATTTATGACTAATTTTTAATTCAGTTAAAGGTTCGGCCAATGATCTTTATCATTGAGAATCAGTTGATTAATCCTTAACAATAATAATAAATATATTTAACTTAATCACTCTCAACCATTCAGTTAAGTTAATTAACAAGATCATCTAAATCAAGTTAGCGATCAGTTAATATTCACAATTTGATTAATGATTTTCAGCATTTATATCATTCCAATTTTAAGTTATCACGAATTTTAAAATTATCATTTTGATAACTTCGATTCGTCGCTAAATGCCAAAGGACATTTCGATTAGAATGATTGATTAAACTTAATTAGTTATTCTATTTTCGATTAGTATTATTGTTATATCAGTTCGAAAAGTTCTATGTTCTAACTTGGCCGTTTCGAAAGAAAATCAAATTATCCTCGGGTGAGAATTTTTTGCTGTTCTAATTGTCGTCCTTATCCTTGATATTATATCATTCTAATGATTAACTGCAGCAATTTAAGTGACAAAACAACAATTTAAAGTTTGTTTCCCAAACAACAATAAACACTTCGCAATTTCCGTCAAGCAATTTAAGATTCACCGAGAGGAAAATGTTTCTTAATCCAAAATAATGTAAACCGAAACAATTTGGAAACTGAAACTTCCTGAAACAATTTAAATCGCTTAATCATAAAATAAGATTTAAATATGTAATCAGATTTAAATCAGATTGTTATCATCTCTTCATTGTTGATGATGATACAGATTTAAGGGGCTAATCATCAATGGGAGAAAAGAGGTTTAAAGTTTGATTATTTAGTTCCCAAGAAATTAAAACTAACATTTATGCTTCCGTATCCCAATTACAATTAACTATTAAATTGTGAGTAATTGTGTTTAGTAGTTTTCATGGTTACTGATATATGATTAACTTGATTATCATTGATGCCGGGTGGGAGTTGATATATAATCATGATTATCATTTCAAGTGTAATAAACGTTGAGAAAGAGACACGATTAAAGATTAACGATTAATTTGATTGTTGATTGTGAATCTTTTTGGTTAATCAGTTGGAATAATGTTCAATCCTTTTTGTTAAATTACTTTGAGAAATATTTTCATGCGAATCCTCCTAATCATCATCATGATAGACTTTCATCAGAATCCCCATTCAGAACAATCATCATCAGAATCTTCATTGATTCAATGCCAAAGGTCAGTGTAAGTACTGGTCAAGGTTCATTGATCAATCGATTGGAAATAACTGATTCATCATGATTAGTGTTACATTTTTTGTTCCTTACGAAACCAATCATCTTCCTCTTCATCCACACCCTTCTCACCCTCTTCCTCCTCCCTCATCATCATCATCCATCATCATCTTCATCATCTTTTCAATCTTTCGTATACTTATGAAACATTTTCCAATGAACAATAAGGAATCAGAAACAACAATTAACTTAATTGTGATCTCCAAGTTCTGATGATCATCATAATCATCAAAATAATTGACTTGACAGAGATGAAGATGATGAAAAGATGATGAAATTACTAATTTTATTTTTCTCTTCCTTCTCATGTTTCCGGTTTAATCAGTTGGTGATTCCATTGATTTGATTTGATATGAACAAAGTTTTTTTAATGTCAATAATATTTTATCATCAATGATTATTATTAATTGCTGTTGATTCAATTGATCATGATTCTTGTTTACATATTGACAATTTGGTTACAATCAATTCAAACTTTTATAAACTTGTAAACAATTTTATCCAATGATAAACCAGGACTGTAACCTATTGATAATAATGACAGAAAGTAATCAATTAATCAATTCAATCACCACAACAATTAACAATCAATTTCATCTGCTAAATGTTTACCTGGAAAGTAAATTGAAATCAAAGTTGACAAAACAATTTGACTAATTGTTTCAGCTGTTGGGTCCATTGCAAGCTCTATGAATATTATAATAGAGGGAGAGTTAATCTCACAATTAAGTTAATTACAATTAACTACTCACGATTGTGTAGTGATATCCATTGATAGGCATGGGCGATATTAAATGATTCAAAAATTGGTAAATCAGTTTTGTAAGCATTTGATGAGACACTTTTGACCAACAATTTACTTAGATTTTCAATTAGTGATTTATTCACATCGAAATCTATTTGATTAACAATTAGAATAACAATTTAGCTAATCATTGAATCTAATGATCAGTGATTAACTTACCTGGTGATTGGAAATCTTTGAATCCTTTCAGTATTAATTGTTCAAGTTTCGATTCCAATTGTGAGGTTATATCTAACATTTGATTGTTGTGTTTATTTCAAATCAATAACAATTAACTAATTGTGTTTATGTTTGATTGTTTTAGTTTTAGTTTTAGTAATAATTACCTGGTGATAATTCATCTTGATTGTTGACAATCAGTTTTGATAAGATGTTAACATTATCAACAATTGAACCATCGGGATTAAAACCTGTGATTTATTGGTAAAGACAATTAAGTTACTCTGAACAATAGACTTACATTGAAAAAGTTGATTGTTTAAACAATTAACTGATTGTTAAGGATTAATGAAAATTACCTGATTCTTTGAGAAATGTAAGATAATTTCTTAAATTGCTGATCACATTATCTAAAACATTTTCATCTTCAAACCAAACTAATTAACAAATTAACTTAAAATTAGATCTCGATCCAACAATTAACTTTAATTGTTACAATTGTCTCACCAATTTCTGGTCCATTTTCAACTAAATCAGTTGCTTTAATTATCACATTATTCAACAATGGGTCTTGACTTTTCCAGCCTAAACAATTAATGGATTAAAGTTAATTAATATCAACAATTAGGTTAATTGTCTTACCTGATGATTCCAGTTTAGTTAATTCCTTTGTGATTAATTGTTTGAGATAACCGTTCACTTGATCATCTAAGAAAGACATTAACAATTAAGGATTAATTTCACTAATTTAGTTTGATTAGTTACCATTATTTAAATCCAATGGGATTGAGGTTACACTTGACAAAGTGATTAAACAAATCAACAATTTACTAATTGCTATAATCATCTTATTTATTGGTGGTTTTTTCATACAATGAAATGATTTGATCAACAATTAGAGTTAATAATAAACTAATCATGTTTACCTTTGCAAACTTATAGTTAAGTTAATCAAGTAATCTAATCAAATTATAATCATGATTAGATGCAATTGTTTCATTGTTACGATAATCAAATTAGTTTCAAGAGTTTATTATAACAATTAACCATTGCTCAACAATTTAATCATAAAATTTGATCAAGAGAGGATAATAATTAACAATTAACTGATTGAAATTAAAATAGTTCCGATGAAAGTTAAATGTCTCAATAGAAACGACAATTAAATTAAAATCAATTTCTTTTCTTGGTTAAATCAAATGAGCGGCACTTTCGGTGATTCTGTTGATACAATTAAATATATTTGTTAATCGTGAGAAACTAATCAAGTACAATCAACTAACTGTTCACTTGTAAACAATTAGCTTCCTGATTGTGACAATTAAATCAAATATGAAATTGAAGGTGAGAAAATCCCAGTCTCAAGTAACTTAGTTTTCCAATGGGCTTAAAAATTGATTTATGATTAATTTTAATTCAGTTCAAGGTTCGGCCAATGATCTTTATCATTGAGAATCAGTTGATTAACCCCTTAACAATCAATATGTTTAACTTAATCACTTTCAATCAATCAGGAAAATAGATGTTAAAGTTGATCAACAATTTAAAAGTTTCACTTTAAAACCCAATCAACCATCAAACAATTAACCATTATTTTGATTTAAAAGCCTCTGATGATTAACAATTTCCTCCAACTTTCGTAAACATTAATTAATTAATGAAAATAACACAATTTAAACTCTATTGATTATACTGATTTCCTTTTCCAACAATTAAACAATCAACAATTTCCTCTGATTTCATCATAATCCACCATTTAATTGTTACTATTGCTGGACATTTAATTATTTGATCAAAAAATTTACTTAATTCATGATTTTAGGTAAAATTAACAATCATGATTAACAATTGATTAACCAATGGTCGTGATTAAGGTAAATTGTTTAAATTGTTCATTGTTGATCATTATCTGTTCCTGGTTCAGTTGATTATTGTGATTTCCTTTTATTGTTAATCATGAATTGAACTTGAACTCACCAGGAATCTGTATTTAGTTAATTTAGTTTTCTATTTATCATTATGAACATTATGATTAGTTAATCAAAAAGCAATTAACATTTCAACGTTGATTAATTTTCATTCACTTCCTTACCTGTAACTAAATTAATAAAAAAACAACAACAACAAACATTAGAAAAGTTTATTATGTATTAATTACCATTGGAAAATTACAAGTCACAATTAAGTGTAAATTGTAAAGTTTAATTGTGATATTTTGTTGTAAAAGTCTTTTAAATTGGACAATTAACTTCAATGAAAGATTTGAACAATTTGGTATAATCAGAATCAGATCCTAACAAGTTTTAACATTTGAATCCTCTAAATTACATGAGAGTGATTTGTCTAATTGTCAGCTTAATTGTTACCTTGATAATCGGTTGACCAGTCGAGCGATATAATAGATTTACCTGTTCTCATCTTAATCTTCATTATCATCTTTTTACCTTTACTTTCACTATTTACCTGAGCCATTCAAATGTAATTCTCACTTTCAATTGTCATCCTCAAGGTCAACCAGAAATAATCATCATCATCATCATCATCATCTCTGTCACACTGAATGCACTCATAAGTCCTTAAGATGATTTTCTCATCCAAATCTTCATCTTCCGTTTAGTGTTTCATTGAGAAAGGTAAATAGGAAACGGAAATGATTAGACTTTCTTTTGAGAAAAAAAATTCTCATCAAAATTGATTTAATTAACTTGTTTTTCTCGTTGATATGGTAAGAAAAATAAAGTTACAATCAAGTTAATCATCACAATTTATACAATCAATAAGTTGATTAACATACAGAAACTTTTAACAGTCTATTGTTTATAAGTTGATAATTAGTTGATTGATAACCGATTGATCAAATTTAATTGTTATCACAATTTAAGTCTAATAATATATAATATTTAATGATGAATAAGGAAGCAATAATAATCAAGCTGATGAATTAAATACAAAGTCAATCTTGAGGTCAACTAGTTAACTTAATTTAGTTTACAATTAGCGGGTCTGGTTGTTGGAAGAGTTGAATTACAAGTTAGTAATTTAAACTAAATCAACGAAAGCAATTAAAAAACTACATTTTCCCCCTTAATTATCATCTTAATCTTCTTCCTCTTTTGTTAATTATTTTCTACGATAATTAACAAACACCAACGTTAATTAATCAGATTAAATCTAAATCAGAGTTACCATTACCCAGACACCGAGTTTATTTTCACAAAATTTAACAATTGAATTAAATTTAATTTTGCTAACTGTTAATTTTTATGTTTCCTTGTGTAACAATTCAAATTACTTGGGAATCTTGATTTAATCACGATTTTAATTGTTTACCCAATAAACTTTTAATTGTTGAGATTCTTGTGTATTCAATGCGAATGAGTAACAATCAAAGTAAACAATTTACTATTATTTCATTAATTGTCTTCCTCATTCATCAATTTCTAGTAAATTAATTAATTTCATTGGAATCAATTATTAAACAATCAACGAATTGAGTTGATTAACTTAATTGCTGGTGATGTTGATTGCAGTTCAAAATGATTAACATAACAAATAATTAATCTTTAATCATTATTACATTCAAATGGAAAGTGAAATTTTTCAATTGATTAGGTTAATCATAATCAACAGTTTTTTTTGTAAACACAATTAACTAATTCACATTAATTAACTTGCATTGAAGGTTAACCTGATTAATTGTTATTGTTTTTTTTTGTTTCAAACTTGCCTTTGTTTAATTGTCAAAGTTAATTAAATCTTGAATCAATTCATTTGATGAGATTAAATTTGATTGCCAACAATTAGGCTTTACAATTAAAACAATTGTTACAATTTTTAATTGCTGATCAAAGTTAATTGTAAAAAAGTGAAATCAACTGCCCATTGATGATCAAATATTATTTTGCTCAATCATTAACAATTAATTGTCCTTAATTATTAATACAATCAACTACCAACCCTGTCTGATACGTTGGTTAATTGTGGTCACAAACTAATTAATATTAATTTAATAATCAACGAATCACAATCACGTTTAAATTGTTGATTTTTTTACAAAATTACGAAAATTAAACAATTAATCAGTGTCCAGAAAGTTTGTTAACAATTTAACAATTTAAAAATTGTTTCCTTGATTAATTGTTATTCACGACAATCACTTAATTTAGTTAATCTAATAAGTATCATTACAATTAACAATTAGCTAATTGTGATATGTAGTTGGTACCTTTAATTTTTGTTGCTGGTTAATCCAATTAATTTTAATCACGGTTGAATCGCGATTACAATTCATGATTAAGTTAATTACTTTCCTTTACTTTTAATAGAATCAAACAATTTACTGATTATCGGATGATCATTGTTATTGATTAGCTTAAAATATTAAAAAACAGCTGAAAAAATGATCAACAATTAACAGGTAACGGGGAAACAATTAATTTAATTTTCTTGTCTTGCAGATCAACAATTAATTTAAATTGTTCACTCGTCGATACTGATTGTAAAACTAATTTAATCTCATCTATTTAAATATAACTTTTAATTTGATTTGCATAAATTAGTATATCTGTTAATTTAATTGTTTCACTGAAAACCAAATCAAGCAAACCTTAACAATTAACAAAAATGAAAGTAACTATTACCTGATATTTAATTACAATTAACATCAGTTTCCTTGTTTCTTAATTTAAATTGTTCATTATAGACAAAATTCCGGTTCTCATTGTCAGTAGCAATTAGTAAATCATCAGCAGCAATTTAGACATCCTTTTGGTATCACTACAATTAAAACAATTAATAGATACACTAAACAATTTAAATTGTAGCTAATCATTTAATTGTCATTGTTTTTTTTATCAACAAAAAAAAATATCAAGTTGTTGTTGATTTTTTGTTAACAATTAACTTTAATTCAATAATCAACTGAATGTCATTGATTTCCAGTCAACCAAAGTGATTTAATGATTAGTTTCAATTTTAATTAAAGAAGCCTTTTTACACCAATTAACCTTGAGAATCAAACAATTAACTATCAACGGTAATCCTTTGTCCTGTCAAGGTTTTCAATCAATTTTAATTGCGATGAAAAAAATTAAATCCTAATTAGTGATGAAATTAATTCATCGATAAACAATCATTAAGATTTTTAAACTTAATCAACTGTTAACTAGTTACTATTAATATCTATTGTTTAATTGTTGAAAAACACTTAATCATAAAATGGCAACAATTAACTGTGTTAATTTAAATAATTAAGTCATGATTGATTAAAAGTAGCCAATGTTATTATTATCACTTAATCAGTTGATTAAATTTGAAATATATATATAAAGGAAACGAGTTATCATTACAATTAATTGTGTTAATTGCAGTGAAAATGATTAAATTGAATCGCAGTTAATGATTATAATTAACCAAACAATCATTTGAATGTTATTAAAATAATATTTATATGATATTATTAAACAATTAATATAATTTCAAAATTGTTTTGTCAAATTTTGTTAACCAACCACTGGACTGGATTATCAATTAACCTGTTAATGATTAAGATGAAAATGATTAACTTGACGATGATTGTTTTAAATACAAGATTAAATTTACAGGTAATTTGATTTAAGACCAGCAATCAACCACACATAACAATTGTAATTGTTGCTTTTTCATGTTGATACGTGATCATTGTTAAATGTTTATAATAACAAGGATCAAATGTAATCAACAATCAAGACAAGAATTGAAATTGAGATAATCAAGTTAAAAATAAGCCACGAATTTTGTTAAATGTGATTATCCAAAGTAAATTGTTTAAATATCAAATTTCCGGGACAATTTTCATACAATTAAATATTGGATATTCATAGTTGACCATTTAACCATTTATTTCACTTTGGGCTGACCAGTAAATTGGTCAACAATAATGATAATCTTAAAAGTGATCTAAGTACAACCGGAAAGATGTTAACGATTAACGATTATGGTGTTGGTGTTGGTGATGAATTGGTAATAATTAAAGGTTTCTAACCAACGGATGAGCGAAATTAATTGTAATACTCCACCTTAGAAGTAACAATTTACCCTGTAAGATGAGAAGGAAGAGAAAAGAATAGAATATTAATAAGAGAGAGAGAGAGAGAAAAAGGAAGCAAATAAAGAAAATTAAATCGACACTCGTGATATTTTATCTTCCGTTGTCACAATTTTCGCTCGTTACCCAATTTGACCGTCTTTTGTTTAATCTTCATCTTGATTGTCATCTTTTCCAACACCATCTTAATCCTCCGTCTTAATCGTTTGCATATAACATGGCATCTTTATCCACCTTATCCTCCTCCTCAATACCATGTAATGGACCACACCTCAAGTTATTAATTTCTCTTGTGTTTTCTAACAATAATATGATCAAACTAATAACAATGATTATCTTGATTGTTATTATTATTGTCATCTAATAACAATATAATTTGAGTCAACTGTTCCGTGGAAATGAGACTCGCCTTGTCTTGCTTTCTTTTTCATCGTCATCTTCTTGATCTTCATTTATCTTCTTTTACTTTTCTTTAAGTTAATCCATTGTAATCCCTTCAATTGGACTTGTTGTTGTTGTTGTTGTTGTTGTTGTTGTTTAAAAGTCAGAATTGAGAATATGCTGTCAACGACCAATGAATAGAAATCGTTAATTCATGTTAGGTTCAATCTCTTCTGTCATGGGATCATCACCAACATGGATTAACAATGAATATAACTTAGAAAATCATATTGTTCCAATTCGCTGATCATCATAACTGTTTAATTGAACATAATCTTGAAATTGTGGGCAAAAAATATTCTCTTCCGTTTCTTGATTTATTCCCATCGTCCATTTGTGAAATTCATCCATTGAAAATTTACTATTTTTGTGATTAAGAAAAAGAAGAGAAAAGAAATATACAATTAGATTAATGATTACGATTAGATTTTAATTGTTTTCGGCAATTAATTTTCACTACCTACATTTGCAACACAACAACAATTTATTGATAAATTAAATGTTGATTATTAATTTTTATTTCCAGTCTAAATTGATACTCTCCATTATTGTTAATCAGTTTTAATGTAAATCATTTAATTTCAATTCTAAAAATAAGATAGATTCATTTTTGATTACGGAAAAAGAGAAATCATCAACAAGATAATCAGTTTGATTGTTTAACCCGTTATTTGAGTATTGAAGTAAATTAACTTGTATAGTTAATATCTATTGTGATTTTGTTAATGATTAAATCAACTTTTTTAAATAGTATTTAAGAAAGCAAAAAATGAGGAAATTAGTTTAATTTAACTATTAACGCTCCGAGTAAATTGTTATTTATGTGTAGGCCTTTTCTCATATTTAAAAGTTAAGATGAAAATTAACAATTAATTGATCAAATTACTTGAAAAGTTAAAACATAATCGATTAACTAATTTCTTAAATAACAAAAAAACTCATCTTTGTTGCTATTTAGTAAGTTATCTTAATCATCATCAGTAACAATCAACATCATCATTAGCAACAATCAACTTCAGTAGCTTTGGCTACCTAATAATAGGTTTATGTTAAGTCAAACAATTTAAACTTTTCATTGAAGCTCAATTAAGAATTAAAATTGATCACCGATAAATCGGACTACTTAACAATTAGTATTATGTTTTAATTTGAAATCTTAATTGTTATTAAAGTTAACACATCTTTCTTCTTAATCTCATCGCCATTTAATTAATCATTATCAACAGAACATCATTTTCTGATAATACTTTCGCTCTCATTCAAAATAAGTTCAATCAACTTGATTTTCATTAACAATTGAATCAATTCAAGTTTTTTTTTTCAAATCAATAGATTGATTAGCCTTATTATAATTAACTGATCAACAATCTAATTAATCTGACAATTAAAAGTCTATTCTTAATGAAGGAAGAAAAGTCCATGAGAAAAACGAAATATAATTTCATATGAATGGAATAAGTTTTTTTTCCTTCACGAATCACAATCATCAAATTGTTCTGATTAACATCAATTAATTTGATTAATGAATAGAAAAAAAAGTAAATTGTATTAGATTAAGTTTTAAATTGAAAGTGTGGATAATATAATACACCTTAATGATGGATAATATAATCAAGGGGATGATAAACAATCACTTTCAACAAAAGCGAAATGACTTTTTGATTGTAATTATTATCGAGTTGATTAGGATGTTGTTGTTTTTCATATGATAATGGTAATCGTTGTTGATAATAATTAGCATGATTAGATGACAGGCAAGTGAATACGCGATTATTGATACAATTAACTATATCATAGTTTGACCTCTCATGATGACCTTTTTTTTTATATTGCCTCTTTAATTCATTTGGATTTCATCAACAACCAAACATGAAAATCAGAAAATCATCATAATGAAATCATGTTGATTAACAATAGATGAAAGAAAGAGAATTGAATCAATCAACAAGTTTATTATTATTATTATTTATTCTGATCCATTGTTAATGGTTGTGCTAATTATCTGACCTAATCAATTCAACAATTAGCTTTGACCGCTAATTTTTTTTTTGATTTACTTTGTTTCTCTTGATTCACTCTTTTTCCTTCATATTCTGTAAGTATCATAAAAATTAAAAGTTAATCTCATACCTTGATCATAATCTGAGCCGATTAAGTCTTGTTGAGATGATGATGATGTTGTTTGAATGATTTGAGTTGAGTTATTGACCAAGACCGAGAAAGTAACATGATTGTTATCAATTAATGATAATTAAACATTTATAACAGTAAACGTTACTTGATGTTGACGATGATGCAAAAATATAAGAAGAGATTAAAGAAATTGGAAAATCCAAAGATCATGATGGATTAGCAGTAGTTGAATTGTCAATGATCTTTATCTTTCTTATAGCCATGGGTTAGAAAATCATCCGCGTATTAAGATGTTAACCAGCAAAATTGATACATTTAGAAGAAAAAACCAAAGTAATTTACGATTAAATAGATGATAACATCAAAATGATAACATCGAGGCCACAGGTTGATTCTATTCTTAGCTTTGAGTAACCTTTTTCACAGTAAGTCAATAAGTGAAGGTATGAGAGTGAGTGAGAGAAAGGGAGAGAGAGAGAGAAACATCAACAGGTAAATGTGATTAAATTGGAAAAACATGATCAAGAAATAATGAGTCGTAATCGTGATAATATTCATCTTGATCATCGCACATCGTACTTACTCAAATCAAATTAGTGTTTATGATCTTAATGTTGCAAAATGTTTTCTCTTCAACGTAAAAGAAACTGATTTAAGATGATGATGATGATAATAGTGTAGATGTCCAAGCATAATTAAGTTGCAATGTTTTTAAATACTATTACAATACTACTGTTCTTTCTAGTGATGTATTAATCTCAGCTATCTTTTGGCTTCACTTGTGCTGCAAAAAGCTTTGATCACGAATTTGAATTTGAACCAAAGAAGCCAAGTGATAATCCAACATGATGATGATGATGATGATAATCTAAAGGTGATGTCTAATCGTCAAGGATTAATTAGATATTATTATCGCCCAAACCTAATATTGTTTGGTTACGGATTGCTCCTTGAATGCAAAAACCATATCAAAAAAAGAGAGAAAGGAGATATCATCATGTTGAAATTTCTATTCCAATCCATTTAATTAAACCATTCCATCAACAAATGACTCCAATAGTCTGCTAAATTTACTTCCAATTTGGCCTCTTACTTTCCGTGGCTCATCCAAATTAACTTTGCTTGATTATGATCATGCCAATCGATGAAGATGATACGTTTAACTGAATCGGAAGACTGTAAAAAGTAAGCGAGAAGAAACAAAAATGGCGATAGGAAATAGAGAAGAATAAAAAAAAGAGAAATGAGTCAAAAGGTTGAAAACAAATTTACCCAAATCAGGTTGTTGGCTGATTAGAGAAGATAGAAAATAATTTACCTTAGTAACATGTTCTTCTTCGTTCTTCATGTTCCAACATTCAATTCAAATCAGCAACATGATGATGATAAAAAGAAGATGAGTAAAATTAAAAAAGAGAGCGAAAAAATAACATTAATATTTACCTTTAACTAACCTATTCAAATGAAGGGCTAACCTTTTCATTCAAATAAATTAACTGACCAACTAAAGATAAACCAACAATTAACACCTTTAATTTAGAAACATGTTTATTATATTTAACACTATTAACAAGACAGATGTTACAGTTGATTAATTGGTTAATTATTAATAAGATTAAAACCACAATTAAAAAGAAACGAGAATGTTAATCTAATTAAGAGAAAACGGTTAATCAAATTAACGGAAGAAAAAAAATTCCATAGAAATTGAAATTTCTACCCATAGGTGGCTCTCTTTTCACCCGCTTCGTTTTCTTATTTTTTGTTTACATTTTTGTTTCCTTAATTGTCATTGATTATTAATCACTTTTAGTTAATTGTCGCTATGGAATTTTAATTTTTTGTTTACGTTTGTTTATTGTCTATTGTCAGGATGTTTGATTTGCTGCATGTTTACGTCAATTGGTGTTTATTGTAAAATCTACGGTCAGTTATCAATTCGTTTGGTGATATTGATACATAATCAATTTTTGCAATTGTGTTAACCTGATTTGGTTGTTTAAATTGTTGTTACAAGTTAAATGTTAGTAATTTATTTCAGACAATTAACAATCAACAAGCTACATTATAATCAACATATTGTGTCTCATAAGATGATTGTGTATGTTATGGTGATGTTGTTAAGAGGGACAGTTTTTACTCAATCCAATTTGGTCAACAAACTGATCAACTTAATCACCATAATAAAATAAATGTTTTCGTTGATTAAATTTGGTTTAATTGTTAAACCAGTTAATCTCTATCTTATACAAATGATTGCTGATTGATTTAGTTTACCATGTTTACCAAGACGAGGTTACATTTGATTTCCATTGGGCTTGTTGGTCTAATTTGAATTATTTGGGTGGAGTTGATACAATTTAATTGTGTGTGGATGTGATTTAATTGTATTACAAGATAATCAACAAACATACACTTAGTTAATTGATGGTTAACAACGATTATTAATCATTATGATAAATATATTAATTGTTAAAAAGGTGAAACAGAAATTGAACAAAATTTGATATCTTAACCAATGGATTGTGATTTAAATCACCCAAACCTTTCCATCTCTAATTGTTGATTAATTTACCAAATCAATGAACAGTTTAACATAATCGACCTGCAATTTAACCACCACCACAATAATTAGATTTAATTATCATTATGATAATCAATAGATTGACTTTAAAATTAACATCATTCATGGTGAAACTTAATCAACAAAATAACATTGTGACCTGAATATGAGAAATTTAATTGTTAATCATTGATAACATATTAGTATCTTTACAATCAATGAAAGTTGAACAATTTAACTTGATTATCTAATGATGTTATTATTAAATAATAAAACATAACACCCTTTAAATTGATTGTTGTTGAACAATTGATTAAATTGTTGCCGCAAGGTACAAATTGTTTGAACAACAACAAAAAAGTAATACAACTAATCACTAATTTGCTGATTGTTGATTAACTTAAAATAATCATTTAATTATCGTACCAAGAAAACAATAATTTGCTGACTATCACAATTAGTTGATTGTAATGTGAAATCTTCAAATGATTGACTTACAGATGATTAACCTGGAGATGAAAATTAATCATTGCCACTGATTATTATGATAATAGTACCAAACAATTTACAATTAACTTTCAACTCAAGTAACAGTTGAGAGGTTAAAGGTTAAATTAGTACAGTTAATATGCTTAATCACGTTCCAACAATTTACCAACAATCAACATAGACCTTTAAATATGAAACATAATTTGCCAAATGAATTGACAACATTTTTCAAATACTTCCAGTTAACAATTAATTCAGTTGATTGTTTGATAACAATCAAAATTGAAAAGCTAATTGTTGACTTTATCAAGAACAATTTACTTATTCATTTAATTTGATCGTGATTAACTTTGATGAAACCAACAATTAACCAATAATTTAACTTTTTTACCACAATTTTGAGCGTTAATTGTGATTAAAATTCAACTGATCATCTTAATAGAGTTAATTTGATTTCTTGATTAATCTAAATGTCTAAAAATATAAATGGCCAAATATGAGCAATTTAATTAACTAATCATCTCTTAATCGCTCGTCGATTTAAAGATTAACGATTATGTTCAAGATTTAAATTCGATAAAAAAAAACTTTAAAAGTTAATTGTAACTAAGGAAATCAAATGAGAAATAATCAAAATTAACATTTGATCAAGAAATTAAAACAAAATAATCAACTGATCATCTTGATTAACTTAACACACCTTCAAATTTAATCAAACAGATCGATGATATTAATAATATTAAAAGTTTTGATTGTTGATTATTTGCATTAAAACAACAGGAAAACATGATTGTTGTTAAATTGTTGTTAACAACAATTTAATTATAACTGTAATCAGTTTAATAAGAAACCTAATCAAGTCAACTACTGTTTCCGTTTAAATTGTGATATTTATATCAACATGATTTAAGTATTTGTTTCAATCAACATTTTTAATAGTTTTCTTCCAATCGGTTAATTGTTAATTGATCAACTAATCAATTTGATTAATGGTCAACTAGTTAATCAACTAACTCTTCCTCTTTCAGTCACTCACACACCTTAATCAATACACTAATTGTAGCTAATCAATTAAATTACTGTTCTCATGCTTTTGTTTCAATTGACCAGCAAAAGTTAATTTCATCATTTTCAGCCTTGACTTTTTGATTGTCTTTCAATTAATTGTTTCAATTGTTATCAAATTAAAGTAACAATTAACTATTGCCAATGTTTCATCAGGATTTATATTTAATTTCTGAATCGCAACGAAAAAAAAGTTCAATATCTTAATCTTGGATCTTAATTTCCTCTTGATTAACTGATTAATATCACAATCAGATTTAATTGTTATTTAGATAACTACAATTAGCATATAAGAAACTAGTAAATCTAAATTAAAAATATGATCTAAAAAACAACCAACAATTAACTTTCTCCTGATGCGAAAATAAAAATTGACATTTTAAAGGTTGATTGTGTTTCGGCAACAACAACAACAAAAACAATAACAATCAGTTGATGATAATTAAGATTAGGATTAAGATGCAGATTAATGTAAAGATGAGGATGAGGATGAAGTGATGAGGATGAAAAGATGATAAAATGAGCCAGAATTCAGGAAGAACCAAACCTTTAAGAGCAAATCGATTAGCTGATTAACTTTACCTGTTGATTCCTGTTGATCTGTTTTTACCTGTTGTGTGTTGAATTATAATTATAATTGTTTCCTCTTAATTTGTTCAAATCTAATCTTCATTGTTATTGTAGAAAATCAAGTTAATCATTTAATTGTTTGGATGTTGATTAACCTTTTTTTAAATTGTTCCTTAAATCATTTAATCCACCCTATGCTTCCAGCAAGAGCTATACAAGTTAATCAAGGATTAACCTTTGATTAAATTAATTGCTACCAAGTAACGAACGTTTTTTTAATCACTATTAGTAAATATTAACAATTAACTATCAACTATGAAATTATTCACTATTCATTAGATTTTATTTCTTAATTGTTACGAAAATCGGTAATAATTAACTGATGATAGTTCAACAGTCAATGTCTAATTGTTAACTTAGTTGGGAATAGGAAGTTAATCAAGTAAAGTGATTGTTAATTGTTGCCAGTTTAATCATATTCATAATTTAACCTTTTTGATTGTCAATTGTGATTCAAATTATCCCTGAGAAATTAGTTAATCAGGATAATTAACTGAAAAATCTTAATTAGTAGAGTAACAATTGGTTCAATTTGAAAACTCACTATGATTTGTTTTAATTATTACAATTTGAAATTGATTATATTACAATTTAATAGTATAAATGATAAAATTAAAGTTAAATTAGTTTATTTTACAAAAAGTTTACAAGGTTAATGGTTAATTATAATCAAATAATCATCTTCATCGTCTTGATTAGAGTCAAAATCTTTAATTGTAACTCTCATCAATCATTTGATTAAACTGATACAGTTAACTGATTAGTGATTAAAAATAATTACAGTTTAAAGGTTGGGATGATTAACTAATCACAAATAAATAAACAATCATCAAATTAAATCGTATATAAATATAAATGTATCATCTAATTGGTATTAATTAACCCTTAACAATTTACAATCACAATTTATTGATAATAAACTGATTTAACTGTTAATCAATAACTGATCAACAACGGTAATAATAATTGAACAAGAAAAACAAAACTAAATCAACTAATTTAGTTTATTAATATCATCACTTTTATCATTTATACAATTAGATTTAATTGTGAGATTAAATAAAAAGTTAATCAACTTATTTGCGTCCTATTGATTAACTTTTAATCAACTGAAATGAAATGATTTAACCACCTACAGATTTAATCACAATTAACACTTTAGACTATTAATAATAACAATTAACAACGATATCAACGAAACGCTAATTAAAATTAAATGATAACAACGATAACAATTTAGTGAAACTTTTCACAATTAGAAAATTAAATTGTTACTTTTTCGTAACAATCAAGGTTGATTATTAATTTTGTGTAAATATGTTTGGTAACAATTTAAATTTTTTCTGCTCAAATGATCTTAATTGTTATTCATTTTGATTCGTTGACAATTGTAATCACAATCAGTAGGATGATTAACTTTTTAACAGTTAAACATGAAAAAAAAGGTTTGTCACTATTTGAATAGTTAACTAATAATTTAGTAATTTAATTGGGTGTAAATTGTTGTCAACTGTTGATGATTAGTTTGTTGGGTGAATCTGATTTTTTGCTTTCTCAACTAAATTGTCAATGTTAATTGTTATCCCGAATCATTAATTATAAATCATGATTAACAACTCAACAAACAAAAACCCCTTTAGGTTAACCATTAAAATCAACGCTTCCGTTGATTTGTTATTATTTTCAACAATTAACTTAACCATTATCAATATTGTTTTAAATTGTTGGATGATTATGATTTATAAATTGTTCACCTTGATTAAAAATTAAATCAATTTGAATGAATCTTATTTTTCAAATATCAAATCAATAGATTCGATTGTTAAATCAAGTGAAACTTAATTGTTGACATTGAAAATGTTTCTTCAATTAATTGGTGGCAATTGGTTTAATTAATTGTTGGATAAAATTGGAGGTTAATTCAATTTGAATGAATCAAGAGAGAGATAAAAAAATTAAAATTAATAACCAATTTGTTATTTAATCATTTCAATTTCAATTTGATTGATATATATTGATAACAATTAACTAACATTATGATATAAAAAAAAAAGTTTATCATTCATGATAATCAAGGTTATCAACATAACTGAATTAAAAAAAGCTACAATTAACTAATAACAATCTAACACTTAATAACTATGATTAGAAAATGATAATGAACAATTAATTTTAAACAACAAATCAAGAAACAGTTGACAATTGATTGTGATAACAATCAAGGAATCAAATTTACTCTCAAAATATGTAATCACCTTTCAGACAATTAACGTTTGTAACATAAGTAAACAGTTAATTGTTGGTTAAGCTAAATAGTAATAGACAGGATTAAAAAAGATAATAATTATAATCATTATCATCATAATCATAATCAAGATGATGGTTTATTTAAATTGTGACGATGAACAAAAAAAAAATTAGCCTCAGAGTGAAGGATAAATCAACCTTGGTGACGTTTTTTTGTTCACTATTCATTTGATTCAGTAAATAACAGGTAACAATTTAATGTTAACAATCAAGTTAAATATACAGAATTAGATTCTATAGTTAATGATAAACAAAAAACAGATGATGATGAAGATGATGAAATAATATAAACATGAATGAAATTCAGGTCAATCATCAACCCTGTAAGTCAATGAGTCAAAATGTATTTAAACCATTTTTTCATTCAGGTAAATGAGTAGGTCTCATTCATTAGGACAGGTTGTTGTATCATGGGAGGAAGAGAGTGAGAGAGAGTTGGTGATGATGAAGATGAAGATGATGATGGTGAAAATTGAATCAAACTGTTGACAGGTCAAGTGTAATGTTGTCTATTTGTTTCTTAAAATATCAATATTTTTGTAATAATTTTAATCTCTCCCACTTTGAATTGTATATTTATTGATATTCAATCAACTGATTAAAGTGTTAATCTATCAACTGTTTTAATATTTGATTGTGATTATAAATAATCAACTCCTGATATCAAGTAAAACCCAAAATCTGATGTAAACTATTGATTTTAATATTAAATGTATTGGCCACTTACTGAATATTATTATTATTATTGTAATCAACTCATAAATTAACTTATATTTAACTGAATTTTTTCATATAAATTATATTTCTAAATTCAATCTAAATGAATGGTCATAATCGTCTTCATCTAGATCAGTCCGTTGGCCTGATAACTAAATCAGTCGGTAGTCAGTATCATCAGTGAGCTAACTAATCGGCTCTCGATAATCAACTAACCAAGAAACAACAATTTGCGAAAAAATAAATTTCTGATATTTTCTTTATTCTGAAATCAGATAAACATGATATTTAAAATTCATCATCATCATATTATCAACATTAAGATGATAATAAGTAGCAAATATTATCATGATAATATTCAAAGTGACCTCAAGGCTATCTGACCAACCGGCTAGCAAATATTACATGGTATTAAGCTGTAAAGGTCAAGTTAAAAAAGCCATTGAATCAATGACCAAGTATCATAAATATCATCATAGTAATAATATTAACAAGGGCGGAGAAAAGGAAACAAAAAAACCAGAAAGTAAAACTTTTCAGTGAATTTCTGGTTTTCTGGTTACCAGGAATATCCTGGAAAAGTGTAAAATATTGACCACCCATTAATCCAAGTTAATTATGATCAGTTAATTACATGGATTTAGTTTTATAACAATTTTATGCGATGATAATTACATGTACTTGTTATCAAATTCATTTAAATTTCGTTAGAACGAAAAAAAAGTTGAGAAAAAATCGTTACCTTGAGATTTTTTTCTCTTCTCTTTTTAAGAAGAGATTTAAAAAAAGAGAAGAAAAAAAATCCACCACTGACCTACCTTAAGGAATAAAAAACGCCACCAATTCTCATCATCTTTCTCCACCTTCTCTCTCTCTCTCTCTCTCTCTCTCTCTCTCTCTCTCTCTCATTCTAATACAAATACATATATTAAACTCAAGCCTGTTTGTCCTCGCACAGCGCGTGGGTATGCATCAAGTTGCCTCCCAAGTTGGATGACGAGTCAGGTTAGGTGAGCATCGAGTGAGATGATGGGGAGAGAGGAAGGAAGAGAGAGAGAGAAAGGGAGAGAGAGATGATGATGATGATGTAGGAATAAGTTGTTCAGTGATATGTTGTTACTCGTAGCGGTCTGTTGATTAGACGATGGCTTTACCTGAATCATTGCCATCAATGACTGAACATCATCTTCAGTGTTTACCTTTTTTACCAATTTAATATTCACTAAATTTCATCATTTTTTATTCATCGCAATTTAATTTAATTATTTTTATTTACTTTTCTATTTCTAATTTAAGTGATTCAATTTACGGATTTTTATCTCAATGGAAATAATTAAGATGAACAATTTAACAGTTCGATGTTTAATTCATCATCTTATCTTTCGTTAATTGTGAATTGGAAACTTTTCCTTTGCTAGTTAATCATTAATGACAATGTGAAAATTTCAGCATCTTATTAATCCAATTGTGTTTTCATCATCAATTTGTTAACAGCAAAACTTAACAAACGGATTAAATTTAACAACAACAATTAAAGTTTCTTCTTCTTCAGTGTATTTATTTCAACAACTACTCTTGGATAATAACAATCAAACAACAACAACAATCAATTGATCTGATTAATGATGATGTATCTTAATGAGGAATCAGAAAATGGATTTGGGACAATTAATGAGTCCAAAGCTAAAAAGATGACCAATTGGACCAACATTTTCAATCACTGGAAACGTAAGGGTAAAGTTGATAAAAATGGTGTCATCAGCTCAGCCAATGTTAATTTGTCAATGAGCCAATCTCATCATCCTCATCAATTGCACAATCCACCTCAACATCAACATCATCTCCAACAACAACAACAACAACAACATTACCCTCATCACCATCATGGTCATAATTCAACTCATCAAGTTTACCCGATCCATCAACCTTACCAGTTTGGGTCACTTGCTGTTAGGCACAATGGATCCGGTTTACCGGGACTGATTGACCAGTACAATACATCAAATATTGGCGGTGGGGGAGGTGGTGGTGTTGGTGTGTTGACTGATGCTAGATACCAACGACCGTCTGGTTTACAGGGACGTGTAAATAAATTTGCCTCCGTCTCTGCGGGTACTGGTGCCAATTTTTACCTTGCTTATCCAACCGGTTCCTCTTTATTGGCACCAAATCAAGTGAATTCATCCTCACCATGTTCATTGAATATACGTTATCCATCATCGGCACCATCAACAACACTACATTCATCAATCCGTCCAACCTCATCAAGTCGACATCAACGAGCCAACATACTTTCAACTCCATGGGAACCAATGATTTCAGCAAATTCATCCGCTAATCACAATCAATCAGCTGAATGTACTTGCTGTGAATCAATGGGAACAGATCATCAAATAGGAGCAGAAGGAGCTGGTCCTGGTGTTGGTGGTCGTTGTGGTGGGGAAATTAGTTTATTAGGTAAAACAACATTAAAAAATATTAAAAAATCAGCTACTGGCTCAGTGCGATCGCGATCATCAATTAAATCATCTTATTGTGCTTCTAATTTTGATGTTGTTGATGAAACCATGTCAACCGGATTATCCCATGTTAGTTCAAGGCTTCATCATGGTACAGTTAATGGTAAATCAATGAAATCGTCGTCAACTCGATCCCATCGAACTGTTTCCTTTGCGACGGTCAATGAACGATTTCTAAAAGTACTTAAAAGATCAGTTAAAAATCCATCGGGTTCGGTTGTTTCGAGAAGATCAATTTTAGAATGTGATCTGACCGCTTACGATTTAGTTGAACAACATGAGACTTGTATTGAAGATGAAGATGTAATTATTGAAGAAGAGAAGGAAAATCAATCTAATCATCGACACTATGCCAACCATTCAAGTGAATATCTAAGTGAAGATGAAGATGATGATATGGATGATCATCATTCTCGTCATCATCATCGTCCACCCTCAATGTCGGCGTCGGCAAATGGGCTACATTCAATCTCGAAACATGGACACAATTTGTTACCTCGTTTAGGTGAATCTTCACTTCGAGGTAAATCTCGAGGTAAATCGATCTCAACAGTTGACCTGTCCACCTCTCAACGACCAGTAATTACCGATGGAAAGGCCAGTTTACGTAAAGGATTAAGAATCGGAGGTCAAGGGATGTCACTTTTTCCATCAGCGGTGGAATCATCAAAGTCTTCAACAACATCTAATTCAACAAACGGAGGAGTAATTAAATCTCGTAGTTCAGAATCCATTTTATCTGATAAATCAAGTTCGATAATTAGTTCTAACCTTACCGATCGACCTGCTTCATGTCTCTTATTACCTTTACCTGAGCCAGATTACGACAGTGAGGCAGCTAGTGGAGAGGAAGAGAGTAAACGAGGAACTGGTAACAGAACGAGTCGAAATCAATTTGGGCCAAAAAGTGGACCTAAATTGCTACGAGACGCTCAATCATTTACTTCACTTCATCAACCACAATTAAATGAGACACCAATCAAAGGAGGTAATTTAACCTCTACACCAATAGCACGAAATGTCCAGAATCTTGGTGAGACTCGATCACTTGATCGTCGAGCCAAACGTAGAGGTCAATTGCGACAAGCGATTTCCTCAAGCTCACTGATTGGTAATTCAATCGATGAGAAATCAGTTAATTGTGACAATATTAAAGGATCCACACCATCGATACCAAGTGATAACAGTAATTACATGTCAAAGGTTAAATCGATATTGAAAAAATCAGTTACCTGGAATGAATCAGTTACAAAGACTTCCTCAAGATCATCCCCACCCTCATCTTTATCATCCGGAAATGCTGCTAATTGTGATAATACAAACGGATTTACCAATAATTGTGACAGTGATTTTATCAATTATAATAAGTGTTCATCGTCATCATCAATCATCACCAATGGTTTAACAACCTTGCCAAGAATCCGAGGTCGATGGTCAAGTGAAAGGTCAACTAATAGTATAAATAGTGCCAACAAATTAAAAGGGTCAAAGGTAAAGAAACATGTTCACTTTGGATGTTCAAAAGATGACGATAGTTTAATCATTGAACATATTGGTGATAATACAATTTTCGAGGAAGATGAAGAACCAATTTACGATGATATTGCAAATATAATCACTACGAGTGACCAATCATCTAATGGTCATCATCAAACTCCATGTCAATCACCTGAAAAACAACCTTTGACCTCACGTTTACCTCAATCAACATCATTACCACCTCCACCTCCTCCACCACCACTACCAACACATTCACTTGTACCTTCATCACCGCCAACTCAATTAACTCCTAATTCAGATTATAAAGGTTTAATTAGTAAATCAGGTAACTTACAATCAGCTGATAATCAAGTTAATTGTCTTAATATCAACGAATCAACATCATCATTAAAAACTTATGGGACCAATGATGAAACCAAAGAAATGTCAACACGTCGAGTCTATGGAATCCTTGAAATCGGTAAGTTTTCAAACAATCAATTAATTAGATCAAATTGTTTAACTTAAATTAATCATCATTGTGATCAGGAAAAGAAAACAACAATTAAACTAATTGTTTACCTGATGAAAGATAAACACAAATGAAAAACGTTTTATCAAAACAGAAACAAGGAAATGAACTAAGGTAAAAACAAAAGTCTAACTTGATTAATTAATCTAATTAACTGGTAATTAAATTGAACACAAAGGAAACAATAATCATAATTGATTAATTAATTGTTAACTTGTTGATTATCATTATCATCTTAAATTGTTGATTTCAAGGTGACCCAGAAAACATTTTAAGTGTCAAGCTAAATAAGGTGATGAAATTTATGATTTAGTTGACCAATTAAATTATTATATCATAATTTGATTCTAGATTAAATTTCTTGATACCAAATGATTAATATTATTAAATCAAGTTAATTTAGTTTCTCACTATTTATAATAAACTGACCTGTCCTTTAATTTTTACCTTGTACTTGGTCAACTATTAACTGACCAGGTAACTTTAATCATCTGAAAACCTTAATTGTTGACGCGTTATATTTATATTTATGATTATGTTGATTGTGTGAGAAGGAAGAAGATAATCAAGTTGATGAATTAATTGTGACAATTTATAAATTGTTAATGTCCAGTGTGTGTGTGTGAATGTGTTTCCATTGTTTTTCATTGTGATGTCCAAGGTAAGGGAAACATGTTGATAGATATTAATTAAATTGAAGCTTAATTATAATTGTCCACTTGACTTGATGTTAACAACAGCTAAACAATTTAGGTCACAATTATGAGGAAGACACTAATCTGATCAACAACAATCAAGAGTAACAATTAAAATACAAACAAGATCAACTGAATACACGAATCGTGTTTAATTTGTTAATTTTGTCTGTAGTTTTTTTTTTGTTACCGTAAACTTAAATCATCTAGTTAATTGTTGATGATTAAATCATTTTTCACTTAATCATTAATGTCATTTCATTTTTTTTTGCCTAATCATTTGTAACAATCAATTTAGCCTCTTAATTGTTTCACCTCTTTCATTTTGTTTGACATATCAATTCACAAAGGGAAGTTAATTGTTGGTCTCAATTTTATTTGATTACACTTTTAATATTGTAAACAATTTACTAATCAATAGCAAGCTAATTAAACAATAGTAAATTGTGTCAACGGTGGATGACAATCAATGGATTCAATTGAAATTGATTGTTGAAAATTGAATTTAGTTTCTGGTTAAATTGTTAAGTTAATCAACTGGTTTGTTTTTGTAACAATTTGTATCTCATTGAACTAATTTTCTTGTAAATCAAATCAAAAATCAATGAGAAACTAATTTTCAATTGGAAGATGCTAATTGTGATTAACTTTAATCATTAATTAATAGTTTGAGACAGTGAAAAAAAAACAACAAGTTAAAACCTGATTAACAATTAAGAAACCTTTAGGGTAACATTGGATAACAGGTAAACACAATTAACTGATTACATTTGTCATTAAATGAAAAAATTAATAATAACAATTTAATTGAAACAAAGCAAATAAACAAATAATCAACAACAATTAACTTAAATTGTAAACTGACCATTAAGATGACCTAAATTATTTTCATCATTTCAATTTTTTCCTTTACAATTTAAATTGTTGTTGTTTGTTGATCTGGATCATGTTTAGTTGATTGTCAATGTTAATCAACAATTAAATGTCTTCTTTGTGTCCCTCCTTAATCATGATTATGTTTAACTGCACACAATTTGATTGATTGTCCGACAGCAAACTGACCAACAGTTAATCATAATAAATATTTAGTGATAACAATTAACTTAAATTTGACCTTATATTTGAGATTAGATTACAATAATCTCATCTTAATCAATGTTGATTGATTAATTGTTCAAGTTTAATCCTCTTAATATTAATCATTAATGATTAATCTTAAATAATTGAAATTGATTCACTAATTTAAATGAAAACTGTGAACAATTTTCAATTGTAGGATCAATGTACTTGGTGTTGTTGTGGTTAATTGTTAAAACCAACAATTAAGTTAATCATTGTAAATGAAGAAGAAAAATTTTCGTAATCAAATCAACCTAAATTAAAGAATCAGTGGGTTTGATTAATCAGAAAAATTAATTTCTTTCTTAACTTTTGTTGTTGTTGATTGTTTGTTAATTTTTCTTCATGAAAATTAGCTTGTTAGAGTTGAATCAAATTAAATGATTGTTAATTAAATAGTGATTTTGTTTACAACTGAAACAATATGATACTGATTATAATCACAATTAAAATTAGAAGCTAAAGTTATTTAAAGATCATGAATAAAACTAATTGTTACCAACGATTTAACCACAAAAAAAAGCAACTACAATTTAGAGACATGATGAAAATTTTAACCATCATCATGATTAAGATGTTGATTGTTGATTGTTAAACTAAATCTTTTTGATTGCTCTTTTAATTGTGATTACTTTCCTTTTCCTTCAACATTTTTGATCCCATGTTAATTACAATTAATGTGATTTTGTTTTCAATGTTTATGATGGTTTGAGGACCTTGAAGAGTTGATTTAGTTTGATGATTTCAAACAATTTACGGCAAATCACTTGATCATCATTTCCTTTGATAATTGTTTAACCATTACTTTGATTGCTGTGAACAATGAAAAAAACAACAATTTATGTTACACATTAAATTAAGATTGAAAGTATAAAGTATAAAGTTAATGATGATGATCGGTATGTTAATGATTAGTAAATTGTTGTAAATACGAAAAGTTGTTTTACTTCAACAATCAAAGTTGGATTATCATTTGAATACCAAGAACAATTAACTAAGTAATTACATTGTACTTCCAGTGGATTACAGAAATAATCTTGAGTTAATCAATATCGATGGTGATAAGTAAATTAAAAAAAGAAAGACTTAATTTACCAATTCCAGTAATCAGTTAATTGTGACTCGTTAAAGAAACTATGAAATATACTTTTCGTTTTAATTGTTATTCAAACACGATCATGTATTGATTATGAATGTCTAATATTTGACTTTGAGTCACGTTAATAGCTTCGAGGTGTAAACTGAATTAAAATCAGATTCTTTAGTTAATTTATTATCACCATCATCGTAATTATAATCATCATGATCAACTGCAATATCTTTAATGATGTAATCCACTTAATGAACAAGTTATTGATTCCAAAATCCCTTTAATCAGTTTTTCAGTTGTTTGGGTTATCCAATGAATACGCTAAATGCAAATACAATTTAACTAAAACAATTTAATGACAAAATATCCTCGATTAGTGGTAATTAATCTTAATAGTGAGAGAGGAAAAAGAAAATTATTAATAAATTGTTAAGATGAAATTGAAATTATCAAAATACTTACATGATTATCGATATATATTCAAATAAATCAAGATCATCATCATAATCATAATATAATAATAATTATTATCATTTTTGATTTACTACCAACTTATTATCAACATGATAACTTGTTGATTTATTTTTAACTTTAATCAACAGAAAATTCAATCAACTGTTATTAAACCATCATCTTCATTTGAATGTGATTTAATTTAACAGTTACCTTAATATAAAGTTATGATGGTGATCATCATCATCATCATCATCATCAAGATGATGAGAAAAATTTCATTTCTCATTGACACCGTAAAAATACAGTTATCATAATCATCATCAACTCAATTTGATTATAACTGTTTTGGGAAACAATTAAACATTAATCTAAAAAAGATAATCTAAAATTGAATGTTCATCTATTACAACAACATTAGATTACAAGAATTAAGAGATTATCCTAGAAAATTAGGACATGAAAGATGAAGAAAATGTTATTAGATCAAAATGAAATTGATGATGATGATGATGAGAGATTAAATTAGATTGTTGATTAATACGAATCAATGTTTTCTATTATCATCAATTTTCCCTTTACGTCTTCAATTGTTTGCTTTTTTTCCCGAATCAATGCTTTTCAATTGGTGTTAATTATTTTCCGTTTCCTCCTTCTGAACATCAACAGATCACAAATTAAATTGTCTTGAGATTTACACTTAATTACTGGATTAAGAGAATTAACTGTTAAAACGAGTTAACAGTATACAGATTTAATCGGTTGGATTTACAAGCCAAGGTTGTGGATTGAAAGGATTAGATTATTAATTTGTATTCTAAATCCATTCCTTTTGAGAGATTTTCGCTTTAATCGTTGTCCTTCACATGGAAATCGTCATACAGGGTGTATATCAAGTAGAGAGATTGGCTGAAGAAAAAGAGAATAGAATAAAAGAAAAAGATTAATACGAATGATAGAGTTTAGAGCAAGGTTATTAAAGGTAAATGAAAGGGAAAAGAAGAATCGAAAACACAACAATTAGAAGAGAAAAGAAATTGTTATTGAGTTGTTAAATTATTTTCTATTAAATCATATTAGTAATAATAAGAGAAAACAAATTGCGGTCAGTTTACTGGTTACGCTAAAATTTAAACTTCCAACAAAAGTATTACTATGAGATCAGTGTTACGAATTGAAATATATGTATTATAAGGGTTTGGGATGATGATAATAATAATCATGATGATAGAATGATGATGATTAGAGGAGAAACAATCAAGAGTGAAGAGAATGAGCTAAATGGTAATTGTAAGGAATCAAGTGAGAGTGATTAAGCCTCAGGGTTTAATTGTCTATGCTTGATAAGTTAAAATGGCAATTGTAACTGTTATTTGATTGAAAGAATTGAGTAAACTATTGTGTCGATGATTAACCAGAAAACGGTTCAACTGTTTTTCATACTGATTAAGATTATCAATATAATAAGAATATGAGTATTTATAAATTGAATGTTGATTTAGTTTCTCTCTTGAATGTTGTTTTCTGGCTTTACTGTTGTTTGATTGAGTAAAATTCAATTTAGTTTCATTACCTCAAGTTTTCTGGTCATTCCAAGTGATTCTGTTTGTTTATTAGTGTGTTCCTATTTTGATTCAACCATTGATTTCCATGATTAACTTTAGGAGAGGCTTGATAAGTAAGTTAATCAGAATCAGGTTTGACTCAGAAATTTTCACCCATCCAAGTGACTCCTTCAAAATTGAATCTCATTGAAAATGGTTAACTTGATCACTGGACTGAATTTGATAACCGATACTCTTGTCTGGTTGTTGTTGTTGTTGTTGATATGGTGACAAGAAATTTGTAATGGTCACTCAGGGTCAGGGGGAAACTGAGCCATTAGAAATTTAAAGCTTTCGATGATCTAAAATGATATTTGAAGAAAACAAGATGAGGAGGTTTAAGAAAGAGATTAATTTGTAGAAGGTAAAATTATCAGTGAATTAGATTGACAGGAGAAAGAGTAAAGAGAATTAAACTAATCATCAGAAAAGGATTAAGTGAAACCATAACAAGAGTATTTTCAAGATTATCTATTAGTAAAAAAGTGTCCACACCCAATAAGCTTAACACTCGGTTGATACTTGACTGAGTATCAATTTCTTTGGGCCTTTCCCTCCAATAATCAACTAGAGCTTATAAAGTACAACAGGGATCCCGGAAGTAGCCTTGTCATGGTGAGTCCAAATTGTGATAGAGCATATTAATTATGGTTAATCATTTCCACTTTTCTAGTGAAGTCTAATAAACAACCTAATATAGGAAAAAGAGAAGAGAAAAAAAAATCCAATCAAAAGTGAAACAAATTAAATGACATCATTTTTGGAAGAAAAAGAAAATTAAGTAAATTAATCATACTTACATCAGATTATTCCAACTAATATAATTCATCTGGTTAACAATTAGTTAAAATACGAAAAGGTCACAATTAAATCTACAGTATTAGTGTAGGAAACAATCAAAATTAAGATTGATTGACCAACACCTTAATAGATCCCAATAGACAAAACAATGACAAGGAAACTGCAACGTTCATTTTGATGTTAAAAATGGGTTAGTACTTTTAAAAGCTAAGTAATAATTGTTCACCTGTAATTAAGAAATACCTTAATTAGCCCATCAATAATAAAGATTAACAATAGATCACTAATTAAATGATAACGAAACAATAAATTAACGTCAGTTCAATAATCACATTTGGAGATTTGGTGAAAATATCCAATCCTTTTGGTATCTTTTTCTTGGATTCGATACAAAAAGATTTTCTTTTTTTCATCATAATTAATGAATTAATTTTAGTTATTAATAAGTGGAAGTGATTTATTAAAAGTGAAAAATATAATTTCTAAGTGTATCCTCAACGTAAAAACAATAAAATAAAGTCGAAATAATATTTACATTATTAGTGAAGTGAAAAGAAAAGTAAGTACCCCTCCCCCGAAAAAGCCATGCTTGTTTTACCAAAGAGTAATAATAATACTCTTTGTGTTTTACATACACAAACGATACACAAACGCTAACTAAACGATATTTAACCGAATTTTAACCGAATTTTACTCCAGAAATGGATAAAGAATATACAATTGAAAACCACAAGGAAAACCTACAAATGATGAGAGATTGCATGGGCTATCCACCCAATGCAGATCATTGCCACTCGATCCTTCAATATGTGGAAATAGATCGTCTGATTGAGAAGCAACTTTGGGCTGGTAAAATCGTTGAATCACCACAACTAATAGAAAAACTGGAAATAACTGAAGTGTGTGTTGACCAACTCAAAGAATATATTGAGGTAATTGGAAACATCATAAATGAAAAGAGAACGGAATCACCACCACCAGAACAAATCATTACCAAGAGAGCTCCTGGTCGACCACCGCTAAATAAAAATAAGCCTCTTCTAAATGCGAAACCAATTGTGAGAACTTCATCACGTAAGAAGAACACTCCCATGACAGAACCACAGGAAGAGCCATGCACTTCAACACCAATACAACAAGAAATAGAAAGGACCGAAACCATGATAATTAAAAAGCCGAAATTATCGCATAACATTTTCAAGAACCAAAATCAAATAGCTCCCAGAAATTGGTTAAAATGGGACTTAATGGAAAGAGAATACTCAATAAATATCTTTGGGCCAAAAGAAATGAGATCAAGTGCAATAATTAATGAGATACTACTAAATGCCAAGAAACTAAGTGGATCGATTATGAAAATAAATGAACGCCATGATATGACAAAAATCTCAATAAGGAACGAAAACACTAGACGCGATTTGATCCCGTTCTTACAAGAAAACATGCAAGAAATGTCAATTGAAATACCAAAATGGAAAAAACCATTGATTAAAATTGCTGGTATAAAATTTGATCGTCAACTTAATAATTGGCAGAAACAAGTGGAAAGAATCAAATGCATCAATGGATTCTCGAAACATCTTCACTTCAAATATGTGGAACACTTTGAACTGGGTCAAAAACGAACCAACGTTCTTGTAATCGAAGTGGATCCATCAATCAGATCAGATATACAGAACAAGCTAAATGGAAAGATCTTTGGTGGTGAATTTAGTCATGACATAGTTGATAAAATAGAAATTATCCATTGTAAGAGATGCCAAAGTTACAATCACTTTAAAAACCATTGCAAACTACAGGATCGCTGTCCTAAGTGTGCAGGAAACCACACACTAAATTTTTGCGATTCAAAGGAGATGGCTTGTGCTGCGTGTGGATCACGAACGCATAGATCAGGTTCTTTTGAATGTCGAGAATATCTACAGGCACTTAAAAAAGGAATTGAAGAGATTGACTACTCTTATTCATACATTATTCATGCACCAAATCGTATGTAGAATTGCATCATAATTAATCCTGTATTTGAATAGATAAACCAAATTTACTGTTGCCAAATATCTCTATTGTTTTCTTTGCTCATTCATGAAGATTATTTCAATAACTTATGTTTCCATTAAAGTTTTTCTTATATATTATTCATCCAAGAAAAACAATGTTACTTCACATTGTTTTTTCTAGACTTTGATTATTTGCTTTTCTCACTAATGAAGGGCAATGCTGTTTCTACATTGCTTTTCCTTGTCCTATTTTACTAATTTTCACGAAAGAAAAGCAATGTTGTTTTACATTGCTTTTCATAATATAATTTTACTGATCTTCACGAATGAAAAGCGATGTTATTTTACATTGCTTTTCATAATATAATTTTACTGATCTTCACGAATGAAAAGCAATGTTATTTTACATTGCTTTTCATAATATAATTTTACTGATCTTCACGAATGAAAAGCAATGTTATTTTGCATTGCTTTTCATAATATAATTTTACTGATCTTCACGAATGAAAAGCAATGTTATTTTACATTGCTTTTCATAATATAATTTACTGATCTTCACGAATGAAAAGCAATGTTATTTTACATTGCTTTTCATAATATAATTTTACTGATCTTCACGAATGAAAAGCAATGTTATTTTACATTGCTTTTCATAATATAATTTTACTGATCTTCACGAATGAAAAGCAATGTTATTTTACATTGCTTTTCATAATATAATTTTACTGATCTTCACGAATGAAAAGCAATGTTGTCTTCAAAAAAAAAAAAAATCTATTCTCTTTGATCTAAACAAAGCAAGATTAACAATCAGCCCAAAATGTATGGAATTAATATAATTTCGTGTAATATTCGTAAAAACAAATCAATATTCAATACAATGATAGAAAAGATGTCATCATCAACCAAATTGTGTATATTATTGTGTGAAATTCCCCCAGCAATGCAAATGATGAACAATGGACAATCAATATTTACTGGCGAATCTGTAGCCATTCTAGTATCACCTGATCTAGAAGCCACGATTGTTAAGCAAACAAACAACGCAATTTTTGTCAAAATAAAGCGCTTTCAACTCATTGTGGGTAGCGTTTACATTCGTGCATTCAATAGGCCAAAGGATACAGCGGAAATAATACTGACGACAACAATTATAGATAATCAAGTGAAACTCTACAATAAACAGCCGATGATAATTGGAGGTGACGTAAATTGGCCAGGTAAAAGTTGGAATAAAACATCACCGAAAGTATCTATTATTACAAACCAAATAATGGAAAAAATAGAAAATCTTGTAATAAAACATGGCTTCAAATTGTCTCATGAAAATCTAAATACAACAATGTCTAACGCGAAACACATCATTGACATCCTGATCTCAAATCGTTTCTGCTCACCAGACAAACAAAATGTCTTTAATATTGGAACAATGGATCATATTGGACTAACAGCGAGATATAAGATCGAATGTCCGATACAAACAAAAACAAAAGCCAAGAAAACACTGGTTCTTGGATCGTGGAAACTAAAACATATACCAAACCTAAACATTGAATCAAAACAACTGACACAACATCATCCATTGGTTGTGACCTGTAAAAGAGTAATACATTTTCCTGATGATAATGGTTTATGGAAAATACCAAGAAAGAAACTAAATCAATTCAAAAGGCTAAGAAAAGAAAGAAGAAAGATTTTGAAAAGTCAAACAATTGATGAAGAAAAATTAACAATAATAAATGGAAAAATCAAGAAGAAAATGGCCAAATTCTCACTAAAGAGAATCCTTCATCAAGAAAAAAACACAAAGAGATTGTGGAAAATCATTAATCAGCGGCTCGTTGGTTCAGATCAAATAAAATTAGATGAAACAAATCCAACAACAATTGAATCAAAAAAGAAACTTTTACATCAATTTTCCACCAGAAAACCAACGTTTAAAGATGCTGAATCAAAAACAAAAGGCTATCTAACAGATAGAGAAAAAGAAATGATAAAATCAATGAAAATCAAATCATCATCTCTTGGGGCTGATAACTACACATCGTTCTCATGGAATAAATTTAAAAAGAGAAACATAGACACAATTATAATATTAATTTCAAAAATCTTTGAAATATCAAAAGTTCCAAACATATTAAATCGTTTTGGTTGCTCATTAATCCCTAAAGCTGATGGTCTAAACTATCGAATGGTAAAATCTCCATGCTTCCTGTTAAAGATGATCGACAAAATACTTGAGAATCGACTTCAAGAAAAATTCCTTAATCATTTAGAACCAGAAACACAGTTTGCGTATCAACAAAACAAAGGTCGCCTGGATCTCGTAGCGAATGTGATTTTCATGGAAAATTGGCTGGAGAACTATATAATTAAGCTCGATGTCTCAGCGGCGTTTGATAGAGTCAATGTTATGAAAATGGAACAGGAAATAAGAAAAATAATGGATCCATCAACATGGGAAATAATAAAATCAATGCTAGAAAATCGATGGTTAATCATCAAAGAAGGAAAAAAGAAAATATACAAATGTGAAACAATTGGAGTACCACAAGGAACTGCAATTGGACCAATCATGTTTATAATCTGCCTCAACGAGAGTCTGAAAAATCTGAAACATGGACCATGGACCATAAAATCGTATGCTGATGATATAATAGTATTGACAAAGGCGGATCCACAAATAGTAATAAACCTGATAGATAATGAACTGAATAAAATTGATCTACAAATCAACAAACAAAAAACAGTTATCTACCCACGGTATACAAATCAAATTAAGATGGTTGGATATGAAATCATTAGGCAAAGTAACCTAATAAATTCATTTCAAGTGCACCTTAGACGAAATGCTGAAAATCTAAGAACAGAAATTCAAACGAGATCAGGATCATGGCAATATTTACCAATTAAAATTAAAAATCTAATAGCATCAACAATTATCTTTCCGAAACTAAATCAAATGGATCTGAGTCTATTTCTGGAAAAAGGAGATTATGACCAATTGTTACTGGTAACAAGAACACTAATGAAAGCGTATGGATCGATTTACAATCTATTCTTTGAAAAAAAGAGAAAATCGAGGTGGTCATACTTAATCAAAAATAAATGTCCAAATCCGATATTACCTCTACTAATATCTCTAAAGAAAGTAAAATCAAGATATGCAACATTATCGACTGAAACACTGATAACAAAGATGCCGAATTATCAAGAGATTGCAACAGTTGAGTGGTCATGGCTAATAACAAGATGGAGAAAACCACCGATAGGAAGGAAAGTCATATACTTCTCAATAATAAACTTTCAAAAAAGATTCGTAATGATCCTATGCAAAGACTACCCAAATAATCAAACAATCGAAAAAGAATACATAGTCATCGAAGCCAAGGAAACATACGAAGCACATCTACTGGCACTTAAATACATATGTGAATACGTTGAAATAGAAACACACTGGATCCTGGTTCCGGAAAAGGTTGCAGAATTCTGGAGAGGAAACTCGAGAATGGCGAAAAACACAAGAGAAATATTAACAACAATCAAAAATAAAATCTGGTGGTGGTTTGGACATAAATGGAAAAGTGAATTTGACTCGAATGAATTATTGACAATGGACATGATTAAATATCAAGAAGGGTGGACGATCATGAAACAGGAAAGAGAAATAAAGAATTGGGCAAAAAGAACAATTATGGCAGCATATAAATACGGAGGTGAAATTATGGAAAGGATCTTCAGCGAAATGAAAATAAAAGGGAAAGAAGAAATTTTCATCATGAATAACATCAGCAATCCACTAATCAATTTTGAATGTTGCAAAAGAAACGCTACCTGGAATCATATGATAACAGAATGCTCATGGATGGACAACATACATGGATTACTAGAAATGAGAAAAAGAGATGATTATTCAACAAGAAAACAAACAAATAAAACAACACTAATAGAAATAGTTGTAACTGTAAACCTAATGATGGAAGCTCAAAATGTATTGAAAGTGGATATAAATGATTACATGAGGTGGAACAGCATGACCTCAAGAGGGTGAGACCAGAACTCACTCAGTCATGTAGTTGACATGACACTCTGTAAACGAGCATAGACATTAAAGATAATTAAATTGTGGAAACTTTTTAATTGAGAAAATATTAATAAGAAAAACAAATAATTACATAAACCGGGAAAATAATCATTTATCAATTTGATTGTTTTAATCATAATTAACCCTGAACTACCTTTTAACCAGAACAATTAACGATTGAATAGTTACAATTGATCTTAAATAGTAGTAAATCAATTCCGATAAATTGTAATTAATTATTAGTCTCTCTCTCTCTCTCTCTCTCAATGATTAAGATGTTAATACAATAATCTTACCTTGAATAGTAAAATTCAGACAATGATAATCATCATCACCATAATCAATGAATTAGAATTGAAATTTGTTATTTTCAAACCAACGATTGCGATTAAAATTTAAAAACCAAATCAAGGTTGATTGTTTTTCGCGGATTTAAATCAAATCAAATTAAATCAAATTATTTACCTCGAATTGGATAAAAAGAAATTGTAAACTAAATTTGATTAGCAAATGTTAATTGATTGTTAAAGGCTATTCAAATGATTACAACAACAATTAAGACAATTTATCAATATCAATGATCAGTTGGTCGGAAAATGATAATAATAAAAAAGTTAAGGAAGTGATTAAATTATTGATTGTTATTGATTAACTAAATTGTATTTTACTTTTCTCACCAATAGTGTATCAATTGGTTTAAATTGTTTTTCACAATTGATTAGCACAATTGTTTGCACGATTTATTAATTTTGATTTTAACTAATCAATATTATTGATGGTTAATTGTGATGATTAAGTTTACAGGTCAATTTTCAATTTTGATATTTATGGCTTTATATGTGTTCATTGATTGTCCTAAATTGTTATGGTTAATTTAATAATAATAATGAAAGAAATTAGTTAATAGTGAAATGGTTTGGGTACACGATTTAACTTTGTCCTCATTTACACATCACTTTGATTACAATATCAATAAAAAATTGATGATAATCATCATTATCATCATGATAATCATCGTAAATGATTATAATCATAATTGTCACCATGAAGAAAAAGCAAAATTAGATAAATTGGAAAAGGAAAATAAATTAACAGTATATTAGTTTCAATTCAGTTTCATCAGATTGTGATTCAGTTCATCGATCAGATAAACTGATGAAAAGATTCATGATATTTCATATTTCAGGCTGAATATTGAAGATGATGAAGATGATGAAGATGAAGATGAAGATGATTATCATCATTTGAATTGAGAATAAAAGAAAACAATTTTCTAGGCCAAGTGATGAGTAAATTATCATGAAAATTTGATAGTAAAACCTGATCACCGAAACTGAATTAAGAAAAAAAAAGTCTCACTTAAAGAAGACACAATTTGATGGTGAAAATGAGATAAACAATTTAGAAAGTTGGACAACAATTAATCAACAATTTAAGGTTACAAATCGTGATTTAATTATTAACTGTAAAGATCCGATGAGAGAAGAGGTTCCAATGTCAACAATTTAGTTAAATTGATCATCATCATGTTAATTTACCTGATTACTATTATTTATTTGATTACAATTAGACCATCATCATGATAATGGATCAGCTGATTTACTTGATATTATTAAGAAGATGAGGAAATGATGAATGGATGATAAGGATCATTTTTCTTTCTTTTTCTCTTTCTTTTTTTCTGGTTTTGTGGGTTACCTGTTTTTCATGATTAGTGTTCGGGGCTAACAATTGATGAACAATTTAAACCTAAGAATATGGAATTAGGTTAATCATTGAATATGTTCAGCATCGTTTTCGTTTCTTTCAAATCATAATAACAACAATTAACATCTACAATGAAAGTTTACTCTTAATCCAAATGGTAATTTAGTTAATTAGTTGAAACAGAAACTTTTTACTTTATGTATTAAGACTAGGAAAAGGTGAGATTTAAGTTAATTACTGTTACTTGATTGTTAGAAGGTTAAAACAATCAAGGGTAAAAAAAGGAAAGGTTAATTAAAGATGGATTCAAGTTTATCATTAGGTTGATGATTAACATTAGAAATTATTGGTTACAATTAGATTAAATTGCCTGAAAGGGTTTAATTGTTTCACAATTTAGTTTGATTGCTTTTGATTCTAATGTTTAATTTATCCCAATTGATTGAAAATCTTATCCCTGATTGTAAATTGTTGGCATATTGATTACTTATTGTAACTTATTACCAACAATCAATGGTAAATCAGATGAAGGATTATCTTGATTCTCATCAATTTAAATCAAAATGTTGATCTTTAATCTTAATCCTTTTGCATTTAACAATTTACGAGAAATTTTAATCATAAAAATTTGGTTAATCTTTTAGAGGATCCGTTAATCACTTGGGAAATTGAGAATCAGACAAAAAGAGGACAGTTAATTGTTGGAATCACAATCAATTTAGAATCATCATCTTTCTCATCATTTGTTTAATCAAAGTTCACAATCTAGAGTAATTTAAAGTTAATTGAGAGAAAGGGTAAATTATGTAACAAAAACGTGATTAGAATATAATTTAATTTGATTGTTGATCAAGGTGTTTAAATTAAGGTCTCACAATTATGATCAAAGGTTAGTGATTAACGATAAACCTTTAAAACAATAATCCTTTTCAATTCTGATTAATCCTTATGATTACTTTAATCAAGACAACAACAATTAAGGATTAGTTTCTCTTAATTGTTGCGTTATTTTAGTAATCCATTAGATAGACACTCGTGATTTGTTTATAATTAAAAGTCCATTCAAATGTTAATTGTTGGATAACCTTATCAAGACCTAAAAAAAGGTCTACTATTAATTGTTGATCGTTAATTGTTAGATGAAACATGAATGAAACTCCATACTGACCAGTGTGTTGACCAACACCAAATCTAAACCAGAAGTTGAACTTGATGCTATTATTATGAATTGTTATTAATTTGATGATTAAAGATGAATAATTTAAGTTAATCAAATATTGATCCAAGTGACTATTTATCCAATTGACCACTTAATCAACTCTAATCAATTCAATTGAATTTCTTATTGTAACCTGTTGAGACCAATTGATTAACCTGCTTTTTTTTTTATTCTTAACTTTTTGTTTATCTTTATCTCTCATCTTTACCCTTGAAAACCCGAAATTGAAACATCATCATGATGATAACTGGTTCCTAAACCCCTCATCTCACAAATTTATCATCGTATTACCTGTTTTATCATCATCTCTCTTCCGGGGTTCTCTCTTCATCTTCCTTCCCATCGTCATCGTCATCATCTTTCTCATCCTTTTCATGATACTCTGGGTACTACCAGGCGATACATTGAATAGTCCAAGGTCAACTAATAGTTACCTTCAATTGGCTCCTAAATCACCAGATCAACTGGTCAGTGATAGTTTAACTAACGGTAAAAAAACTGTCGGATCAAAGGTAATCAAGGAGCAACCGGCTTTATCATCATCAACATCATCCTCATCATCCAATCAACTGTATAAAATATCTCGATCAGGAATTATCAATGGATTAAGGCGAGACGTTGATTCATCCTCATCCCAATCATCATCATCATCATCATCTGATGAAGGTCTTGACCTGTTATCCAATGGTAAACAATTGAATGATTCAACTAATCATTTTGATGATAACAATCAAGTTAATCACAATAGATTGATAAATAATGATGGTCCACTTTCACCTGAATTTACATCATCACTTACTAATCATCATCAAAAACAACAACAACAACAACAATTAACTAACTATGATGAACGTCACTCAACACTTTTATCTGAATTAAGAGCTGATATAAGGGAGAAATTAGAAAATAAGTTAATTAAGGACATTATCATTTCTAATGAACTTAAATCATTGGCAGAAAAATCAACTGATTGTAATCGTTTCAATGGTATTGGTAATACAACGAATTGGTCAGCCAATAACAACCAAAGAAATTTAATCAACTCAATTACCAATAAAATCAATAACAATAATAAAAGTGAACATTTAAATAGGATAAGTGAAAATGTTGACTTGTCTAATCAACATCGTCACCATCATAATCATAATAATCATTCACAATCAGCTGATTGTAGTGAAACAAATGAACAAAATGATTTTGATGCAATTGATAATGAAGATAATGAGACAATCAAATCGGGTAAAACTGATTATGGTTTCACAGTTTCAATTGTGAACAATGTAAACAACAATTCAAATCGCAATCGTAACTGTGATTACAGTTTAACTTCAACCTATTCATCAAATACTTCATCATCATCTTATTATGATACTAATTTACCGTTAGAGGAATCAAGTAAAATTGTGATTAACGTGCCATTGGGTGGAGGTGTGGGTGGAGTGGGTGTTGGAACAACTTTCTATGATAATGAGACGAATGAACATATTTACGAAGAGTTGGACAAAGTTTCGATCTATGAAAGTAATCGAAGTGAAAATGGCAACGATATTAACCAATTGACGAAAAGATCAATTTTCGAAGGAGCTTCTCGAGATGAGATACTTGAATATTTAGCCGATGCTAAGGAAAGGGTTGTATTGATTGATGAAAATACTTCCGGTTCTTTAGCAAATCATCACCATCACAATCATCTCCATCATCTACACCATGGTTTACCCACTCGACCCAATTTGGCCTCAACTCGACGTAATCGAACCTCCAATGTTTCCAATGTTAGCAGTTCATCGACTGATTCAAGTAACACAGCGACAAGTTCATCAATCGAAACGGAAGATTGTTCATTAACCAATAGTACCACAGGTACACCCGTTGAACGAAATGATTCCGGTGTTGGTGTAGAAACGAGTAAACCATTGAAAATCCGTCGAACCAACAATTTAACCGGAGAAAGTGAACAAACGTGCGCTGATTGTGAACAATTAATTGAACCCAAAGAAATCAATGGAACCAATAATAACCATCGTAATAATATTAATCATCTAGAAGATAATAATGATCAGTTAATTTATTACAATATCGTTTGTAGTAAATGTGAAAAGAAAAGATCAGAAAGGAAAGAGATTATCTCAGAATTTGTTGATACAGAATTTAAATATGGCCGAGATTTAAGGATAATCCGAGAGGAGTTTCATAGACCAATGGAAGTTGCCGGTAAGCAATTAAATCTAATCATTGACAATTAAATTTAACCATGAAACAGAAACTCAAAGGAACAGGTTACAATCATATCCTTTTAAATTGATATCCAAATGAACAATTTAAATTGGAAACTTTGTCTTAAACTTGCCCTTTGAAAATGATGATTTATCTCATCACTGGTTCCTCATGATTATAATTAACAATTAAGATAAACAATTAAGGTTATGATTAACATTTAAAGTTGAACTATTAAATAGATGATTAAATTGGCTACAGATTATGAATTAAACTTGATGTAGGTAAAATGTAAGGTGAGAGTTATTAATCTTTACCAGTTAATGGTGTGAATTAAAGTTGAAAACAATTAATGGGATAAGCCCCAAAGGCTAATCCACCTTAAGTACCTGGCGTTAATCTGCCCCGGTTTAAGGTCCCACTTTAGATTAAATTAATTTCTAGTTTTAATTTTGATTCCATTGAATTTTTTTTTCCCAGTCTACTATTAATACTTGTGACAGAATCATTTTTATATTATATCAACAATTATATATTACATGATATCCTATTCATACCTTTGATAATCATCATGATAATCCAAATGATCATCTTAATCATCAACAATAAACATTAACCATCAACTCAATCATCTCTACTCATCAGTAAAATTTTTCCTAATCTTAATCATTTGAGAAAACATTTCAACTTGTTGATATAAACCAACAACTAATCATTTATTGAGATTTGATGAACTTTACCTGAGAATTGAGATTATCCATCATCATCATAACCATCAGAATTTAAATCATAAGAAGAAAAAAAAAGTTGGTTAAATTGTTAATCAACAAATTGTGTCGAAAACTTCACAATCTAAATCTGATCATCGTAATTAACTATTTCAGCTTAAAGCATTTTTTTTGTTCAGTTGATCATTTGAAGGTAAATCAAGAGAATCAGAATCATCGCCATGATCATAATCATCAAATTGACCTTCACTTAAATAACCTCAGGTCAATATTTGATTGTACAGTTAATTGAAATGATAAACATGAAACTTTATTTTCATCGTAATCATTTGTATTAACCAATAGAGTCCAATTTTTTTACTGCTAAATTGTTTCATTAGTTTTGATTATGATCATAATGATATTGTATCTTAATCATTAGCAGACATCAAGAGAGTGAGAGACAAATATGAAAACTGAATCAAATTTAATCATCTATTAAAGGTTTAATAGTTAATTGTTAGCAATTAAAATGTTTCTCTTTTTGTTATATACTTTTGATCAACGATTTACTTTTGTTTTAATCATAATCAGACCCACGATTGTAATAGATGATGATGATTATCTTGATTATCTCGTTCATGACTTAATTTGTTGATATCAACCTTCAGATCACAATCAGATTGTGAATGATCAACGATGATGAATGATTAAGAAATTAACGAAAATCTTAATCCTTAACATTGAAGATCAATAATCAACTCAAGAAAACAGTCCAAGGTGATTAACACACGATTAACAATTAAAGTTAACTAATATCGAACCGATTAAATTGTTGATGATTCAGTTTGGTTATTAATGTGTTTTTTTTCAATTTAAAATGATGAATTAACTGTTGGATTATATTGTCAATCATATAACAACAATTAAGTATATCATAGTTACACTTTTGTTGCTTAAATCACAATTACGAGAATTAAAAATCTAGATCAACATTGAAAATCAACCCACAACTTTAATTGTAACTATTAATATTATAATCAGTTTCCTTAAGGCTAAATTATTCAGACAATTTGGTTGATCATAAATTTAAATTGTTACAATTTACAATTGAATAGTTTTTCCAATAATCAATATAATGATCAGTATTGAAATCTAATAGACATTGATAATTATCAACAACCTGAAGGTTAGTTAATTGTTTGAACAAATTGATTAACTTAATCAATGTCAATTGTGTCACAGTTACTAATTAATTTCAATGTCTAATAATTAATGATAATAATAATGTTAATTGTTGAGTTAATCAGCGTCATAATTAATTGAATTAAATATGATCACTAATAAGATTCATAATCAATTGAATCATTTGAAAAAACCACTAATAATTATGATTAATAAATTGTTTCAATGAAAACTAAATACTGAATCTAATTAATTGTCCAAATGAACATTTATAAATCATTTAATTAAGTTGCATCTTTTTACCAACAATTAAAAGTTAATCTTGATTAGGTCAACAATTTACATTCCCAAGGTTAATCAGTGTTAGTTTGTTCATCTATCAGATTAATTATAAATATCTTAATTACAATTAATTGTGATCAGTATGAGAGAGGATTATCTTGGACAGTTGGTAAACTTTTAATCAACTGATTAACCAACAATTTAATTGTAACCATTTAGGGTTAACGAAATGGTTACCAACCTAATTTGGTCTGATACCTTAATTAGTTTTCCGTTAGTTATTAAAGGAATCAAACACAATCACAATTAAGTTGATTGTCGTTGATAACAATCAACTAGTATTCCTGCTAATCAATATTGATCTTACTAATCACAACAATTAACTAATCAGTGATAAATGATGACTTTTTTTACCTTCAAGGTGTAGGTTAGTCTTGCGACTCGATGAAAAATCAGTAATCAAATTAATCAAATCAACAATTTAACTATGAATTAGTTTAGTTAGTTAATCGTGAGGCCTGATTTCTTATTAATCATCATGTTCATTCACACTTACGATTAAATTGCTTAATGATAACAATTAGTGAAAGACACACAATTAACTAAGAATACAAATTTTTTTTCCTTTTCATCGTCAACAATTTAAGGTTAATTTAAGGTTTTCATTAACAACTTTTATCAGATTTTACTAAATTAATTAGTTAATTTGGGTCACAATTTATTAATCGTAATCGTTACAATTAAGTTTATTAAACTTTCATGTTGAACCTTACCCGATTTATATAATTAACTGAAACTTGATTAATGATTAACATTTCAAGTTCAATCAGCTGACCAATCAAATTAAATAAAAAACAAACAATTAATTGACATTAATGTCAAACTTAATCAATACCCTTTCATTTAATTAACCTAACGGCAATGTTAATCATCAGAACCAAATCAGCATCATCAATGATTAAAAAAATTAATCATAAACAGAAAACAAAAATAATCAATCAATTTAAATTTAGTTTAAATTGATTGAAAACGTTTCTTAATTGTTGATACCCGATAAAGTTGATATTAGGAAATTTTCAATAAGAGCAAGAAATTAGATCTTAGATAATAATTAATTGATTGTTTCACGTCTCAGATAATTAACTCAATAGTTAATCAGAGTTAATTACAATTGGTTGGTCAGTGTTACCATTGAATAGATGAAAAGTTAATTGTCTAAGTTCAGTGTTGCCGGAAGAAGATGAAGAAAAAAGTTCTAATTACAATTAATTTATTATCTCACAATTCGTGCGTATCTGAGTCTATTCATCGTTATAACAATTTAGTAATCATGATAATTAATAGGAATTAAATTAATCTCTTACCTTGAGAGAGAGAAAATAAAACAAAGAGAAAGGTCAACATTTCGTGTCAATTGAAAATCTTTTGACAGAATTAATTTGATTCCAATGATAATCATGATAATAATATTTCATTTTAATCTTAATCATGATAATGATCATGATTATCAAGAAAAATAATTCAATTTTCAGGTAACAATTAACAAAATTTTGAACAATCTAAAAATCGGATTAGATTTTAGATTCTCATTTGTTGTTTTAATAACAATTTACTGATTATATTAATAAATAAGTGTTGTTATTTGATTATTAGTTGATTGTAAACTGGATTTAGTTTAGCACTATTAATATTATATGAAATTAACTTTTTACCGTTACTTTTTTTCAAGTCTTGTTCAATATTTTCAATTGTTGGCTAAGTGTTGGTGTCAGTGTTGGCGATTAAATTAAAAGATAATTTATGATTACAATTTAAATTATGTTTCACTAATCAAAACTGATTAACAATGAAGGTGTATTAACCCCTCAAGGTAACAATTTACGATGATTAACAATCAACAACAAACAAAAATTGTCTCAGGAGTGGTTATTGTTTTAATCCGTTTTCTTGTGGGAAGTAGGCAATGTAATCGCTATTACATGTTAGCCCTTTAATTGTGAACGACAATTTAACTGGAATTTTAATCATCTTGATCACCATTACATTTGATTGTTAATCAACTTTGTAAATCTCATCTAATTTCAAGTTTAATTACCTGTTTCGTTTACCTGATTAATTATTTTTCTTGTTAATTTGCATAATGATGATTAGTTAATTGTAATTGAAACTTTCATCCAGTAGCTAAGAAAATTTTTCCTAAATATTTAAATGCTTTTCTTTAGTGTTTCATTTGATTGTTTTACAATTAAATTGTGATTAGTTTACATGTATTTCTAATTTTACTTTACCTATTTGGTGACTTAATTGTTACCTGGTTTATTGCACAATTTAACTGGTCAGTTATTTTTTATTACAATCAATTAAATGTTGATTTACAAATGAACATCATGAGAAAAGATTTACTTGTTTACGGAAATGAGTATTTCTTTTTTTAATCAATTAAAGTATTACAACTTTAACCTTGGTGGTTATTGTCATGATGTAAATGATTATCATTGTGATTAAGATAATGATGATCAGTCTACAAGAAGATATAACAATTTAAATTGTTGGAGAAATTTATTCTAAGCCGGTTAATCTGCATGTTAATCGTTCAGCTCAATGATTAGCTTTTCCTATTCCTTTTTGAAGTAAAAAAAACCATAAAAATACAACAAAAATACAACAAAAAAAGCTTATTATTTATTTCATGTTAATAATCAAATGGTATATCGGTCAGGTCACAATGCCGATGGCCGATTCTGGTCAAAAATGACCTTTAAATGAGCTCTCTTTGTGAAAACTTTGAGACTTTCAATGAGTTTTATCAACTGAGTTTTTTTGTTGTACCCGATTGATGATGATTTAGTTGTGATTATTATTGAATTTGTTATTTGAGTTTAATCATCAGTTAATTGTATTAATATTTGATCAACAATCAACAAGGAAGCCATAAAGAAAAAGATTCAGATTAATTTAATTGTTTTATGTAACAAAATATTAATACGATTAACTGATGGAAACCTAATGAATGATTTGGTTGTTTACTGATTGTAATCAAAAATTTAGATGAGATTAATAAGTTGATGATTAAGAGAAAGTATCGTCAACAATTAGTACTGATTAAGGTTCTAGACTAGATTATCAGATTATTATTGTTCCTTTTAAGGCCATTTACATGATGATCACGGTTAATGGTCACGATGACCATTCGATTCACGGAAAGTACTTGGGTCACTTTTCCATCATCTTGTATTGTAGATTAGTGTGCGTACGATAAGATATCGAGTTACAGGTCAGTTTCACGAAAAAAAGATCGAATCTTTTTTTCACTTCGAACTTTTTTCTTCTTCTTCTTTTTCTTTGCGTGATTACAATTCAATTCTATTCATTTGTGAACTTTTCCATTCATTGAGATAAGTCCAGTTCCTCCCTGACCATCACATCTTAATCATAATCGAATTGATATTCATTCAAATTAACCTTTTCTTTCACTGATCCACTTAATCATTTCCTTAATCATTGATGATAATATTAATTACTCGATGATTGCAATAACAATCAATAGATTACATTTCCTCAATATGTACCAAACAATTAGTATGTTTACACTTTAATTGTCTGGTAATATTTTCATTAATTGTTTCTTTCCATGCTGATTGGTAAATTTTCACAATTGATTAAACATTGAAATGATTTAAAGAGTAATCAATGAGACGACTTAATTGTATTAAGTCAATTGTGTCTTAAACCTCATCATCAACAACAATTAACTGTTTAATCAATACATGGTCATCATCAATATACTATCATGTCGGTATAAAGTTACAATACAGATGATTAGTTTTAATTGTTAACCAACAAATTAATCAAACATTAGTTGACTTTTTAACTGTAATTGTAATTAAAATCATTCTGATTATCAATTGACTTAATTTACTCTTAATAAGGTCAATTTTCTGGTTATGGTTATATTTGATTACCGTTAATTGTTTCATCCCACTCTCGTTTGTTTAATTTTCACAATTGTTGTGGTTCATTACAATTAAGTAAATTGTTTGTTATTTGTAACTTTACTAATAATCATCATGTTCATTTGTCAATAAGATTTATGCCTCTTGACACCCTCGCAATTAAACATGACGATGAACATCATCATCTCTTAACCCTATTGGGAAATTAAATCTAATTGTGAATTTGTGATTAAAATTAAAATCGTTCAATTGTTGATTAAAAAAAATCGAAGTCATTTCCCTGTTAGAATCAAATGAATCATTGATGAGGAAAACAAATCGTTTCTGTTTACCTTTGAAGCTCCGAAAATGTTTTGATTGTTTCAATTTAATTGCTAATCATTTGATTTGATTCCTCTTTCCACAATTAGGTTTACTGACAAAGGAACAAATTAAAGGAGTTTTCATCAATTTAGAAGAATTAATTAGCGTTAATTCAAAGTTCTCGGAGAAACTACAAGATGCCATCGATATCGCTTCTGAACAAGGAGATGAGGTTAGTGGCTCAACTTTTCGAGGGCCAAACAATTAATTACTACTCTTGATTAGTGTTGATTTACTGATTGTTTTTCTCTTTCTTTTCTTACACTGGTCATCTTAGGATTTTACCACCGTCAACATTGGAAGGCTCTTCATGGAATCGGCCTCTATGCTCCATTCCTTTGAAACTTATTGTCTTCACCAAGGGTCAGCGTCGGTTCTGTTGAATCAACTAGAGAAAGAGAAAGAACTTCTTAGAATATTCTTAAGAGTTTCTCAAATGGAAAATACTCTTCTGAGAAGGATGAATCTCTCAGCATTCTTAATGGTTCCAGTGCAAAGAGTTACGAAGTGAGTGTGGTTTACCTTTTTCTTTCAATTTCCTTGTTCTTTTCTCAATATTTTTCGCGAGAAGGCTTAAGATCTCAATTCGCCATTTTTTCTTTTACTTTTTTTTCTTCTCTCATGAGAATTGTCACCGTTCTTACAGTTCTGACCATCTGGTTCTCTATCATTTACTTGAAGAGAAGAAAAAAAAATGGTGACCTGAGATTACGATCGTTAATCCGTTAATGTTTTTCTTTTCTTTCTCGCTAATCCATTGTTTTCTTCGCCCTCAGGTATCCATTATTATTGAATCGATTGTATAAAGTTACCCCTCATCACCATCAGGATAGAGATGCCTTGAAATTGGCCCAGCAAAAGGTTGAAATTCACTTGGAACATATAAATCAACAGACTAAAGGCTCAACTGCACCGACCAAAATTTGGAGAAAATTTTCTCATCTCTCGAATCGTCGATTGCCAAGTATCGATGATATTGGTGATATTAAATTGAGAAAGGTGAGAATGAACATTAAATACTTTTGAATACATAGAAAATTGATTTGATTGTTAATTGTTTATTGTTGATCTTCTTTATTACCAAGGTCGCATTGGAAGCTATGAGTTGGACTCGTGATCAAGCAAATTTCATCTTATCGGGTCGTCTATCGTTTTTACCTTCATCCGAATATCAATTATACAAGAAACGAGGTAACATTAAATTTTCCTCTGCCAGTTGCCTTCTAATGAGCCTTGGGGAAATGTTACCTACAATTAAGGCCAATTTAACCGAAGATGATGAAGATGAATTTGAACGAGAGCTCATGTTTCCCAGATCAAATCATGGATGTGAACAAGCAGTCATCATATTAATTAAAGAGAAACATAATCGATACACTTTATGCAGAGTAAGTATCATTATCAGTGTTTACTAATCAATTGATTGTAAAGTAATCTTGATGTCTCAATGAATTCACATCATAGACATTACTGAACTTGAATTTAAATGAAAGGATTGCAAATATTAGCTTTAATTGTTGTTTTTCTTATCAATTACAATCTAAAATTGTTCGTATAAACTTTTTTGTTACCTTTTCTTTTAGGAACCATTCAACCTTGCATCTTGTGTTGTATCATCAGACACTGAATTTGAAGATATATTTGAAATTCATGAACAAAATACTAAAGAGTCATTCATTTTTAAGGTAAATTTCATTTTCTGTGATAATCTTTAGCTGAAAATAACACAATTTAATAAATTTCTTGATATTTATCTCAATATTAGGCTGATTCACCAACTGAGAAACGAGATTGGTATCGACAGATTTGTTATCATTCAAAGAATCTTGGTAATTGGAGAAAACGTCGCAACGCATTAGCCAATATTATGATGGTTCGACCTTAAAATCAGCGACAATCGCATTAGTACCTGAGAATCCTGCCAATGGAAGCGAATCTTTTTTCCATTTTTGTTGAATTTATGTAAATTGCTTGACGAAAAAAAATCACAATTGTCCAATTTGATTAACTTTCTCACAACGACACCAATTGTTTTTTTAGTGTCTCTATTTAATCCTTTAATCTCCCATGAAAATGAACTGAAATCCAAAATTTTTTGTTTGTAATAGATTGATATTATAATCTAGTCGCTCTCAAAAACTATAATTTAAATTAAATCGTATAATTGTAAAGATTAGCAATTGATTAGTAAACAAAACAAACGGTATCCATTGATTATAAAACATTGAACACTAAATCTATTGATTGATTCATTGTTAAGATTAACGATTAAGATTATCCCATCAAGTTGATTAACTGGCGATAATTGAACATCAACACTAAGCATGATACATGTACTGAGTATGGTTTAAATGAAGTTTCCTGATCATCTTAATTACTATTAATAAGTTAATCAGTTAATTGTAATAAGAAGCGTAAATTTCCTTGAATAAGATTAGAAACAAAAAACAAAAGAAGAGGAGACAATTAGATTAACCATAGAATCAATTTAATGTTTATTGTCTTTGCCTTGCGATCATCAGGATAGACCTGGACTTTGATTTTCGGTCAATTAATTTGCATATTGTTAATTTCCAATGACAATTAATTATTTTGAGGCCAATCTAATCAATGGTTAAGATTAATCCATACATGATTAGACTCGCGGTTTTTATTAATAATAATCAATTTTTCATATTATCAGATAATCCAGTTTCTTTTTCTCAATATAAACATTAATACTTTGATTATTTGGTCCATGATCAAGTTGATCAATCAGATTGATTGACTGATTTGTTTATGTTTAATAGGATTAGTTTGAGGTTAACGTTGTTTTTCACTTGATTTGATTTGAATTGTAAGTGTTATCGTTAATATGGATAATTTAATTTTCAACTTTTGATTGTGATTGTGATTGAAACGTTATGAGAATGAATGTATTTTCATTGTTCTCGAAAATTGCACTAAACTGTCGCTGGGAATAATTTTGGTATCGAAGCCAATGGATTCGAGGCCAATCGAGATCCATAAGAAGGTAAATTCATGGAAAACCACCGCGAGTGTTTGACATGAAGACATTTGAGGTCATCTTAATGTACCAAGTAACGAAAGTTTCTATGATTATCTGATTAAAACGGATGGTCAGTATTCGTTGATTTTGGAAAGGATGAAACCCGATTTGATTGAGATTTGATTGCCCCACTTTTGAGTCTCCGTTCCAACCATAGTCAATTCGGGTATCCCTTGTATCATATTGTAATCAACTAATTCTCTTCTCGCTTACTGGTCAGCCGGAGCATCTCCTTATTGGCCTTTGGATCAATTATGATCCCACAGAGTTTGAGAAGTTGAGGATCGCCTTCAATGAGAGTTTAGTGGAGATTACAAGTTCATTCGATTAGTTTTATTATTCGAAAGGAATCAACCCAAGTAAACAAGATCGAATCGATTTCTCAATCCTGGGTAAATCTTCCTTCCTCTTTACTATTATCCGGAAGTTTGACTATTGACTAACTTTGATTTATTCTTCGGCCCTGCAAGGCCTTCGTGGTATCTTTGGGTAATCGGGTACTTGACATTTAATAATAACATAATAATAAATAATAATATTTAACATGTAATTTATAATTCGCCTAATTAAAAGAAACTTAATTGTAATTAAAAGAATACGAGGATTTAAGGTTGGCGCCTTGTCCGTTTCTCTGTTTACTTTTTTCCAATCATATGTTTGGTTGATAATTTTTCTCATTTTCTAATTTGACAAGACTCAAGTTTTTATTTTCCAAATGATTAACAGTTGATTTGTTTTCTAATTAAATTAGTTTATTGTTGTTAATTGTTATTTAATTTGTTTTTCTTTACTTTATGTTTTTGATTAAATGATGAAACGATTCAAAGATGATCAACTTAACGTTTTTGTAAATTATTTTCTAGAAAAGAGAAACTATTTCAATGTAAGTGATTCATTGTTGATCTTGATTCTTGATTCTTGAAGGTTTCTTATTGATTGTTTCTTGTTGATTGTAATTATTTTAATGGTAATTGTTTCCTTTATTTAGACTCAACAAAGTCCAGGTAAACCAAAGCGAAGGTGTTTATCCATTAAAGAAATGGTCACAAGCAATATTGTCGATAATTGTGACAAAATTTTTCCTATTAGTGGACAATTGCCTTATGAAAACTGTGATGGAAACTTTTCTACTCCTACTGTTAATACAAATGCTAATACAAATACCACTGCGACTACAGATATAGATGCTAGGATATCACCATCGACAGCGTTAACATTAACATCAATATCGACATCGACATCGACACCTCTAAAACTAATTTGTGATAATGTGAATATGATACATACCAATAGTGAAAAGATAATCATGATGTGTGATGGTGAGAATAGAGGAAATGATCGAGATGATGGAGATGATGGAGAGAGTAATAGTAATGACAAAAGTAATTCAACAACATCGAGAAGAAGAAACAATTTGGAAAATGGATCATCAAGTGTAGAGAATGGATTTAATTCCTCTTCCTCTTTATCAAATAGCAATGAAGGCGATGATTTAGATGATTTGGACAATTGCTTCGAACAATTGAAACGATTACCTCCCAATATTCCGAGTTCATGTCTTGGCTACTTAGAGAAAGAAAGTCCTTGTAGTGTGGACATAAGAAAAGATATAAAATATTTCGCCGCAGGATTTGGTAATTGTGAGATTAATTTGTGGTCTTTGAAAGAGATTGGATTTGAGAGTAGGAAAAGTTCAGCGAATTCATCATGTTCCATATTAAATCCACTTCGATTAGCTGCTAGTTCAGAATTGATATTCGATCAAAATTATCTCATCAACAATAATCAATCTCAATTTAATTCATATTCTCAATCTCAATTCCATTCTATTTCTCATTCTCCATCTTTACGTCATCATAATCATCGTCCTCCACCTCATCATCATCCTCACCATACTCATCATCTTCATTCTTCTCAGCATCCATCTCATCATCACAATGTCCATAATCCTCAACACCAACATCACCATTCTGATCATCATCATCATCATCATCGTCATTATCATTCTCAACAATTTCGACAACATTCAAACAAGTCAAGTGGAGACAAAACACTTTCTGGTGCTTCCATTTTACGAGGACATTGTGGTCCAGTTTATGGTCTTAATTTTATCGAAAACTCTAATCATTTGATTTCTTGCTCGGAAGATACAACAATTAGAATTTGGGATCTTAACAATTGTAGAAACGAATTCGTTTATTGTGGTCATCTTTATCCGATCTGGACAATCGACAGTAGCCCATTAGAATTATACTTTGTCTCTGGTTCTAGAGACACAACTGCCCGATTATGGACCTTTGAACGACTTTATCCAATAAGGATCTTCACTGGACATTTGTTAGATGTCGATGTTGTTAAATTTCACCCAAATGCCTCTTATATAGCGACGGGATCATCAGATAAAACTGTAAATATTATTACTATTATTTGCTTGTTATTATTTCCTCTATTTTATTACTTCAATACGAATAACAATATTTACATTATTGTAATAGATTCGTCTTTGGGAAATTAAGTCTGGTCAAATGGTCCGTATATTGGAAGGTCATAAGTCGAGAGTCAATTGTTTAACTTTTTCACCCGATGGTAAATATTTAGTCTCTGGAAGCGATGATTTTACAGTCAAAATTTGGGATCTCAGGTCATCGAAAGTACCGATCTCGAGTCTATCATCACACCAATCATCAGTTAACGACGTTTCATTTAATGGCGATGGATCTGTACTCATATCAGCGAGTTCAGATCGATCAGTTAAATATTGGGACTTTAATCAACTCAAGTAAGCAGTAATGAACTTCTTCTTATTATTCATAATTAACTAATTTATATTCTTCTATTTAATAGAAACAACAATCAGCCATCATCTAAATGCTTATTAAACTCAACGACCACTGGATTATCAATAATTAAACTGAAAATGTTGAAACATAATGTGATTTATTTACATGGACGCAAATAAAAATAAATTAATAATTAGTAATAAAATTAAAACTTTGACTACAAAACTAATTTGATGATTGAGAGAATTAATAACTCGATAAATTAAAATCCCGGTGATAATTTGATTATAAATCAACCTGGGATAATTTATCGAACTAATTTTTCTTAGAATTGGTGAAACAATATTCGAGAATCAATCACAATCACAATTATCACAAATCACTAACTATTAGAAACGGAAATGAAAACGATGAAATTGTGAATAGACAATAAGCTTAATTATGATCCCGGTGATGTGATTAATTTATAATCATCAACCGAGGATAATCCAGCTAATCATCTAATCAAAATTATTATTTTGAGAAACTAAAACACGTTAAAAAAAGATGACCAACCAAACCAATTGACTCCATGAATTAAAATCCCGGTGATGCAAATACTTAATTTCATCAACCGAGATAAATTCAAAGAATCATTTGGTTTGTCGTTTAAATGTTTCAACAATCAATTAAACACTAGAACTTTTGTTCCACCATTTGAATGAGAACCACTGTTGATATCGATGAACAATGAAAATCGCAACGGATGATTTAGGGTCTAGTCTTGATTCGATAAAGTTGACAGGATTAGACTCAAATCATCGGTTCCGAAGTTCATTAGAAACTTGATTGACCAAAACTCGAAGATTCATTGGACTTTTATACTCATTTTCTGGTGTCAAGATGATAAAGAAGAGAGAAGGGCAAGGAAAGTGAGCTCGTGAGTGAGTAAAGGAGAGAAAAAGACTAAAAAGAAGATTAAAAACTAAGATATTTAGATTTTCTTTTCTTCTAAAAAGCTAATCAACATTTTTCGTCCATTTGGCTTGAGGCTAGTCCCGAGTTTAAAATATGAAGGTTTATCTTTTAATGGATTAACAATTTTCTAACTGAGCCAATGGAAGAATAACTTTTTTTCCTCTGTAAATTTTAATTTCATACGAAAAACTATCCGGAATAATCATCGAGATAATTAATATTTTCATCATCTTTTTATTTGATTTAATAAGAATTAACATTCAATAGCAATATAAACATTCCCATGAGTCTTTCCAAATGCTTGGAACTGCAAATAAACAACGACCACAAAGTTTACATTGTCGATATTGAATCGAAATCAAATCACAAGCAATCAATGAATTACAACATCGAGTCAATTTATGATCAGATGAACAAATCGCTTCTTTCGGATCTTCCATTGAAATTTCCCCATCACAAATTGGACAACATTCAGTTACAACTTTCTTTGGACACTCAACAATTAGATCACATTTTTCAGCCCAAATTGTAATATTATTAAAAGAAATACATTGATTAGAATTAAATTTCTCTTGCTCATTTACTAATTTCTCGTACATATTTTTAACGTGTCGTCGTAATATCAATGATTCCAATTTGTTTAATACTCTTTCAAACTCGTCAACACTTAAGTTGATTAAATTGTTCTGCGATAAAGCTAAACATACAAATCGCAATACTTGTAAGTTTAGACTCTCGAGGTTAAGTGAATTGTCCTCGAAATCAATCGGTTCATCAAATGCTTGTTTCAATTTACTTGGAATCCAACTACAATTAGTCGCATAATAACCTCGAAGACTATTAAGAAGGTCCATTATGTCGTGTAAACTGGAGTATTTCGTCTTCAGATCGGAATCGTTTATTAAACTTTCGAGCTTCATTGTCAATTCGTTAAAACTTATATCTATTGGAGAGAAATAACTAATTAGTTGATTGTTCATAATTTGACTTGATTTTCGACTCACTTGGAAAAATAATTATTCTCGTTGGCTCTTTCAATAGTAAGTGATCGTGTAGTTTGGTGATCATTTGAGCGACACAGGTCAGAACATTGTTTCGAGATGTTTTCAGGCTCAATGGTGACATATTAGAAGCGACTTCGTCCAAATTGATTGGGTGACTAGTTTGTGGCTCTAATTTGATTCCATTGATTTTCATCGTTGTAATTAACGAACCAGGAGATGAAAGGATTAAATCATCATTTGGTAATAGTGACATTCCAGTTATGTAGGGAGATGATTGACTTGGAATAATGGAGAGACTATTACCATCATCATCTAATTGTAAAATCTCCTTGTCATCAATATTAATTTCTTTCAATATCAAAATAATAATATGATCATTCTTGGTGAAGATTATCTTATATTTGTTAACTTCAATTTCTGTCATGATGATATGTTGAACTGGAATAAAATCTTTTTCTGACCAAAGGGTTAATTGGGGTATTAATGGCCAATCATTGAAAGTACAATCAATTATATCAACCGGAATCTTGTAGATAATTAGTTGACCATCAAGGCTACAAAGTATTAGAAAATTTTTAAACCATGAACAATAAGTTATCGAGGCAAGTCCAGTTTTCCATGTGTTGACCAGATTGACAGAATCATTATCATCAACATTTTCCAGCCAATTGGTTAAATTGATTCGGAAAAAGTGACAATGTCCAGATTGAGATGGACAGGCGAGTAAAACTGTTTCGACTCCATCAAGTTCAAAGACACAACTGAAACTCATCGATTGTATTGCCAATTTAGCTAAAAGTTCATACGCTTTAACTGATGAAATTCCTCGATAATGATCCCTGAAAAATCAAAATAAATCAGTTTAATTAGAAGAAGAGAAATTGATCAACAACAAAATCATCTTTCCAAACTTTGAGTATATCAAATTCCCTCCATTTTGTTTAACTCATTACAATAAGACAAAAGTTGCTTATTTACCCTAATTTTGTATCCAAAATGCTTGAACAATCAGCTAATTGTTTCCATTCATTGTTCTGAAAAACATATAATACCAATCGATGATCATAAGTAATCAAAGCCAATATTGAACCGAATTGTTTGATTCTCGGTGACCAGGCAGCCAATTGATATCGACAATAGTGACTTGAGAAACCATCAGTCAGGTGAATATGATGAAACCAATCACATTTCGCTTGTTGTGAGTAAATAAATTTCTTGACAGTTGAACTAATCCCCAAAGGTGGAGGATCAACAGGATTAGGGATAAAATGTTTATGTGGATAAAGACTGTTAGTTGAATCGGCGAATGAAAATTCTGGAGTAAATACAAATGCACCTTTTTCGGTTAATAAACAAATGAAATCATCTTGAGACCATTCAAGAGATGGGGAATCGTTAAGAGAAGATGTCGTGGTGAACATGAGGAAAACATTTGATTCACTCATAATCGCAATTTAATTAAAAAAAGATGAAATTGTTTCAATTAAAATGTTCAAAACTTTCACATGTTCACAAGTGATGATCAGATGTTTTGGTTACGAATCATTTTGATTGGGTAATATTGTCCCGCGAAAATCAAAAAGGGCCAAGAATTTAATTGTATCAGTAATTAATTTTCAATGGAAGTTTTAATTGATTTGAAATAATTATTGTATTATTTTTTTATCCAAAGATTTCAGAATAGTTTAAGTTGATTTAACGCGGAGAGACTCTTTTTACTCTAACTGGTTTTAAGATTAACACAATGAAAAAGGTAAAAGATGAAGACGAAAAAGTTTGAGGATTTGCCCTCGGGTCAAACGGATTTTTGAGCTTTATGATGATTTAGAGTTTTAAGATTTTATTGTTTTCAGTTGAGGAAATTGGTATAAAAGGTTGGACCTGAATGATGGTTTGGTCAGTCAGGTTTTGTCTAAGCTTCGAGTCGGATAAGTTGAGTCTAGAATTGTTTACAATTTAGTCTATCAAGACTAGACCCTAACTCATCCGATGCGATGTTTAATTGTTCATCAAAATCGATCGTGGTTTTTATTAGTGAAAAATTTCTAGTGTTGAATTGATTGTTGAAACATTTAAACGACAAACCAAATGATTCTTTGAATTTATCTCGGTTGATGAATTTAAGTATTTACATCACCGGGATTTTAATTCATGGAGTCAATTGGTTTGGTTGGTCATCTTTTTTAAAGTGTAATCAATGGTCATCATAATTTTGATTAGATGGTTAGCTGGATTATCCTCGGTTGATGATTATAAATTAATATCATCACCGGGATCATAATTAAGCTTATTGTCTATTCACAAGTTCATCGTTTCATTTCCGTTTCTAATGGTTAGTGATTTGTGATTTTGATTGATTTTCGTATATTGCTAATTAATTATCAGAAAAATTAGTTCGATAAATTATCCCAGGTTGATTTATAATCAAATTATCACCGGGATTTTAATTTATCGAGTTATTAATTCTCTCAATCATCAAATTAGCTTTCAACTTAAAGAGTAATTAAATCAAATTGCGTTGCTACTTTAATTGAATTCAATAAGCATTTAGATGAACGATTGTCGCTGCTAATCATAAGCAATTAACTAACTTCTGCCATCTTAAGTGTTGACGAGTTTGAAAGAGTATTAAACAAATTGGAATCATTGATATTACGACGACATGTTAAAAATATGTACGAGAAATTAGTAAATGAGCAAGAGAAATTTAATTCTAATCAATGTATTTCTTTTAATAATATTACAATTTGGGCTGAAAAATGTGATCTAATTGTCGAGTGTCCAAAGAAAGTTGTAACTGAATGTTGTCCAATTTGTGATGGGGAAATTTCAATGGAAGATCCGAAAGAAGCGATTTGTTCATCTGATCATAAATTGACTCGATGTTGTAATTCATTGATTGCTTGTGATTTGATTTCGATTCAATATCGACAATGTAAACTTTGTGGTCGTTGTTTATTTGCAGTTCCAAGCATTTGGAAAGACTCATGGGAATTTTTATATTGAATGGAAATTGTGATTTAACATAAAATCAATCACTCGAATTAGAAAAAAATGATGAACCTCAGGTTAATGAATGATGAGAGTGAAAATTTTCTTGAAGCGAAAATACCATGTTGATCTTATTTTCGAGATTTTTTCAATAAAAATTTCAATATAATTTAAACACATTTGGTTCTAGATTCGTTCTTTTCAACTGATTCCAAGATTAGAACGAATTAAGAGATTTAAGGTCAAGAAAATTTAGATTGGCCTCGAGATAAACGGATTAATCGAGAGTAAAATTTCACAGGTTTAATTGTTCTCACTCATTATCAGTTGAGGAAATTGGTATAAAAGGTTGGACCTGAACGATGGTTTGGTCAGTCAAGTTTTGTCTAAGCTTCGAGTCGGATAAGTTGAGTCTAGAATTGTTTACAATTTAGTCTATCAAGACTAGACCCTAACTCATCCGATGCGATGTTTAATTGTTCATCAAAATCAATCGTGGTTTTTATTAGTGAAAAAGTTCTAGTGTTGAATTGATTGTTGAAACCTTTAAACGGCAAACCAAATGATTCTTTGAATTTATCTCGGTTGATGAATTTAAGTATTTGCATCACCGGGATTTTAATTCATGGAGTCAATTGATTTGATTGATCATCACTGTACTAAAGTGTCTTTTGAAGTTTTGATTGAAGTTATAATAATTTCGATTAGATGATTAGCTGGATTATCCTCGGTTGATGATTATAAATTAATCACATCACCGGGATCATAATTAAGCTTATTGTCTATTCACAATTTCATCGTTTTCATTTCCGTTTCTAATAGTTAGTGATTTGTGATAATTGTGATTGTGATTGATTCTCGAATATTGTTTCACCAATTCTAAGAAAAATTAGTTCGATAAATTATCCCAGGTTGATTTATAATCAAATTATCACCGGGATTTTAATTTATCGAGTTATTAATTCTCTCAATCATCAAATTAGTTTTGTAGTCAAAGTTTTAATTTTATTACTAATTATTAATTTATTTTTATTTGCGTCCATGTAAATAAATCACATTATGTTTCAACATTTTCAGTTTAATTATTGATAATCCAGTGGTCGTTGAGTTTAATAAGCATTTAGATGATGGCTGATTGTTGTTTCTATTAAATAGAAGAATATAAATTAGTTAATTATGAATAATAAGAAGAAGTTCATTACTGCTTACTTGAGTTGATTAAAGTCCCAATATTTAACTGATCGATCTGAACTCGCTGATATGAGTACAGATCCATCGCCATTAAATGAAACGTCGTTAACTGATGATTGGTGTGATGATAGACTCGAGATCGGTACTTTCGATGACCTGAGATCCCAAATTTTGACTGTAAAATCATCGCTTCCAGAGACTAAATATTTACCATCGGGTGAAAAAGTTAAACAATTGACTCTCGACTTATGACCTTCCAATATACGGACCATTTGACCAGACTTAATTTCCCAAAGACGAATCTATTACAATAATATAAATATAATTATATAAATATTGTTATTCGTATTGAAGTAATAAAATAGAGGAAATAATAACAAGCAAATAATAGTAATAATATTTACAGTTTTATCTGATGATCCCGTCGCTATATAAGAGGCATTTGGGTGAAATTTAACAACATCGACATCCAACAAATGTCCAGTGAAGATCCTTATTGGATAAAGTCGTTCAAAGGTCCATAATCGGGCAGTTGTGTCTCTAGAACCAGAGACAAAGTATAATTCTAATGGGCTACTGTCGATTGTCCAGATCGGATAAAGATGACCACAATAAACGAATTCGTTTCTACAATTGTTAAGATCCCAAATTCTAATTGTTGTATCTTCCGAGCAAGAAATCAAATGATTAGAGTTTTCGATAAAATTAAGACCATAAACTGGACCACAATGTCCTCGTAAAATGGAAGCACCAGAAAGTGTTTTGTCTCCACTTGACTTGTTTGAATGTTGTCGAAATTGTTGAGAATGATAATGACGATGATGATGATGATGATGATGATCAGAATGGTGATGTTGGTGTTGAGGATTATGGACATTGTGATGATGAGATGGATGCTGAGAAGAATGAAGATGATGAGTATGGTGAGGATGATGATGAGGTGGAGGACGATGATTATGATGACGTAAAGATGGAGAATGAGAAATAGAATGGAATTGAGATTGAGAATATGAATTAAATTGAGATTGATTATTGTTGATGAGATAATTTTGATCGAATATCAATTCTGAACTAGCAGCTAATCGAAGTGGATTTAATATGGAACATGATGAATTCGCTGAACTTTTCCTACTCTCAAATCCAATCTCTTTCAAAGACCACAGATTAATCTCACAATTACCAAATCCTGCGGCGAAATATTTTATATCTTTTCTTATGTCCACACTACAAGGACTTTCTTTCTCTAAGTAGCCAAGACATGAACTCGGAATATTGGGAGGTAATCGTTTCAATTGTTCGAAGCAATTGTCCAAATCATCTAAATCATCGCCTTCATTGCTATTTGATAAAGAGGAAGAGGAATTAAATCCATTCTCTACACTTGATGATCCATTTTCCAAATTGTTTCTTCTTCTCGATGTTGTTGAATTACTTTTGTCATTACTATTACTCTCTCCATCATCTCCATCATCTCGATCATTTCCTCTATTCTCACCATCACACATCATGATTATCTTTTCACTATTGGTATGTATCATATTCACATTATCACAAATTAGTTTTAGAGGTGTCGATGTCGATGTCGATATTGATGTTAATGTTAACGCTGTCGATGGTGATATCCTAGCATCTATATCTGTATCTGTATCTGTAGTTGCAGCAGTATTTGTATTAGCATTTGTATTAACAGTAGGAGTAGAAAAGTTTCCATCACAGTTTTCATAAGGCAATTGTCCACTAATAGGAAAAATTTTGTCACAATTATCGACAATATTGCTTGTGACCATTTCTTTAATGGATAAACACCTTCGCTTTGGTTTACCTGGACTTTGTTGAGTCTAAATAAAGGAAACAATTACCATTAAAATAATTACAATCAACAAGAAACAATCAATAAGAAACCTTCAAGAATCAAGAATCAAGATCAACAATGAATCACTTACATTGAAATAGTTTCTCTTTTCTAGAAAATAATTTACAAAAACGTTAAGTTGATCATCTTTGAATCGTTTCATCATTTAATCAAAAACATAAAGTAAAGAAAAACAAATTAAATAACAATTAACAACAATAAACTAATTTAATTAGAAAACAAATCAACTGTTAATCATTTGGAAAATAAAAACTTGAGTCTTGTCAAATTAGAAAATGAGAAAAATTATCAACCAAACATATGATTGGAAAAAAGTAAACAGAGAAACGGACAAGGCGCCAACCTTAAATCCTCGTATTCTTTTAATTACAATTAAGTTTCTTTTAATTAGGCGAATTATAAATTACATGATGTTTGTAATTGAAATTTAGGAATATTATCAGAAAACGATAATTAGATTGAACTAAGAGAGAAAATTAAAAATCAAAATGAAATGATTGATATAAAAATCTTTTGATTCGAGGTATCGACATGTCGACATATCGATGGTAATGATTGGCTGATTGTAAAAGTAATTAATTTGATTATTTATCTTAATAATCTCGCTCTTATATTAAGACAAACAAAGGCTAATACCCTGAAAGCGACGAGTAAACCTGCTAAGGCGATAAAATTTCGAGTCACATTGTCTTCTTCGAAGTTTAATTTTCGAATGACTCCTTTTCCGTCCAATATGCATCCTAGTCCACTCGGTATAGCATCTTGAATATCATCGGGAATCATTTCGGTCATATTGGTCATCATGGAGCTAAAACCACCCAAAGAAGGCGGCAATTCACAAGTAATATTGGTCACTTTTCGCCATTGGTTAACTACTAGAATCTCATTTCCATAGTAGAACCAACTAATATACTTGATCCAGTTAAGATAAACGGGAATTGATCTGGAAATAAGTTAAGTAGATTATAAGTTAATTGGATATTCTAAATTACTAAATGAACTATTTACTTGTTATTCAAAAAGAGGCCTCCGAAAAGCATAAGAGGAATCATAAATGGCGGAGCTATTGAAAGACCCATAGTAACATTTTTACTAATACAAGAGATGAAATAACCAAATCCACAGGCAACATTGGCAATTAGCACTAACACAAATGCCGTGAGTAAAAACACCTCGAAGTCATTGTAAAGTCCAATCATCCAATAAGTTATAGCAACAAATGCGAAAGGTAACGCGATGAAATAAGGTAATTCGGCGAGCGTTTTCGAGAAGAAATAAACGGTCACCGAATAGAGTCCGTTACCATATTCTCGTACGAAAATGGGAAGTTCCAAACAAAAGGTCTAAATTGTTACAATTTAAAGATTAATTTACAATTATCGCAGAATATATTCGATAGTAACTTACATTTACCACAGCGAAAACATTGGTGAATGTTATATTCGCAAGTAGAATGAAAAGAGCACCGTCGATGTTCATAATTGATTCTTGATTGTATTCTTGTCTCCAATAAATTACTCCCAATAAAAGAGCAATAAACTAACAATTTAAAAGAGAATAAGAAATTCAATTAGTTACCTTTTTACCTTTAATTTCGCAGCTACAAAGGGTCAGGAAACTTACTACTGTCTGAGCGATTCTAACGGAGGTTAATAATGGTTCTCGTAAATTGGTGACCCACGATCGCCATAAAACCCATTTTAATTGTGTCCAAAATCCTCTCTTATAAGAAGAGTCTATTTTTGATTTATATCCATCGTCTAATTCAAGAGAAGGTTGTTTAGATTTGTTATTTAAACTTGTTGCGAATTCTGATTCGGTAAATTTGTCACAAATTTCCTAAAAAAGGTAATCAGTAAATTGCGAAAGAAAAGTTAAATTAATTGTTATCTCTTGTTGGTCATCTCTTTGTTTCTCTTTTAGTGGTCTAATAAACTTACTCCAACTTTTCTCTTGCATTCATCTTCCTTTCCTGGAGCGATGGCCAATTGTTGAATATAAAAATCGGCAGGATTGTAATTCTGTGGACAGTTAAATCCGATTCCGGCGAAAAATTTAAGAGCGTCGGATGATTTGCCCATAAAAGCGACTCGACCTTGAGAGAGAAGTAAAATTTCATCAAACATCTCAAACACTTCTGATGAAGGTTGATGAATAGTAGCCAGAATTGTCCTTTTGGTGGCCGCCATAGACTTGAGGACACTAACGACACTTTGAGCCATAAAAGAGTCGAGTCCTGAAGTTGGTTCATCGCAGAAAAGTATCGATGGATCCGTTAAAATCTATTGTCAACAAAAAGAGACAAAGATAATTGAATTGGACATTTATCAATGGTAACAAAAGGTAAACAATTACCTTCTCAGGTATTAATGTACATGAGAGGGAACCTCAATATCTTAGTGGCTCATCTTCATATTTTAAGAGGGAGAGAGAAAATTTTCAAAAAGATGACAAAAACAACGACATAATTATCTTTTGTTATTGATTTACTTTTACTCTAATTTTCATCAAGATAAGACAGAAATTGAGAGAGAGAGAGAGGAAGAAAGGGAGGGAGGGAGACCTTCAGTCTTAAAGAAAACCTTTTCTTTACTCAAGGGATTGGTCAGTTTTCTAAAAGTGGGGCCCCTCAAATGACCACAGGATAAAAACAATTACCTCAGAAGCGAAAGCGAGCCGCTTCATCTCTCCTCCAGAAATCGACTTGTCCATTCCAGGTGTACCAATGCGACTATTTTCAATCTTTTTCAATCCCAACTGATGAAACAAAATAAGAGAACGAAATTGATTTTAAATGATTGACATTGGAAAATGTAAGATATTTCTCGTCAATGGACTATAATTACCTCGTTAATGACGTTGTTGACCTTTTCTAAAATTTCCCGTTCTGATGAGTTGGTGGTTCGAAGGTGAGCCTAAAGATATAATATTGGATAGATTTTAATTGAAGAGCGATTTGTTATTATTAGAATAGTTTTGACAGTTAATTGATTTGGAGATGAGAAGTTGAATCTAACCTGGAATAAAAGATGTTCTCGAACAGTCAATACACCGATGAACATATCATCTTGTTGTACATAAGCTGAACATGCGGCTGTCATGTCAGCGGTGGAAATTTGACCGTTAAGATAAACTTTACCGCGAACATCAAGATTCCTAAGGTTCCGTCCAGTTAGAACATTTAGAAATGTCGTTTTACCAGCTCCTGAAGCTCCCATGATGGCAAGTAAATGACCGCTGTCAATTTTACCCGAAACTAAACAAAACAAAAACATTGAAAGAAAAATGATTCATTGATAGACAAACAATTCTCATTAAAAAGATTATCCATTATCATTTAATGGATTAAAATACTAATTAGAATCAATAGGATTTTGATAATTGCAACAACCACATTCGCTTTTGAATATCTTGATAACAATTTGTATTAATAGTTAAGTAAAGCGATCAAGGTGAGACAGGATTAAGAGAGGGAGGTTGATTGATTTACATGGAAAATCAACAATTAATGTCAATATGATTATAATGGAAGGGAGATAAATCCAAGATTAAGATCAATAAAATGTAAGAAAATTAGATAATTACTATTGTATTGACTTACCCTCTTTTATTATTTCGATTGGTTTAGATTCATTTTCGGATTTACCTCCGATTAAGCCTTTAGCCGGTCGAGAGGAGACACTTAAATCTCGCCATTCAATACTGACCCTTTGGAAAGTTCCACCTCGTGAATTTTTCTCAGCTGACCCATCCTGGCCCACTGAAATTGGAAACAGGGTAACCATTGATTAGAATGACAAAATTAAGTATCCATAATAACAATAAACCGAGAAGTGAAAACAAAAACAAGAGAGAAAGTGTTGCACAAACAAAGAGACTTTATAAAAGATTAACTCGTCTAATCGATAAGCTTCATAAGATAATCTAGAGATTCTCTGACAATTTTAATGGAAATTTATTCTCAATAAAATTAAGTTAATGAGGAGAATTGATTTTCCATTGTAGGATGAAAAGAAAATACGAAAACATTAGTTGCGGTTTTTGGATATTCGATTTAATGATTTTCGAGATTAACGTTTCCATGGTTACCGAAAGAGGGAAAAATCGATCCCCTCATTGGGTAACATTCTATCAACTTTAATGAATTAGATTCCCAATTAATCACAATTAACATTTTATTCTTAATTGTTTGGTTAATTGTAATCGTAATTGAATCGTGTTCAAGGTAATTGGTTCAAATTGTTTCATCTTCTTTTCTTTTCTCGTTCTTTTGTCCTGTGAAAATTTGATTTGCTTTCGCTCTGAAAAACAAACACTTTACTTTTCTTTGTATTTGCTGATTTAATTGTTAATCTTTTTCATTTCTTCTTCATTTAATTGTAATTTAATGGATCCTGATACTCATACCATTCTGTGATGTAACGATCTCGTCTTCGATGTAAGCTGAATTGACGAAATATCGATTTGGTTCCTTGGCCTCTGATTCCTCGATAGTTATAACCGCAACTTCATTTGAAGACATTGTTGACACTTTTTGGAAACAAAAACGAAACGTTTAATTGACAATTATCTTGCAATTAATTGGATTTGGTAATTAAATCCTATTAAACTACCAATGTTAATTAGAAGTTATAAACTTCACCGTAAAGTAAATTGATAACAAACAAGTCACTTGATTCAGAAATTTCCAAAACAAAATTCACTCTATTGATGTTTCTTTGTATGATTTAGATGTTGATGGATCAATTTTTGAGAATAACTTGAAGTTCATGGGATTACAATTAATTTGGAATTTAGAGATTAACACTAATTGTACTAATTAACTGGATCACAACTGGATTGCACTTTTATAACAAAAAAAAGTGAACAACTCATCTCGTTGATGGAATATTTTTTTTGCACTAACAGAGCACTTTCAATGGTATTAATGATCAGAGATATTGGAAGATAATTTAACCATGGATACAAATCAATGACAATTTGAGATAATTGTGATCAAACGTCATCTCACCAATTGAAAAAATTTCAATTAGTATTTAAACTACTCTGATTGTGATCTATTTTCCTACTGAAACTCATAACTACCAACAGGATTTACCCTTAAATTATCATCAACGCCAGAATCACAATTGTAAATCTAATTTTACTCGCTGATCACAATCAGTGTTAAGCAAAAAAAAAAATGTAAATTGATAACAATGAAAGCAACTTGAATCGTTCTGGATATGAACTGATAAACAAGTTGTAAGCAATTTAATTTGACTCTTACAATAGTTAATTGTTGAGAAATACTATCCAATTTAAGATGTAAACCTTGGAATGTAAAATTCAATCTACTTAAATTAGTTTGTCTTTCAAATTCATCAGATTAATTAACCACAATTCATATGTACTAGTGTGTATATTGATTCAGTTAATTGTCATCTTCATCAGAAGCAAAAGTAACACCCAATTAGAGGCGTTAATTTATATAATTTAAGCAAAACTGGCTCTCTAAGGAATATCATTTAAACAATAAGCCAAAAGGAAGCAATTGATTTTAATTTTACAAAATCTAAATCAAGGATTCGATGTGAAGATTAAAACTTAATTAAATCCCAATCAATTAGTTAATTATGAGAAAAATCAAATGACAACAAGAAAAAAGAAACAGTTTCCGTTTTCTAATTACTATCAATGAATAATCTCGAACTGTTGTTTACTCTATTGGTGATTTTCAGCCCAAATGAACAAGGAATCAAGTTAATTGTTGATTGTCAGAATCAATGTGCATATGCCATTCCCAAATACGCTGTTTATCATGGTTCGAGTGGGCTAATGTGGCTCGTTTCGGATAGTGAAAACACGAGGAGATCCAGGCTACAATTGATTAGACAACCGCTTGATTATTTCCATCCTTATCGAAATGAAGGAAAACTCGATGACTTGTAAGTAAATTACGAGCGATTTTCAAACAATTAATCATCTAAGGCCAATTCGATACACAGAGAGGTTTCATCAATACTTCGATTCCCACAGAACCTCGAATCATCAATGAAACACGATGATTCCGATTTCCCTTATTGGGGCTTACCGTCGGTAATTATAAACAATTAAGTTACACAGTCCAAGTATTAAAAGCTAATTAACATGATAATTAAACAGGATTTGGGAATAGTTTACTATTGGACTACATTTAGAGACTCAGCACGTCCTCGTACCTTACAAGCTAATGCAGAACTCCCTATGAGGATAATCTCTAGGATGCCTAGAGAGATCAAGTCAATTTTTACCGTTACAATTAAATCTGGATTTGCTTATTGTGCTTCTTATAATAGTGAGTTGATATATAATGAGAATATTATTTTGATAATTGGCTTGAACATTTCAGATGGAAGAGGCAATCAAGCTGGTTTTGTCTGTCATGATGATAAAAATGACATACTGGTCAACGAAACTGGACATCTCTTTGAAGCGATCGATTTGTTTCATCATGGGGATAAACCAATGGGAGTTTTATTCCAAATATTTAATGCATATTCTTGGTACCAATATTTTGAAATTGAATTTCAACCGAACAATTTATTAGTAAGTTTGTAAAATAGAATCGATAATCAATTCCAATGAATATCAACTGAAAATTTTTCAAACAGAAATTGAACCGTGTTAGCTCTTGGTTTCACGAATCTGATCCGTTCGATGGATGCTTTCCATCTTTCTGTTATGGCCTCATTGTAGAAATGGCCTTAAGGTACAATAACACGTTTTACTTGGGTTCCAATCAACTTGTTGTCGTGACCAATGATCTAAATTATCACACTGGTAACGTTAGACAGCCAACTCAAAATGAAGGTTTTCTCAAGCACTATTCATTGACTGCTGTTGATTCATTTGTCTTCTATTATCAGGTTTGCTTTTATTTCTGCTGATTGTTATTTGATAATTTTCTTAACTGTTACAATCATTTAATTTGATTCCTAGGATCGAGCAATTCATCAGGTTAATCCACCGAGAGGACTTTTAAAAGTGGAACTTGGTCAAGGTGAAGCCGATGCCTCGTTCACTTTGAGGACAAATCATTCGACGAGACTTTTTTTCCTAAAAGGTAATTTATTACCGTATTGTGGCACATCAATGGTGTCAATTTGTACAAAGATTTTTAGTACCGGTTAAAAGCACTTTCTTGGATTAATTAATTGGGGACGTTTTAATTGTTACAGTTTAAGTTTTTTTTTGTTTAATTTTGGTAACAAATATGACCGATCATTTGATTTGTTCCTATTGTTATTCAAATCAATTGAGTTATCAATGAAATAAGGAACAATTTCCCATAGTAATTCAAACATTAAGCTTACTATTGGCCTTTAACCGGGTAATCGAACAGTTTTTGTTCGGAAATTTTTTTTATTCGAATGCGCATTAATGAGTTTGTGCTTCTAATTTGACATAATATTTAATGGCTCCGGTGCCATTATGGTGTCCGGTGTCTATACGGTAATCGTTGACAATTTTGTCTCAATTAATATTTTATTCTCATTCTAATCTAATCCATTTTAGATTCGGTTTACCGAACAGTTTTATATGTTCCTGATGCGGCAGTTAATCTGATTACTGATACAGAATATGATTGGCGATTAAAAGATGTTGATTTGAATTCTGATTGGATTCCGTTAATTACTGATTTTAATAGTTTCATGTACGTTGATTCAGCTCTCGAATTGACTAGAGATCGTATTATTTTTTTCTATGGATCTTATTACATGATAATCACAAATTGGACTGAAGTTTGTATTAATTCATTTTTCGTTAGATTGATTGTTTACCGTTCCAATTTTTAACTCAATTCAATTTTCTTCTCTTAATCACCGACAATTAAGGATGGACATCCTATTCCATTAGATTATCCAGTCCAAATAATTTCCAGTTCTTTCTTCAATTGTCAAGGTGCGAGTTATTCCAATACGCCTTATGAGACATTCAACGCGTCCATTGAATTTCTAGAAGCGTATCTACCGAAACGATATCAAATTCCCCCTGATGAAGGTAATTGATTGTCCATAAGTTGTTTTCTCGATCACAATTAATCTTTTATCTTTTTAATCATCATAGTTTTACACTCGATCTTCTTAATTCTTGGATTAACGGTTTCGAGCTTAACTTGTGCTTCGATTGTTGTATCTCTCTCAATAATCGTTATTTCCTCTAAATGTCGCGAAAAGGTTCAAACTAAAGCTCAGGGGGTCGCAATTCAGACCATGGAAGATCAATCTTCGAGCGAAACTGAGACAAGAAATTCTCCCAAAAAGGTCGAAGTGATAAAAGAAATTAAATCCTCGAAATATAAGGCTGGAAAGAGGATTAAATCACCATCGAGACCACGAGACCGAAACAAATAAATTCGATAAGCAAGAAAATCGCAATTTCTAATCTGATTTAAAGTCAATGTAAAATTTGTACCTTTTGAGAATTAGATTCATTCAGATAAAAGATGAATTCTTAAAAGTTTATTTTAATAGTTTCTCAAGATAATTTTCAAAGTTCTAAAGAAAGGCGTCTCTGTTTTGCGACAAAACGAAAAAATCAAGGGTTTGGGAACGATAATTAAGTTTCAAGTCTGAAGTTGAATCTTAACTTTGTACTTTAAAAAACATTGGGATAATATCTAAGAGGTGAAGATCACATTGATAGGGTAAGAAAGTTTGGTGACAATTGAAACAGTTTTCGTTATTCTGATCATCTTTTTATAAATGACATTAAAAGTTGTGTAATTTTGGGTTGGATAAATGATTGAGAAGATATTTCTACGTCCAAAATAAGTACCATGAGCTTCAATTAGTACGATTGTGTGAATTGGTCAAGATTAATCACTTTCTCCAATTTCTATTTTGACTCTCCCTTTTAGAAAACTGAATTGCTTCAATATCTCTTGATAGCTTGTTCATTTGGAGATGATATTGTTCCTTCGTTTCGGCCAAGTCTTTGGTCAATTTGTCTAAATCGTTCTGACTTTCCTTTCCGGCCAAGTTATCCAGTTTATGATTCAGCTCGTTGATTGTCTCCTGATTTTCTTTCAAGATTTTGGTTAGTTCTCTAACTCTAGCTAGAGCTTCTTGAGCCTTAGTCTCGCTCGTGGCCAATTCATGTACCATTTTGAAAATCCTTTCCTTGGCTTCGGCCTTTTCAGCCTTGGTCTTTTCCAATTCTGTAGTTAAGGAAGCAATCGTCTTTTGATTGGCTGATTGAACAGAGAAAACTTTACTGGTCAATTGATTGATAGATTCTTGTTTAGAATGTTTGACTGTTTCCAGTTCTTTCGTTAATCGATTAATATTTTCAGAATTATCAGCTATGAATTTTTGTAATTCTTTAATAACACTGTCTTTCTCTGATTGTAAATCGTCCAATTTCTTGCGCCAACAAGAATCAGTATTCGTATTCAAAGCCTTATAAAAATCCATCTCTGCTTTCAATCTGTTAATGGTAACCTTGTCTTCATCCTTTACCGCTCCAAAAGGTTTAAATGTTTGAACAACCGATGATTTAACAGCAATTTCGTTATTTACAAATAAATGGTTGGATTCTTTACTAGACTCATATTTCCGAACCATTTGGAGGCTACTATGAGCTTGCGAATCCTTTGCTCTCTTACGGAGATTGTCAACCAACTGATGGAGCAGCTCATTTTCTTGACAAAGACATTCAATCTGCTCAGAGTAGACAGCACAATTATCACAAAGATGGTTACTAGTGTTAGAATTGTCCAGTTGATGATAACTAGCAACACCTTCCTCCCTGATTGAAGAGGCAAGATGATTAAAATGAGTCAGACTCTCACCAGAATCACCATTATCACCATAATTACTGTAAACTTTAGCAACGACAGCACCAAATTGTGATCCGGATTGATTAGAAAAACCTTGGTTAGGGAAGTTATTCATTGTTAATCAGAGGAGAACAAACAAAAAATGAGAAAAATAGAATAAAAAAATGGTCAGAGAAACACAAGAGATGAAGATGAGAATCGTTGGACAAAACACGCGAAAAGTGATGAAAAAACACTAATCAAGATGGAAGAATAAATTTACACCAATTAAAAGACAAATAGAGATGAAAAGAAATAATTAAGAATAAAAAAGTAAAATTAAAACAAAGAATCAATGATGTAGCTTTTTTACCGAATAGACATAATCAATTGGCTTCTTTTCCGTAGACAAAAAAAGGGGAAACACAAAAGAGAAAAGAATTAAAGAAAAAAATAAAAAGAATATTAAAAATTCTCTTTCTATCTCTCTCTCTCTCTCTTTCTCTACAACTTTGTGGTTCACGATAACCAACAGCTCAATTTACTTCTAGTGGATTTAATTACAGTGATTAAAATGATCTCAGATTAATAGAAATTCAACTAAACAGTTAATTTATATTGGAAAACAACTTAATTGCTAACCAATGATAATTAATTTTTTAATTTAAAAAAAAACGTTAACCCTTTGAACTTCTCCGGTGTTGCCATCTAGTGAGTCCGAGGGAAAAACATTTAGCTTTTTTTTTGTTTTTCTCCAACAATTAAAATTGTTTAACAGAATCAAATTTAATTTGTTTTTCTTTTTTTTTGAATAATTAATAGAATTGGTTTCTTGATTAGTTTTAAAGAGTATCGTTTGAGAATTTTCATCGGTGCCGATCAATTTTCTAAGGTAAAGTATAAGATAAATTTGCAAGAAAAACAATTGACTAAAATTGATGATTTTCTTTATTACTTAATTGATGATTCTTGTTAATTATTTTCTTTCTTTTCTTTTGTTTACAGTGATTAAGTTTGTGTTTAAGTGTTTAATCGCTCATGGAATTCCTGATTTAATCGTTTTGTGGCTAATTGATGCGTTTATGAGATAAGCAGAATCAAAGGTTTGCAGATTTGAATTTCTCAATCCCTTGACCCCAATGTCCGAACCTTTTGTTTGAAATCCAAAGCGCGAATGAGCAACAATTTCGCTCACTTCCTGACAACAATTGACAATTCTGTTAATTGCATAGATAGCATGAGAATTTACTGGACTTGAAAAGCCTCAACAAGGATATTTTCAAAGATAAAGTGCTGTTACATTTATCGAAGGCAAGTTAGAAAATCTGTAAATTATCAATATATCAGGTTCGCAATTAGAAAGAAAATCCATTTCTGCATGGTATTGGACACTAACACTAATCAGTATTTAACATGTCGAGAGTTCGAAGAGTTGAAGGCTTCTACCATCACTCGAATGGATAACCCATGTTATTGTCCGCTTCATGGAGGAAGAGTGCCCAGTTATGAAAATCGATTCGACTTTACTATGCACCTCATTAAAATGGATGTTTATTGTTTCCAGTGTGTCCGATGTAATTTGGTGTTCGTTAATTTCGATGGCTATAAAAACCATGATAATCTAAAAAAATGTATTCAAAATGATTTAGAGAGTCACTTTATTATTATTCACGATTATCCTCGGATTTCCATGAGACTTGAAACCAGAGCTTCCAGTTGATTAAAACATTAATTAACAGAAATTCAACTGGAAATACATTTGACCTGCCAGAGTATAAAAAATGGTTCATTGAAGAAAACGTTAGCTGTACTTAATCTGGACAATCAACGCGGTTATAATTGTCCAATTTTAAATGGCAATCTAATTTATCGCTTAAAGGAACAATCAATTTAATTGGACAATCATGATAACTTTTCATTCACTCTCACACTATTTAAGGTGAACCGGTTGAAAGGTTAGTTTTCAAATTGATGGGGATATTTTTGTGTCTTGATTCTTAATCATCATGTAAATTTGACTATTCGTATCACTATTTAACAATTATTATCCGATTAATTTATTAATAGATTCATCGTTTTGAAAAATTGCAATTGGAAAATAATCATTGCGAGATGACAAACAAATGATGAGTTAAGGAGGAGCAAAAGTCATGAATGAATTATTCCAAGGAGTGTAATTCAAAATCTCTCATCATGTTTACCTAAGTAGTTAATCATTTCAACAATTATCCACGTTACTTGTTTCTATTTATTTAACTATTATTTTCCTTCATAATTTATTCAAACACATAGATACCTGATACAAGCAGCATGATGATTCCTTCTAACGGTAAAGCGATGGATTTAATTTCGTGAGGTGCTTGAATCACGATAATGTAGTAACATTTACCTTGATACCTTATTAACTTACATCTTGTATAAATCACGCAATCAACTAATTAATCTGCTACTGTACTGGCTAAACAAAACATCAACACTCACTCACACAGAAACAAATACGAGGTTCATCCCTCTTGTAATCATTTGAAAGAGCATAAAACAAATTAACTGATGAAATTGAACAATAAGAGAAACTGATTAATGAGAAGCTGATTAACCGTATATTTAACCAGAAACAAGGGTTCCAGTTGAATTGACGATGACCAATTGGTTGATTAAACCATGAACATTGATCTGGAAAATAGATTAACCATGAAGCCCATTGGCCTGGTCATGATTAACCATCAACAACTAAATCAGAAATGGTTCATTCCGATTGAATTTTAGTTACTATCAGCAATTAACTCCTTTCATTTACCAACAATATGGATGATGCAACAATCAAAGTATCCTAACCAGTTTCATTTGAACTGTCAAAAAATTCACTCTCAATAATTAAACCCACTCACAAAAGTCACTGATTTTAATTCATTTGATTATTTTAAACATGATAATCAAGTGAAATAAATTGATTGCAATTTAAATATTACATTCTGATGATATTTTCCAAGTCATCCAATTGTATTAACACCCATAACTGCAATTGAAGCTGAAAACAACCAAGATGAACATTTAATTGCATCGCAATCAATATCAAATAAAGTAATTAAATATTATATTAAGTGAGAGAAAGCAAATGTCATCATACAACTACAATTAAACGAGAATCAAATGAATCATAAATTATTTTCTGATCAACTTTCACTGGAAATCACAGAACTGTTATCAATCCGACAATCAACTGAACCTCTCACGAATTGGATTACAAATTAATTGTCAAAAGATGATTCAGTTAACCATCAAGTAAGTTAATCATTTAGATTCTCATGATAACCAGTTTAATTTAATGATCTTTTCCTATTCTATTGTATTAATAAACTTTTCTTTTCATAGTCAATACTGTCTAAAGAAACTTGAACTTGGGTGGAGTTCAGTGGGTGGCGGTGGGTAAAAGGAACGATTCATTCATGTAGAAAAGAAAAAAGAAAATTTTCTAAACTGGATTTAGTTGATTATCTCAAATTGTTAACGATTAAGATGATTATTAATGCTTCCATTGTATCCATTCACTATAATGGAAAGAAATTGTTGATATTGATTATTTTGGGTTAATTGTAACAATCGAGATCATTGTTATTGGTTAATCTTTCTCATCATATTATGTTTCTTATCATTGTTTCCTGTGTTCATCAGTTTAATCACATTGGACAAACAACAATTAATCTAATCAATGTAATCTCTTTGGAAGTCATTGTTTCCGTTATAATTAATATTATGATTTATTTCATTATTAACATGAGTAAATGAAACTGTTCAAGTTTAATCACTTGAATCAATACACTTGTATCATTGAAGTTTAATGTTGTAATTAAGTCAAGTGGTTAAGTCTTGTAGTCATAGTGATTAACTGGAAAGATTAATAATTAGATATTTACAGTAAATCTCAGGTTTGGACAAGAAAAAAAAACCAAATTGCTTTATTATCGTTTCTTATTTTTGCAATTAATTGTAAACATTTTTTTTCTCATCGTAAAAAATATTGTTCATGTTGGTAAGGGTTTCCTTTTAAATCGTATTATTTAGGAACGATAATTGTTTGCTAGAAATTTAAATTGCTTTTTGATCAAAATTGCTACAAACTATCAGAATATAATAATATAATTAGAATTTGCAGAAAACGTTAATTCGTTGATTAAATTAAGGCTTGCGTTTTTCGTTTAAGGCAGTTATTGATTGTGAATGTGATCGTGTGTGTGTGGGTATGTCATGTTTGCTGTGGTTTGTTTGGTTACAAAAATATAATAAAGGTGAGTCATATTGTGGCTGTTAGTTGATCATTGGAATGATACATTGATTACGTGAATGAATTCGGTACGATGGTGATTAAAATTGAATGGAAAGAAGTGTGTAAGGATAACTGGAAAATATATCCGTATGATTTTCCATGTGATTGTGGCCTTTCCTTGTGAAATGCGATTCGTTTGTGAAAATAAATTCATACAAATTGAAGATACATACAAAAATGGAGCAGCAAAATAGACTCGGTTTCTTGTTGACCATAAAGATGAAAAAGGTTCCAAGTAGGAATTAGATAAATCATTCAGCTGATTCTGTGTGTTGATTTAGCAGCCATATCAGAGAAATAAATATCCATGTGAATGGGGTGATGAGGTTGGTAAATTGTTAGGCGATTTATGCTTTGCGAATCTCACTTTAAATTGTTTTCTTTGTACAAAAACAAACACAGTTGGACGGTTGTAGTTGATTGAAAATATGACAAAGACTTTGGGAGATGATGTGTAACATTAAATTATGTTATCATTCACAAAAAAAAGTTAAAAGTTGTTGGTCCATGTTAGATGAAAATGTGCAATAGTAAAAATTAATTTTGTTCTATGCAAGTTAACGTTTCCATGGTCTGACTTTTTTATGATCACGGAACTGACACAAAACTCTCAGACAAAGCATAGATTTCAATGATGACAGGAAATAAAATGAATTTTGATGAAAAGTTGGTGGTAAATTGTGTGACCATGATGGTGAAGAAAGTAAAAGAGGCGAAATAGTGAAAAGTGATGACACAAGATGAAAAAATAAGCTGGGGAGAGCACAGTAAAAGATTTTACAATTTTGGACAGGTTAAGGAGTCTTGAGATCTACAATTGAATGATTTGATAAATTGTGGCGATGAGCGGACAAGTGTTTCCACTCTAAGATTTCCAGGTAAAGTTGACATAGTTGCGAAATAATTTGCAGCGTATCCTGATCTTACTGATTCACAAAGAGACTGTTTTATAGGAGGAAAGAATTGAAGAGAAAACATGAGTGATTTAGTGGAAAATAAAAGATAAATCAGATAAATGAGATAGTTATTAACCGGTTCCATAATTGTCTTACCTGAGCAAAAGCTACGAAGAAGAGTTGATCATTGTATAAATATAATCCAGGTAATGGGTGATCTTGTCCTTCTAGAGAAACTTGTTGCAGATAAGTTTCGAAAGCGATTTGTAGCCCATAGATATCGATGATTGTTTGTGGCAGAATTAAGTCAATATCAACCTAAAGGGCAAATGTAATAAACGTAATTAGATTGAATTAGAGGGTATTTTTTGAGGGAAAATAAATATTTGTTTATCATTATATTTACCATAGAAGATCCATTAACATATTTCATCTTATTGGCAAGACAAGCTGAACTGGAATTTAATGCAGCAATGGAATCATCTGTAACTATTTTGAATCCTTCACTGATTTGACCAAACCGATCATAGAAAATTCCTTCAAAACTGATCGATTTAAGCATTTCAGAGGCAATATGAAAACCCAAAGATCCAAAGTGCATCACTGATGGGTAATCATGTTGGTAAATAGGTTTCGATAGTAAACCTAAGCCGATGTAAAGAAGATTACCAGCATGTTGATAAAAGGCTTTAGGTTCAAATGGTGGAATGGGCCAAACTTCTTGCGATGATTTCAACTGATTTTCAAACATCTTTTTACGTAAAAAGATATGAGCGTTGGCCACTGATCTAATTAATGAACTGTCTAAAATTACATTGAGATAATAATTATCCATTTCTGATCTGCTATTAAATCCTTCAGAGAAACCAAATTTAACTCGTAAATTGTCAATTTTATCCTTTAAACGTTCACTTGTGTCACGATCAGTTACCCAAGGTAACATGTTGACTTTTTCTTTTAGCTTATTCTTCACTCTCTCCACAAGCGAATCTACAGCGGGACTAATGTACTGAACGTCAAACTTTTCCAAAAGAAGGGTAGTTAAACCTGGTCCGTAAAACTTTTGAAGAGTTTCAATACAAAATTCCCAACGATCTCCATCTTCGGAACTGGGTTCAACTCCGTTAAGTGCCTTTTGAAAGTCAACATAAACCATTCTGGTGTCGTGGCCCAAGTAGGGAGCATATTCAGCAATAAATCTCCAGATTAAGTAAGTATTAAATAAACTGAAAATGAATTATTAGGAAATAAAAAATTATTGAAACATTAGATGAATCATAATGAAAAAAATTCTTTCATAAAATAAATTGAGAAAAGGGTAAACAACTTACTCATTATTTGATGATCCAAGTATAGTGGAAAGAGATCTGAAATAAGCAATATCATAAATGACTATTTGTGTGTTGTCTCTGAAGGGTAAATCGTTTAAGCCTGAGTAACTTTGGATAAAGTCAGGCCATTTAATGGAAGGGAGCAAGTTTCTTAAATCTCTGATTTTCGCTCTTTCCATTAGCTGAGAAACATTCCAATTTTGTGTTAAAGTTTCTGTAAGTCTTTTCTCATAATTGAAAATATCATCAGCAGTGCGTCGAGCTTCAATCGAGTTGGCACCCATTTGAGCTGTCAAATCTTCAATGTACTTTCTATACCGTTTTTGTATCTAGAATTGAATAAATGTAACAGAGATACAATAAATTGAGTGAATTGATGGAAAATGTGAACAGAATGATAACCAGAAAATGAAAAGAAAGACAAGAGTGAAAAAGCAAAATTTTATACATACGTTATCAAATGAAGAATCCCAATAATATTCACGGCTTGAATAAAATCTGGTGGATCAATGATGAGAAGGTCTGGAAGTCGAAAAGAAAATTTAAGAAAATAATAATTGTAGAAAAGAGAAAAGAAAACCATTCAATTGTTTGAACGAGGAAAAAAGCTACAGATTTATAGGAAGAAAATATTGTTAAGGAAATTACTTACTTTGATTGTAGGAGCTGTTGGATCATAATCATTTAATTCAACAGTTATTTTGAAAAAAGGAGCTACACCATAATCTTTTTGAAGGTATTCATGGATCTTAGTCCAGTCAAGTTTGGTTACACCAATTGGTTTCCATCCGAGGAAAACGCCGTTCAGATAATCATCAACAAATCTCTTAGAATGATGTTCCACTCTATCTAAATCCATACAAGTTTCATAAAATTTACGCATCATATCAAGTCCATGTCCATTATTGGTGATGGGAAGAGTGTGAAGTAAATTGAAAGCTTGTAAATTGGTCTCTCGTCTGATTGAATCTTTAACACTGAAAATTCCCTTATCAGTTGGAACTTTATTATGTTTAATCCAATTACCACAGGAATAAGACCAAAAATTATCACATTGGTCATAATTAAAATCTAAATTATCTAAAGTTGATGCAGCCACTTTAAGACACGATGAAGATTCACATTTAACTGGCCATGTTATTGTTCCTTGAGTACCCAAAATAATGCTTAAAATAAGAACAGCAATAAGAAGTAAAAGAACCAATGCCGTAAGGACAATGATAATAGAATAAAAGTTTCCTCTAATAAATGTTTTCGCATTTTCCCATCTTTCCTGGATTAATTCTGCACGGGTAAGCTCTTTATCAACCGGCTCAGTAGGCCCTCTAACTGAAGTACCATTATCACCATTACCTGGATTGTGAAGTTTCTCATTTTCTCTTGGTTCACTTTCATCACCACTTATGGCCGCCTTAGCCATTTCCATTGGAGCTTCTCGCCCAGAATTACGGACACTCTTTATGTACTCCAGGACTCCAGCTTTTGTCACAAATTAACAACTATCAACAGATGGACTAAAAACACTTCCAACTAAAGTGGAAACACAAACGTCGATTCAATTTAAAAAAACAATTAGATTAAAACACTTAATTAACTAAAATAAAAAAATAACAGATTAAAACCAATGTTGGAAAGGAACGATAAAAATGGCTTCTTGCTCATCTTTTCCGGAGCAAATTCTTACTGCGAACTTGTGTCTCCCTCTGTGTGGTATTCGCGCAGTTTACGCGCGATTTTCGAATTTTTGTTCCATCAAAAACTTTTCATTTCCATAACAAACTTTTGACTCGATTGATTGGTCCAATTTTTAATTAGTTTGAAAATTGAACAACTAAGAATCTGTTTAATTGTTGGATTACTTGGTTTCTATTTCAATTAACTGACTAGTAACAACAAATATTAATCGTTTGTAAATAATATAATCAAAAGTTAAATTGGAATCAAGTTGATTACTGAGTTGATGAAATATTATTAATAATTGTGGCGAAATTGTTTCTCCAGGGTTTGATTGTTTAATTTTTACATTCTATTGTTAATTTTTTAATAAGTAAATATACATTTATGTATAAATATTGATTAGAATCAACAAAGTTTGTTATTCAATTTAGAACGTAAAGTTGATCAAATATTAAACAATCAATTAAATTGTTTTCTTTTGTTAGATTATTTTGTATTATGTATTAATAAATGGGTTGGATATCAAATTGTTAAACAATCAGTTAAATGTAAGAATAATTAATTAGGCTGTTGATTATTTTTCTAATCATTGATTGTTATCGTTTTTCAATGCCAACATTAATCTCCTTAGCACAAAGTAAAATTGATCCCCAATCGTAATCAACATTAATTGTGGTTGATGGAGTAACAATTAATCGATAAGATTTAATCAACTTTGCAAGAGCCAATTTTGAAACAATTAAAGCATATTTAATACCAATACATGCACGATAACCTGTACCAAAGGGTATAAAGGTAAAAGGTTGAATTGATTCACGATTTTCGGGTAAAAAACGATCGGGATTAAATGTTTCAGGATCAGGAAAGTTAACGGGATCATGATGCATTGAATAGATCGGCATTAGCACCTTAGCACCCTTGGGAATAACAATATTGGTCTCGAGATGATGATAACTTGAGTGGCAAACGCGTTCATTACGAGTCTCTGGAGGATCGATACGGAGACTTTCATTAATCACCGCATCCAAATAAGGTGCCGATGATATGTTATCATAGTTAAAGGTACCAATTGAATCAATTTCTTGAGCCAATCGATTTTGACATTCGGGATTAAGTGCTAATCTCCAGCAGCACCAAGAAAGTAAAGAGGAACTTGTTTCAAATCCATTGAAAAGTAGATCAATAACTGAGGCGATTAATTCAATTTCTGTGAGTTGTTGATCAGTTGTTGTTTCGGTTGATGATGAATCGTTTTGAATTAATAATCGATTAAGAACATCAGTTGAATTAATTGTTGACCTTGACGAACGCATTACAATTAAGTGTGAAATTAATTTCTCCATGTAATCCAATGAACTTTTATCCAGGACACTTAAGTGAAACAGTTTGATAAACCATTCAGGTAGAAACATATTCATCATGTATGAGCTAACAAAAGGTCTTGAAAGGTCAATCATTTTCTCAAAGATAATATTATCTTTTGATGAATAACTATGAGCATCCAAAGTGAGACAGAATTGAAATATTGTATCACAATAATACTTTGACCAAAAGGTTTTCATTTCAATCGTATCACGAACTTTAACCTCTTCGTTTAACGAATCGATCAAAATTTCTGTACATTTTTCAAAGGTCGGAAAAAATTTTCTCAACTTGGAAACGGTAAAACACTGAGTAATCTGACCTCTTGAACATTTCCACCTCGAACCCCAGATAAGTTCAGGAAATAAGTTCTCAGTTGAATGTTTGTAGTTCGAGAAGGTAAAACTTTGAGGAAATGATTGAAACTCCTTCTGAGCAATTACCTTAATCATTTCTGGATCACTGACCATCAACACTGGTTGAGATCCTTCATAAAGTCTAATCAATTAACAACAATTAAGAACAAAATAAACTAATCAGATATCTAATATGTACGATTAATACATATGATATGAATTGTTGACAGTTTATCGACATATTGAGTGGGTCAAGAGTTTCTTACCCGACAATTGAGCCAAATTGTTTGACTAATTCACTTTCAACGACATGAATTGGTTTCCATAGGTAAAGGTAAGATGTTCCTAGAAACGGAACAGGAAACGGTCCATTAACATCAAATTTGCTCCAATAGTTGTATCTCCAACGCTGGAAGCTGAAAAAAGAAATGAAAGAAGATCGAGTCAACAATTAACTGATTGAAAATTAATTCTTACATGACCACGAAGCTGGAAAATAAAAATATGAACCAGTAAAACATCGTAACAGTTGGACAAAGACAATTAACTATGGAAATAATGACGTGAGAACCAAAGTGATTAAGTTGGGGAATCAAGTTAATTGTATAAATATTTGAAATAATTAACAGTCAATATGTTCTCCTTCACAATTAGTTTTAATTGTTACATCTTTTTCTCGTCTAATAATATCAACCAAGTAAACAATTTATTTCTTCTTAGTTGTTTCCTCATTTCGATTGAGAGAAGCAAATCACTCACTCGCAATCAGTTAACAATCGAGATGATATAATGATTAGCTAATTAACCATAGTTTAGTTAATGTGAATAACATGTAATAAATGTAACTAAAGTGAAATAGTTAATCAGATCATAATACTAATTGAAGGTGTGTTGATAATTAGCGATAGATGAACAAAATTAAGCTACGTTCTAATCATTGAAGGTCAATTTTATTATAACGATTCAAGGTTTAGATTAATGGATAATGGATTTAATTGATTATAAGAGCACAAATAAATAATAACATTGTTGATGACCAACGAAAGTTGACCATTTGAGAGGAAAGTTCAAAAGAAACCATTGAAACACCAATTCCATTTTCATATTTGCCGATTGAGAGTCGATCAACTTAGCATTTATTAATTTCTGATTGCTCATCTAATACTTTCGTTGTCCATTTGAAACTTTGACCATTACTTGAGTTTATCAAGGTGAAAATCTTCAAACCTTTGACTCGTTATTTGTCTTTTGCAACTAAAAGCAATTTTCTCATGTTCCAAACTTAGATGATAAAAAACTGAGTTTACAGATATTGGATGAAATGGTTTCAACAATGATAATTACTTAATGAAAATGGGTTGATTGGACTACTATTGGATAACTTCTATGGATCAAAGATTGAGAGGTTATGTGGGACGTAACAATCAAATATTCTTAGTATTGACCTTTCATCAGGTCAGAATTTTTTTCAAATTGACAGAGAAAATGCTTTAGTTTGGAACTTTCCTTATTTTAATGGGCAATCATTGGTAAAGGAAATTAGCAAGAGTAATGCTTAGTGTTAGTGTCAATGTGAACATTGAAGTGATAAAATTGGTGTTAATTACGAATAAATTTCAAAGGTGAAGCCAACATTTTCCAAAGCATTCGATTAATTAGAGTATCATTCTAGTTTAGTAAATGGAAAAAATAGTTTACTACTGAATCAATTTATTCTCTTAGTGACATTTACCTCGTATTGTAATTGTTGAGTTCTTAATGAGAAAGAGATATTGTATAAATCTTCTAATCCATAAGTCGCAATTTGATTGATCGAAACAAGTCGAACTGTAAGGTAGGCGACTAAGATGGAATCAGTCACCATAAAAAGAATCCAAATGACATTTTTTACATGACCAAAGGCGAATACAGCATTTACAACCCCAAAGACTCCGCAATTTATATATGATACGGTTATGAAATATCGAGCAAATTTTTCGATTGACTGAGAAGCTAAAACGGCGTAACTGTAATCAGATCGAATCTTTTTCAACTGTTGTAACATAATTGTCGGTGTTTCATGACGAGAAAAGTTTTTAATCATAGTATTTATCGAGTCGAAAGCGGCTTCAAACAGATACAAGAATCAATGACTATGTTCAGTAAGAATAGATTGCCAAGACAGGAAAAAGCTGAAGAAAATAGCGAAGAGTCCATGACTTATAACTGTACTATCAGAATTTTTGGAACAAATAAAGTGAGGATATTGTAAGAAATCATCAATATGCTCAGAGTGATATATTTTATTCGACGTTTTCGTTTTATCATCAAACAGAATCAAATTTTATCGAGACTGAGATCACTTAGATAACGAAAGTAATCACGAAAATTTGACCAGTTCAAAAAGAACATATTTCCTGATTGCAAGCATATTGTGAGAAACAGAATCACTCTACGTATTGACCGAAGCGAAAGTAGTCCGTTCGATACGTAAAAGCCATACCAATCAAATGCCCAAGAAATCAATTCGGTTGAACTGGTGATACCGATCGTGAATATTAGGAACCATTTAGGTAAGGATGAGAATACCCATTTAGATGGGAACATAAAACTAATGAGAATAATCGAATTATTAACATTACATTTCGAACCATTAGAACCTTCCATGTTTTAATTTCTGAAGAATTGGACCAATTTCTTACAATTTAACAATTTAAACTAATCACCTTTCTATTATGGATACATAGTAGTAATAATAATACCGATTCTCTCCCAGTAAACTAGATGATTGATTGTATTATAAATTCAATTTGCTTGGAACTTGGAAAAATAAGATTGATAGAACCACTATTAATAAAAAAAAATTGATTTTAATAAACTCGATTATAGCATAACCTAGGATTCAATGTAATGAAAAGATTTGACTGTTTATCTTCAATAGAAAATGATTTCAAACTTACATGAATTGGTGATTAATTAATTCAATGAATAACAAAAAGGTTATGAGGTTTATTGAGCAATTGTCAATTAACTTCTCCAGAATGAGAAAGGTGAAATAGATTTCCTGAATGATCAGTTTGGTCTCGAGTCTCATCAAAAATATCAGTTATCAAATTGCTGAACCAGTTGATGCTCGATTAACTTGTAAAATTGAATTTTGATTAATCTTAATTGTGTAAAGTGGTGAATCAATTGTATCGATTTGTGATGTATTTGGAAAAGGCATTGGAACTTCAAACCAATTGGCATCAATAAAACGGACTCGAACTTGCTCATGGTCCGATCCAATCACTTCGACATCAATACTTGCAATTTCATTCGAAAATCTAGATCCTCTTAATCGGATCAATTTAATTGTTATACCATTTTCCATTATCAAGCTTCTAAATCACAAAACTTTGATAATCACTTGGAAAATAACAATCAGGTATTCAAATTTTGAAGAGAGAGGCAAATAAAAGATGAGATGATTTGATTATTTACCTTGATAGCTATTCCAACATCAACCTCGTTTCTCAGAAAATTCTTGATTGATCAACATGACAATCAAATTGCAATTTAATATCAATTGGACAAAAATTTTTCACAATTATAAGTTACAATCACGATCAATGTGATCAATGGAACTTAGAAAACTTGGTAACAGTCATAACAATCAACACAATTATTAATATGATGATTCAAATCAATAAATGTAAATTTAGTTAATTTAGTAGATTCTGATTCGTCAAAGTTAATCAATCAACTTAATGTCGGACTTTTATCAGGAATAACAAAAAAAAATTAATAAAAACCAAATTATCTAAATAACCTAATTTGATAGTTGAAATAAAGAAAATGATTCAATTAAAGTTCTATTTACTGGTGATGAATTCAACAAGTAGACTTGAAACAATTGACTCTTGGTTGATACTGTGGTCTTCGTTTATATTAATCCGGGATTTATAATATGAATCAGAGGGAGTTAATCGTGAAACAAATGCTGATTTTGTTGACCGATAATTAGAAAAGGAATAGTTCAAATATGTTGATGATATTTGGTCCAATCAATAGACTAACAGAGTGAAAAGTGATAATTAATAATTATAAATAGAAAAGGCAAGTGCATCTCTATTGTTGTTCCCTCTATTATCTGACAAACTCTTTGATTTTCCCATTTGATTATAGAGAAAACAATTACAATCTTTCAATTATCATTATTATTGATACATTTTTACATTTACCATTACATTATCCCACCTTTTCACAATCAAAGTGTTTTAGATCAATTTAGTGATAATAGTGATAGTGATTTGTTTCAGAGAAAATTAATTAATTGTGCTTAGATTATACAATCAACCAGTAATTTTCATTGTAGTTGAGTTTATCCTAAAAACTATTATTATTAGAGAGAGCCAAAGTTACTAAACATGGGATAGTAAGGTGGGTGGAGGGGCCATTTGGTGTTGAAAACAAGACTCCAAAGAGCAAACAAAAATCATTTTTCCCTCTACAATTAAAGATTAATAGATTAATAGATTTCCATAAAGTCACAATTTTCCCAAACCTCACCAATTTTCTGAGTCCAATGAAGGTGACATTAGAGAGGCAATTAGTTTATTTCATGAATGGGATGCTGGTATAACGGAATTTGATTGGATAAATGAAGAGACTACTAGAGAGATTTATCTTTACAGGCATTTCGATAATTAATGTAACTTGAAGGTGATGAAAATTTTTATTATGTTTTCATTAATCACTACTAATCGTCTAACTAATCTTCTTTAATCTTGATTCAATTGTTTTTGCTGGATTAGGTGAATATGTTGACGAATTAAATTCGCAAAATTTACGATACATTCTGATAATGGTAATTATTTAAATAATTAAATTGTTTTTCGTAATCACTACAATAATTAATGCAAAATATAAGTACATGACTGATTATCTTCAATAAATAGATTTCAAATTCATTGGTGATTAAATGATTGAACAAACGCCCGAAAAGTTTATTATAATAATGGAGTTTATTTCGTGATTATCAATAATTTGTAAAAAATATTTAATTTATTCCATTTTGATTGTGATTTTAACACTTGAATTTCGAATCATTTAGTGACTAAGGTCAAACCAATACTACAAATTGCTTTTGTAGTCAGAGTAGCCATCAGCTTCAGGCTCTTCATCGTTCACTTGTCGCTCCCAAGTGAAACTTTGCTCGTTCCACGTACCTTGAGCAATTCGACTTGATAATGTTTTCATCTTCAAATATGCAATCGGAAGTCCAATACCGAATAAGAAACCAGTGGCTATGAAGATCAAAATTATTCCAAATGCTGCTGATCCGCTGGTACCTTTTTTTTCGGTGGGAGCTGGTTGTCTTTTCTTATTCGAGTTCTTAACTAGTTCGTAATTGGAACAATTCGTCGCATCTGTGGTTGCAGTCTTCGAATCTTTGACCGAGTATTTCGATAATGAACAAGTACTTGTCGATCGACCTGTTGGACAGAAGTTGAACGATTGACAAGAGTCCAAATCATCAGTCCAACTGTAACATAAAGCGGCACATTGATCATAATTTAAATTGAATTCGACGTGAAAAGTTTCCGATACAAGTTTTCTTCCTGTGGGCTGATACATATTCGAAACTTTAGCTAAAGAAAATAAGAAAACAATAGTCATATTAATAATTGTTCATTTTTTCTAACCCTTCCACTAATTAGACTTACGAATGTAAATTTCGCAGTCAGAATCATATTCGGTGCCCGAATCGGTATAAAATCCACCCATGGTACAAGTCGTGCCACAACTTTGGAATGAGACACAGTTTTCATCTGAACTACATTCTGAGGCACATTGATAGACATTCAATTCTAGTGGAATCGAAGATAATGATTTGAATTGGCGATTTCTGATCACTGAGTAATCGAGTAAATTGTTTTTGGTATAAACTGCGCAGTTTGAGTCACTCTTGGCCAGATCAATTGGAGCTTTTTGCGGGGTCATATTCGTAACTAAACATTCACTTGTTTTCTCTCCAGAACAATAAGAAAAAGTTCGACATTCTAATTCATCTGAGTTTTTGCAATTTCGATAACAGTCAGAAAATGTTTTCACGTTCGCAGCCACAGCAACATTTGGATCGTTGGCTCTCAACTTTTCGTCAGAATGAGAAAGGCGAAAAAGATTTCCTGAATGATCAGTTTGATCTCGAGTTTCATCAATAATATCAATTACTTTGTAATCGACTGGTTCTGAAGAAAAAGGATAAAATGGTTAGAAATTAAGACAAAAAAGTTCGATATAAAACCTACTCCAGAATCTATCAGTCAATGAGACTGTTTTGTAAGCTGTATCTCGAAGTAAACGGGATTGAAGATCTTTGTTTGTTATTTCATGAACCATTCGATTTAAATTGTGTAATGGTATTTGGAACACTTGACAGGCTTGACCTTTTTTATCATCTTCTTTGACATTTTCGATTCCTTTCATGATACCACAAATATTAATCGTTGGACAGAAGAGCACAATACTTTTTGCAATATAAAACAATAAGAAAATCAATTCAATCTAATAAAAGTTACCATTATTAAACTCACTCGAAATCAGAATAATCAGTTGATAAAATGCTTAGACAGTCAATTTCTCCTGCAGTTTTGACTGTTCGTGACAGTGACTTAAAGTATTATCGCTAACAGAGTAAGTTTTGGGTGAGAATACATCTGATACGAAAGAGAATGAATTTTCGGTCAGTGGGAAGCGAAAATATTAGTTGGGTTATAATTTATTCACCTAGTAGATTTGGTGCTTCAAGAAAATCGATTCTGATATCAATCGTCAAAGTACTGAAAGTAACGGCCATTTCAATTATTCTCAATGGACTAAGGTCATAGTTGATAAGTAGGGACTGTCTGAAGTGCTCTTTTAATGCGTACACGTTATCTTCAGCGAGCTTCATACAGTTCGGTGCTAAAAATTAGATTAAATTATGAAAGTTTTTATTGATTTGACATTTCATCAACGAATGTATTAATAATATTACCTTGGCATCCTAGTTGAAAGGTAAGTGTCTTGTCACCAGTGAAGTATTTGCATCCAGCCACTGAAAACTTATCATGAAATTTGGATTCAGATTCTACAACTCGGAAATCCAAGTAATCTCTCTGAATAACTTCAACGAGTTGTAATTTTTGCTAATCAATATTAATTAAGAGAAAGTAGTTTATCGTATGTATTTATAATAATAATCAATTAGATTTTTAAATCAAACTTTTGGTAAAAATAATTACCTTGGTGTCTAATCTGTAGCAATTAATTATCGTTGCAACAATCAGGTATCCATTAAAAGCAACTTCGCTAGTCTAAATGGTTGAGAGAAAAGCAAATTATTAAATAAACTTTTCAAAATTCAGAAAATCAAATTAAATTTAGTTCTTATTAAAACTATTAATAGTTTAATAAATTAACCTTGGCTTAACTTACAGTTTCAGTGAAATATTGAGTAACCACAACCTTATCGTATTTATCGTTATTAGTGATAGTATTATACCGAATCGATTCCCATGCTTTCACCACGAATCCAGGTCGATTTTCCTGAGAAAGGAAACAGAAAACATTCATGATTATATTAATAAAATAAATTAATCGTTGAAGATTGACTAGTATCTTTTACTTACAAGGACCATTTCACCTAAATACCTGTAATGTCCATCCAGCAGAAGTAATGTTTTTAAACTAAACTGATTTGTCAATTGGTCAACTCCGGGTGATGTTTTTTCAGCTATCGAGATGTTACAAGATCCGCCATCTTGAAATATATTAACTATTCCGAGGGAATAGTCATAAAGAGCTTCCATTTCAATGCCAAGAGGTGATGTTTTCAGACGCATCAATTTTAGCTTATCATTGGCATGTATCTATTAATAGTTGTGAGGGTTATTGTTATCAAATCTCAAGCTGATCTCTTACCTCGCTGATACTTTTAGTAGTTGTTGCACCAGTAATTGTTTCCGAAAGTATGAAATGGACAAGATGGAATTCAATGTTGGTAAAGGTAACGTATCTTCATAGTAAGTTGAACAGCCGATTCCTGGAAGTGGCTGTGAAAAAAGGCGATTGATAAGTTGACTGGAGAAAAGCTTCTTAATTATCTTACGTTGACAGTTTTTGATAAATCTTTAGTCGAGTCTGACTTTTGATAGTAAATGTCCAAAATTAAATCCTCGTTCATTGAATCAAGTATAGATGATGGGTCACTCCCACTGAAAGCAATTCGACTCGGTGCTTGTAGACCTGATTTTTTATCCAAATTAGCTGATTTGATAAGGAAAATGTGAGGAAAATTTGAAATTTAATCAAAAATAATAATCAAACACCAAGAGGTGATAATTAACTTACATTTGTAATAATAAGTGATATTCAATTTATCGTTGATATCGGCTGTGAAACTTTTCATTATCTTACCTCTCACATTTTCATTGTCACTCTTTTCCTGATTTGTTGATTAGATTGAAAATCAAATCATTAGATTGTAAAATTTTGCTATTGACTTGATATTTAACGTTACCTTAATTAGTGAACTATGTCCGAGGCGATAAAGTATCGATGGTCCCATGGCTACTAACAAACTCGTCAATCGCTTATTGATCCCAGGCAAGAGTTGAGAGCTCGACAATTTGTATAATGAACAATCGATACCTTACAGTGAAAAAGTCAACAATTACTTTCACTTTAACAAAAAGTGATTATTAATTTAAAAAATTTACCCATAACCACTTTACGCTCATCACTGTCCTTTCCGTTTCCGTCCGTCATATTGTAATAAACATTGAATGTATTTTTAGGTGAATCAACTACAATCATTCCGTTAATTGTTGATTTGGATGAAATAAACTCTTTCATAAAGTATTTATCTCCATTGCTCTGTTAATTATAACAATCAATTAATTTAGTAATAGTTTCAATTTCCAGATTAAAACATTGATTAATATTTACCAAGTCTTTTAACGTTGCATCAATAATTGTCTGAGCGAAGCGAAGACTATACATCGAAAAAAAAACTCTGCGTTAAACGATTGATCGCAATTTAAGTCGATTTTCCCAAATTTTCAGGATAGGTCCAAATGATGGGTCTGGTCACCTGTATAGTTTGGTGATGATTATTTTATAAAGTAGTAATTTCTCTTCACTAGATGAAAGATGTGTCTATCACCATGGCAGGAAAATGCCGCTTAAATTTTGCGTTTCTTCTTTTCTTTCTTTCTTTTTTTCTCAGTCTCTTTCTCTCAGTCTCTTTCTTTCAGTCTCTTTCTCTCAGTCTCTTTCTTTCTTTCTCTTTCTCTCAGTCTCTTTCTTTCAGTCTCTTTCTCTTCTTTCTCTTTCTTTCTTTCTCTTTCTCTCAGTCTCTTTCTCTTCTTTCTCTTTCTTTCTTTCTCTTTCTCTCAGTCTCTTTCTTTCAGTCTCTTTCTTTCTTCTTTTTTCTTTCTTTTTCTTTCTCTCAGTCTCTTTCTTTCAGTCTCTTTCTCTCAGTCTCTCTCTCTCAGTCTCTTTCTCTGTCTCTTTCTCTCAGTCTCTTTCTCTTTCTTTCTTTCTCTTTCTTTCTTTCTCTTTCTTTCTTTCTCTTTCTCTTTTTCTTCTCTCAGTCTCTTTCTCTCAGTCTCTTTCTCTCAGTCTCTTTCTCTCAGTCTCTTTCTCTCAGTCTCTTTCTCTCAGTCTCTTTCTCTCAGTCTCTTTCTCTCAGTCTCTTTCTCTTCTTTCTCTTTCTCTTCTTTCTCTTTCTCTTCTTTCTCTTTCTCTTCTTTCTCTTTCTCTCAGTCTCTTTCTTTCAGTCTCTTTCTCTCAGTCTCTTTCTCTTAGTCTCTTTCTCTCAGTCTCTTTCTCTCAGTCTTTCTCTTTCTCTTCTTTTTTCTCTTTCTCTTCTTTTTTCTCTTTCCTCTTTCCTCTTTTTCCTTCTTTAACTTTCTTTCTTGCGCGCACTTCTCAGTCTCTCTTTTCTGAGTCATACACGCGCTCAGACGTCACTGCCGCTTGCAGTAAGCCTAGTGTAATTACCCTTTGGTAAATTCAACGGTAAGTCCATCAATGAAGTAATTGAAGCTGAGAGAATAATTTGATTGAAATATTAATCAATTGCTAACAATTAGCTAAGTTTAATATAAGCTTACCTGAATTACCAGAAATAATCATCAAAAAAACACTTAACAATAAAGGTAACATTTTCAAGCTGATACTTGGCGATGGTTATACTTTTTAATGTAGTAACTTGTTAACGTAGTTGAATTTTAATGAAAAAAAAGTTAATGAGTAGATGTAATTTGTTTTAATTGTTATCAATAAATTGTCGATAGAATCAAGATAAGGGTTGTAACAATTTAATATGCTATTATTATTTGCACCGGGCAAAAACAACGCCTTCCGTTGATCGTTGGTCGAGGACCATACGAGGTGCCACTAAAATTTGACATAATTTTGATTGTTGATAACTCATCAATCGGTGCGTTTTTATCTTTTGAATTTAATTAATGATAGAACTAATAATGAGAATTATCTGATAATGAATACGACTAATCACTGAAAATTAATAGCTATTTTTAGAGTATTTGGTGCCAATGAATGAACTTACAGTGCTCTCTCCATAGAGTAAACAATGAGAAGCGCTACACAGAAAACAATCATAAAGTGAGAAAATGATTTCTCATTAACTAATTGCTTATTTAAATTGAAATATTAATAATAATCAGAAAACTTATTAGAATTTAATAAAACATAAGAAGAGATGTTAATCTTTCTCATTTTCGATTTAATTTAACAAGAACCAGTTTACAATATGAATTTAACAATTTAAGCCTGTATGTTTAGTTTAATTATTAATAAAATGACAATGATCATAATTTCATTAATTACTTTGGTGCTTGAAAAAATTTCTTGTACAGCAGTTTTTTGAATATAAATGAAAAGAGGGATTCTTTATATTCTTTTTTGTTTTTAATAGTAGTTTAGATAAGAATGAAGAAGAATTGATAAAATTTTAGTCTGGAATCCAGTGATAGGATGTTTCAGGATCAGGAAAGTTAACGGGATCATGATGCATTGAATAGATCGGCATTAGCACCTTAGCACCCTTGGGAATAACAATATTGGTCTCGAGATGATGATAACTTGAGTGGCAAACGCGTTCATTACGAGTCTCTGGAGGATCGATACGGAGACTTTCATTAATCACTGCATCCAAATAAGGTGCCGATGATATGTTATCATAGTTAAAGGTACCAATTGAATCAATTTCTTGAGCCAATCGATTTTGACATTCGGGATTAAGTGCTACTCCCTGATCCTCTCCTGATCACTGACATTTAACACTGGTTGATGGTGTGTTCATAAAGTCTGACCAATAAACAACAAGAGCAAAATAAGCTAATCAGATATCTATGTATAGTTAATAAATATGATAGCCTATGGCCAAAAAAGATGAGACTCTTCACAAAAATCGCCATAACTATTGAAACTTGACTGACTCTACTTTTGGTCATAGTTAGTGATTAACCATAGTTTAGTTAATGTGAATAACCTGTAATAAATGTAACTAAAGTGAAATAGTAAATCAGATCATCATACTAGTTGAAGGTGTGTTGATAATTAGCGATAGATGAACAAAATTAAGCTACGTTCTAATCATTGAAGGTCAATTTTATTATAACGATTCAAGGTTTAGATTAATGGATAATGGATTTAATTGATTGTAAGAGCACAAATAAATAATAACATTGTTGATGACCAACGAAAGTTGACCATTTGAGAGGGAAAAGTTCAAAAGAAACCATTGAAACACCAATTCCATTTTCATATTTGATGATTGATAGATTGTTCATCTACTTATCATTGTCATGTTTTGAATCTTTGACTATTACTAGAGTTTCTCAAGGTAACAAATTCAATTCGCTAATTGTGCTTCGTTACTAATAAAAGCACTTTATTCATCGATATTGGTTTTTCTATACTTTTATGCGAAATCATTGGTAAAGAAAATTAGCAAGAGTAATGCTTAGTGTTAGTGCCAATGTGAACATTGAAGTGATGAAATTGGTGTTAATTACGAATAGATTTCCAAAGGTGAAACCAACATTTTTCCAAAGGATTCGATTTATGAAGATGTCATGCTAATTGTGTAAATAGAAAAGAGATTATCAATAATATTATCAATCTAATTTCTAAGTGACATTTACCTCGTATTGTAATTGTTGAGTTCTTAATGAGAAAGAGATATTGTATAAGTCCTCTAATCCATAAGTCGCAATTTGATTAATCGAAACCAGACGAATTGTTAAATAGATGATTAAGATTGAATCAGTCACCATAAAAAGAATCCAAATGGGATTGAAATTGTTTACATGACCAAAGGCGAATACAGCATTTATAACCCCAAAGACTCCGCAATTAATATATGTTACGGTTATGAAATATCGTGCGAACTTTTCGATTGATTGAGAGGCTAAAACGGCATAGCTATAATCTAATCGAATCTTTTTCAATTGTTGTAACATAATTGTCGGTGTTTCATGACGAGAAAAGTTTTTAATATTAGTATTTATCGAGCCGAAAGCGGCTTCCAAACAGATACAAGAATCAATTATAATGTTTAAAAAGAATGAATTTCCAATATCGAAGCAAACATGAAGAGAAAATTGTACAATCGAAGGCATAATGTCCATCATTTTACTGTCAGAATGTTTTGTAGAAAATAAAGTGAGGATATTTAAAGAAAGTAACCATGTGATTAGACAAATATATTTAATTCTACGTTTTTGCTTCACCATCAGAACAGAATTTGTATCGAGTCTTAGATTATTTAGATAATGAAAATAACCACGAAAGCTTGACCAGTCTAAAAAGAATACAGCAATTATCCGTAAATTCATTACTAGAAGTAATATTGCTCTTCGAACTGACTTGAACATAAATAAACTGTTTGATTTATTGTAAAAATCGTACCAATCAAATGCCGAAAAAATCGCTTCGATTAGACTAACGATACCAATAGTCACTATAAGAAACCATTTTGGTAAGGATGAGAATATCCATCTTGATGGGAATATAAAACCAGTAAGTAAAATTGAATTATTAATTCCACTCGCACCATTATGATCTTCCATGTTTTGATTGAGATCCAGAATTAAACTGATTTGATTTTTCTAAATTGGAACTAACTAATTTCTAGTACTTCCTCGCTTATGATTATTATTAATATCGATTCTCGGTGTGCAATCCATTACATGATTGATCGTAATGTTATCTCAGTTTTTAATGAAAAGACTACCTGAATTTAATTCAATCTCCTGTTGATTATTTGGTACAATTAGATAGTGATCAGTTTTGATGCAAAAAATGAATGATCAGCTTGCCTTGATTTCCTTTATACAGCCAACAATCTTAAACTAATTTGTTAATCATTTACGCAGCTTATGGTAATCAATTGAAGCAAAATTTTGATATTCAGTTTTTTCCATTGTTATAAAAGATAATCTAGGAAGAATTTAATCTTCATTTTGAATTTATTTCCAGCTGATATTATGATCGCGGAAAATTGATAACAAATCAATAACAACGGTAACAACAGTAGAACTATCCATAGACGATTTCCCTGTTTGATTGTAATAATAAAATTGGGATTTTAAGAGGTGAATTATAAATTATTTAGATCAAGTTAGATGGTTAAATTTATTTTTTAGTTTGAACTACAAATTAATAGTTTTCCCGACCGAGAGATTTGATCAGGGCAATCGAAGCAAAAAAGTCAAAAAAATTTAGCGAGCAAATCAAAGGGGATTATTAATTTTTTTGGAATTTTTTATTTTTGAAAATTGACTTTTTCCACTTTTCCAAATAATTAATTAATTGTTCGATTTATTAAATTTATTTTAGTTAAGATGAAATTCTTACTATTTTCTCCCTAGTTTAAGATAGATATAAAAAAAGTCGTACTACTAATTAAGGGTCAATCCGGTAGCTCGGTTTAATGTGATTTAATCTAATCAAACTGATTCAAAGTTGATTAAAAACTGGGTTTTTATTGTTTAATTCATTTACCTGTCCGGTGGATATAAACAATGATTTTTAAGAAGTCATGCGTAAGGGATAACAAAGGTAACATGTTGATTTACCTTTAATTGTGCTCATTAAGATAATTTGTGAACTTGATTTTGTGTTTTTTCAAACAATGGACGATTTTGTCCTTCGCTTTTGATGAAGACACGTTAGTTGAGGTACCGACCCTGTCTCTAAGCCTCGCAGATAGGAAAGCAGGTCAAAAGTAACAACTTCGAAATGTAAGTATTGTAATTCTATCTCTTCTCATCTCCAATGTCTTCATAACTGAAGATATTAAGATGAGAAAAATGATTCATCTAGCTAATCAGATTTTTAACTTCAGGGCCAACTGACAAGTGTATTGAACTTTAGAAAAGAGAAAAGAATGGAATCTGATTTCTCCAACATTTAACACAAAACAAATGCATGGAAGAAATTAGTCAAGGAATTAGATTGGGACCGCACTCATAAAGAAGTGGCCACGAAATTCAAAAATATAATTTCATATCGATCGAAGTCACTTCAAAAAAAAGACAGGCTAGTCGGGTGATCAAAATGAAGACACGGCTGTCGAAAAACTCATGTCTCTTGTCAGGTATTTCACGGACTCCAATCATAAGTATAATCCCCCTAAAGTGATTGATACCGGTGACGAAATTCAATCCTCTGAAAAAAGTTCTGAAGATTTGCCTGATGTCGACCCAACACTCTTACTTGAAGGTGATGATCATTTTTTTCTTACACCTTCTCCGAATCTTACTGATGATGTCAATATAACCACTGACATCACCATCATAGGATTAGATAAAAAAAGCTTACCTTGAAATTTAGCTTTAAGTTTACCTTATGAACTAATAAGGTGGCTGCTATATCCGCGGCAGCTTTTTCCGCAAGGCAACACCGGTATCAAAAAAGATTCATCTTTTGATTTGAGGCCCCACCGAACAATGAAATAATTTTATTTTGATGTTTTTACTATCAATCCATTTCCTGATTGCCAGAAAAATATCACGACGGCGATGGTAAGTATGATTAACCATTTCTTTGATTGGTTCACAAATCAATTCTGTCTCTTGGCTTATTTCAAGAGATTCAATCAATTGATCAAAACTTATTGTGAAGGGAAGCTCAACAATCGGCGAAAAATTTACCATGATGATGATGACAAATTAAACAAAAAATAACAAAAATCACAGAAAAATGAACAAAAAACAATCAAAAAAATGACAATAATCCCAATTATTTGATTGAAAACAAACAATTAAAAAGCTATTTTTAGATTCTCATTGTTATCTATTGATTAACCGTTAGATGTCACTACTTTTAGTCGAGCGCAAAATTAATCTAAATTTAAACTTCTTTTAATCAAGATTAATCTAAACTAATTCACATTAATTCAGTTAACTAGATTAAATCACATTGAACCGAGCTACCGGATCGACCCTAAATCGAAAATCAAAAATGAAGCTCCGCATCTTTGATTGAATCAATCTAATAGTTTGTAATTGAAACAACTCGTTGCATCTGTGGTTGCAGTTTTCGAATCTTTGACCGAGTATTTCGACAATGAACAAGCACTGTTCAATCGACTTGCTGGACAGAAGTTGAAGGATTGACAAGAGTCCAAATCATCCATCCAACTGTAACATAAAGCGGCACATTGATCATAATTTAAATGGAATTAGTAGTAAGATGTGTCTATTGCCTGTTATGGGAGTAGCCTAAAGTTTTTAAGGGTGAGGAATTCAAGTATAAGTTAATATCTTGTGAAATCTTTAGTAAAGCTAGAGGCAAGATTCAAATGAAAAGTGGTAACTTGAGCCAATGGCAATAAGCTGAAATAAAGAAAAGTTATCAAGTTCCAAATAATTATAATGTAATAGAGGTAAGTTAAGAACCCGGAAAAAAGAAAAGACAATTAAAGTTTTTTTTAAAATTTAATTTTTATTTGAAGGAAATAAAGTTATCATTCTAAGTCACTTAAATCACTCATGGCTTCAAAAGAGTCATTATGTGGGTGCTTCTTACATGAAGAAAAAAAGAACATGAGTAATGTTAAGAAGGGTAAGGTCGGGAGTCTCCTTGATAGAAGTGGAGTGGCGAGGAACAGGTGAAGCTGGTGAATATGCTGGAGATGATTCAAACCAATCTCTGAGTGATCAGAAACTGTAGATCCGTTGCTGTCATGGTTAGAGATGTAGGAAAAGCTTGACATCAGGCCAAGGGATGCCGAGGAGATGGAGTCAAGGGTCATAGAACAAGAGGGATCGTTAATGATGGAGTAGTTGGGATCGGTGATGAGAAATGAGGAGGTTGATTTATGTCTTCGTTATCGTTGTCCATCTAGGCACCTTTACACTCTTCTTGATTCATTGGTTTTCGAGTTTATTGAATTACTTAAACAAAAAAATCTACCTGTTGATGATAAATTGATAAAAGCTAAAGCGATTTCATTGGCTCAGAGCTTAGGGTTGAAAACGTTTGTCGCTAGTACTAGTTGGTTTAGTAATTTCAAGAGAAGAAATAACGTAAGAAGATTAAAACAACACGGTGAATCTCGGTGTGTTGATCTTGAGATTGTCGAGAATTGGTTCCTTAAATTACCTGATATTATCAAAGATTTTGAAGATGATTGTATTTATAACGCTGATGAATCGAGTTTCTATTGGAAAGCTTTACCAACATCATCATATCTAACAAAAGAAGCTGATCAACACGGGATCAAGCAATCGAAGCTCAGAGTATCGGTAATGTTGGGTTGTAATCGTTTCGGTAACAAAGAGAGGATATTGGTTATTTGTTTTCGTGCTCGGCCTCATTGTTTCCAAAAGGTTAATTATGATCTATCATCAATCGATGTAAATTATAAGTTCAATAGCTTGAGTTACATGAAATCAAGTTTATTCAATGAATGGCTAGTTGAGTGGGATAATCAGTTGATTGAAGATAAAAAAATTCTATTATTTGTTGACAATTGCCCATCACATAAATTAACTGAAACATTGAAAAATATTATTGTGATCAAATTACCACCCAACACAACATCACACTGCCAACCATTAGATTGTGGTATTATCGCTAATGTAAAGACTTTATATCGGTCAAAAATAATACAGAAAATTGCTCCGTCAATTGAAAATGAAATTAAATTGATAGATTGTCTCAAAAATTTACAATTAATTGATGGAATTCAAATATGAAGAGATTGTTGGTTCGAAGTTAAACCAAAAACTATTGTAAATTGTTTCACTAAAGCAGGATTTCAATTAAAATAGATGAACTCTAATAGATGTCGCTTCATGTAAAAAATACATCACAAGTGGATACAGAAAAATGTATAAATCAATGTTTAATTAAGGTTTTATAATAATGTAAAATAACTAATATTGTTAATAAAAGTCTACTGATCATATTGATATAAGGTAAGTGGTGAAAATATAACAATATTTTAATATTTAATGAAATTTGAAAAAAGATGAATCCCACATGGGATCATATCTAATGCTGTTACAAATAGAACGTTAAGTTCGTAAATTTAAAATTGTCCCTTTGGGAAACTGATTAAAAATAGGTGATTATTAAATCACTAATTTATTTCAGGTTTGGTGTTTGAACATCATCTCACAATCTAATGAAGCACTTCAAGCAAAAATCACTCAAGGAATAACCACTAATGCTGTTCAAAAAGGAGCCCATTTACCGGAATGAAGAAACATTGGTTTAACTGAAACTTTAAAGAATAAGAGATTAAAGATAAAGATTAAAGAATTGTACAAAATATTATTAGATATTGTAACATTGTAACGATAAATTTTAATTTCTTCATCATTTAATTAAGTTCCCATACATCAACATCCTATCAACATCCTTATTTGGAACACTTCCTTTCATTAATTACCATTAATTTCTTTTCCTTTGTTAATTAACTAAATATGGTCGATACCATATTTAGACCTATTCCTTTTCTCGTTAATAACCAACAAAGGTGAATCAACGTTTATCTCGATTCACTCATAGCTCTATCATCTAGTATAAATACCGAACCAATGTAATAGAATTAATTCAGTTCATCAGGATCAACAGTATCAACATAATTATCAGTGTTAATCAACATTTAATTGTAACAATCAACTTATTGAATTCATCATTAATAAATATAACCTTAAAATTATATCATTGTGTTTGTTTTCAACTAAGTCCGCTCGGTAACGTTACATTTGGTGGCAGCGGTAAAAGCAAACTTTCGCGAAATTTGCTATCAGTTTACCCGTGAGCAGTTCGTTGATCAGTGTTTTTTCGAATTGGTTAACTTCGGTTAGACTACATTCGTGTTGTGAATATAATCTATTACTTTAGATTATCATTCCTTGGACGGCGGTGAAGTGTGACATTCGTGTTGTGAATTCAACTCACCCGGTTACAATTCTGGTGCAGATTGTAAAATCTTTTCATTTCATTTATAAAGTTTGGTTTCGAACGTAAACTGGTTAAAATGCAGAACACCAGTGCTGATTACGCTTCAATGGATTTAAACGAGTTTACGAGAACTCTGAGAATGTTTGCTGAATCAACCCGATCCAACAATCCACCTCAAGTTAGACCGTTTCTTGGCTCACAGGCATGTGACATTTATGATTGGTTATCTGAATACGATAACAAGACTTCAGCCTCAGGCTGGGATGATGCTACTAAGTTAAGTAAGCTTTCTACTTACTTAACGGGATCAACTCTTTCGTGGTATCAAATTATGAAAGAAGGTAATAAACTACCATCAACTTGGCCCTTAATGAAAAAACTTCTTTTGGAAACCTTCAACCCATCGGAACAAGAATTGGAACTTGCTATTCAAATGCTAAAGCAACGAGAAGATGAAGATGTTATGGCTTATATTGAACGGTCAATTCATCTCTGTCATCGAGGAAAAATTGGACTCAAGGATATAATAAACAAGATTCTTGTTGGACTACAACCATTATTACTTGCTGAATTAGGATCGTTAGTAGCTCAACCGATTACAACGATTGAAGAACTCAACAAAAGATTAGTTGAAGCGCAAAGAATCAGACGAATTCGAAACGAAGAACTAAAGTATTACTTCCAATCTTCTAATCACGTTAATTCATCCTATGGCAACCAACAACTACCAAGATCAACTCCTTCATCAATGGCAGTAACATCAACAACCAATCCTGAAAAATCTGATCTTTCAGAATTATTGAATAAAATAAAGGCCATTGAAGCTTGGATTAGTACTAATGATCAGAATAAACGTGATCGTACACGAATTGAGTGCCATTATTGTCACAAGTTGGGACACATGAAACGTGATTGTAGACAAAAAAGAAACGATGACGAGAAAAGACGAAGAGATCGATCTCAATCTCCAGCAAGAGATTATCGTCAGTCTCAAGATGTCAGAAATCGTTCTCCAACACCCCACCCAGAAGGCAGAAGATCAAGTTGGGATAATCGTGAAAATACACCTCGTCAAAATAACAATGGCCCAGCTGCATTTGCGCTAAAAACTAACGATGCTAATCATGAAGACGAATCCGAAGCTATTGGACATCTTACTCCATGCTCTGTAGTAATCAAAGGCATTCCTCTGAATGGCTTAGTCGACTGTGGATCCCAAGTTTGTTTGATAAATAAAAACGTGGCTGAAAAATTGAACATTCATCTTACACCTTCACCATCTTTCCAAGCAACTAGTGTTAATGGTGATCAAGTCCAAATCTTGGGAAAGGCTAGAATCGATTTAAGTATTGTCATCAACGTAGAAAAGAGAACAAGTACTCTCATTGTCTTTGCAGTTGAATCTATCCCAAAAGATGCTGATATATTGATTGGCTCTAATGCTCTTTATCGGCTTAGCATTAACATCAGTGGCTCAAGAAAAACGATCGCATTCGAACCAAGTGAAGGAAAACTACATCTCAGTGAAAATCTAGTCCTTCCACCTAGATCACAAACATTCACAACTGTGTCAACTGAAAATAAAGACTTTCGATCTAAAGGAACTTATATGGTTTACACACCTGATAACGTTTTCGAAAAGAACAAATTGTTGATAGCTAATAGCATTGTTACTATCAAACAAGGTAAAGCTGATGTTGAAGTTTGTAATTTCAGTCAAGAACCGCTGAGCTTATCACCAGGAACCGTTATCGGTACTTACGAGCAGAAGAGTAATGAAGATATTGACAACTCTAAATCAGAAGATGACCCTAACACCAATCGAGGAATTTTAAGTGCTCAAAAGGTAAAGAAAGATGAAGATTTAACATGTGAAATAAAATATTTCGATGGTAAAGTCAAAATTGGAGCACAACTCGACGAGCAACAGAAGAACAAAATCATCAATTTGTTGAACGATTATCGTGACGTTTTCGCATTGAAACCCGAAGAAATAGGTCGAACAACCCAGTTTGAACACCATATTGACACAGGTGATTCTAAACCTATTACACAAGCTCCTTACCGTACTTCACCAGAAAAGCGAGAAATAACAAATAAATTAGTTCAAGAGCTAATTGATACATCCATTATACAACCATCATGCTCACCATGGGGTTCACCAATTGTCTTAGTCAAAAAGAAAACTGGTGATATGCGTTTCTGTGTTGACTATCGAAAATTGAACGCAATAACAAAGAAAGACATCTACCCTCTACCTAACATCAGTGATGCTTTGGATTACTTAAGTGGAGCCTGTATTTTCACTAGTCTTGATCTCAAGTCTGGATACTATCAGATTGGTATAAAAGAGAGTGACAAAGAAAAAACTGCTTTTGTTACACCAGATGGAACTTACGAGTTCAATGTTATGCCCTTTGGATTAACCAATGCTCCTGCTACATTTCAACGCTGTATGAACGTTATCTTATCGGGTCTTAAGTACAATGCTTGCCTGGTTTATCTCGATGATGTTCTTATCTTCAACAAAACATTTGACGAACACCTTGAAAGTCTAAGAAAAGTTCTAGATCGCTTTATTCAAGCAGGTTTAAAGTTGAATCTTTCAAAGAGTATGTTTGCTTTACCAGAAGTAACTTATCTTGGTTACAAGATAAGTAAGGATGGACAATATCCAGAACGGTCAAAAATTGATGCAGTAGCAAAAATGAAGGTTCCAACAACTGTTAAGGATGTCAAATCATTTGTTGCGTTTTGTAGTTATTATCGAAAATTCATTGATGGATTCGCAACCATCGCGAAACCGCTAACATCTTTAACAAAACAAGACGTACCTTTTGAATGGAAAACAGAACAGCAACAAGCTTTCGAGAAATTAAGAGACTCTCTTATTCAATCTCCAGTTTTAGCTCATTATCAATCTGATCTACCTATTGAGCTAAGAACTGATGCTTCAGGGGCTGGAATCGGTGCAGCTCTTCTTCAAAAACATGACAATGGTTGGAGACCAGTTGCTTATGCAAGTAGACAATTGGATAAGTGTGAGGAAAATTACAGCATCAGTGAACAAGAATGTCTGGCAATTGTCTTCGCTGTGGAAAAATTCAGAAACTATCTCGAACATAAACAGTTCACTGTTATAACTGATCACTGTGCTCTTTGCTTTTTACAAACAAAAGCTAAACTACCAAGACGCCTAATACGGTGGTCATTACTTCTTCAAGAATTCGATATGACGATAGTGTATAAGAGTGGTAAACATCATGCTGACGCTGATTGCCTAAGTCGTTATCCTGTAGATTCACCTACAAACTTGGATGAATTCGAAGATCGTGTACACTGTTTCTCAGTTTCATGTGAACTAACAACTGAAAAAATAAAAGGTGAACAAGAAAAAGACTCTCTGTGCCAAGAGGTCATGTTCAATCTAAACCGGATAGAAGAACTATCAAATAAAAAAAGAAAACGATTTGAAAAATATGTCAACAACAACGGAATCTTGTACAGAAAAATTTGGTTTCAAGGAGAAGAAAGTAAAGTGATAGTGGTTCCCAAATCACTAAGAAAATTAATTTGTGAAATTAATCATGACTCTGTCTTTGCTGGCCATCAAGGGATTACTAAAACCTATGAAAAGATAAGAAACAAATTTTATTGGCCCGGAATGGTATCATACATAAATAATTTTGTCTTATCGTGTCTTCCGTGTCAAACAAAAAAAAGTCCACATTGTGGCATGAGTGGAAAATTGGTGCCATCTACAGTAACCAAACCATTTGAACAA